GATCATATTTCTCATCATAAGTGCCCTCTATACTCAACTGGCCTTTCACAGCTTCCGTATGACAGGGGCAATTATTTGTGCAATTGAATCGCGCTCTCGCATAAGGTACAGATATATAAAATCCAAGGTGATGCGATGGAGGTACAGATTGTCCATTCGTCATATGGGATCGCACAGGCCGGAGCATAGCCATCCCACAAATATGGAGGCAGTAACGTTGCAGTTTTCGATTTTGTAGTCAGCGCTCTTTCTGAGCACGGCAAGGTTATGGCAATGTTTGGCTATAGGGAATAGACTAGGGAGCCAAGGAGGTGTGCTTTGGGTCACTGGGAGCCCCAGTTTTCAAGGTTTCGACTTCTTCCAACTACTCAGGTGCTCTGGGCTGTTGAACAAGCCTTTCATCAGCTGAGGCTTCTTTCACGCCATATCAGTTCCATCAGTTGTCAAACACCCCCGAGTATCAAGGAACAACCGGTAGGTCAAGGTCCTTAAGCATGTGTCGATATACATTTCTACATGTCAATACAAACTTACAAAATGAGACTATTGTGAGCACAGCATCTACAAGACAAATTGTTGAAAAGCAGCAATAAAGACTATGAACAAGATGGACTGAACCATCACCATACTATGTTCTTGGCTACTGTGCTGTTCGGAAAACGAAAGTCAGAAATGGAACGCCACGTCCCGCCGGATATACGAAATTACGGCTTCGGATCTTTCACCGCTCAGTCATAGCTAGAGAGGATTGCCACGGATCGCCAAGAAATGGTCTGATTCCGTAATAGGTGAGCTCAGCCCCCTTTAGAACCAGGGTGTTGTTTTCTCTTTCCCACGGCGTTAACCATGGGGATCAAACCTAGATTATTTGATAGGATTCCACGTAAGTAATATCGTATACACGAGCCGAAATCCCGAAGATCTAGATCGACACGGAAGTTTCGGGGGGTAAGTCACAAGTTGCGTCTTGTCTACTCGTTCGCAGTATCTTAGGCAATAACTATCTAGATTTAACGTTATAAAGACCATTTCAAGGTCTACCCTTTCGCAAGGCATTCTCTTTTCTACACCACGATACAGGGCAATGGTCTCGCACGAAGACCCTGCACGCAACGCCCGGAAACGAGTATCAAAGGCATGTCAGGGATGTAGATTGAAGAAATCAAAGGCATGGGCATCACATAATCACTATGTGAGTATTGAATATATGGCTGACAATGCTCTCAGTGCAGTGGAGGCACTCCATGCGAACGCTGCAAAGCCACAAAAGCCATTTGTAACTATCGAAAGAATAAACCAAAAAGGCATCGTGTGTTTCCACAGAGGTACGCTACGAGTGGCGGTAATCCCTACATGCGCCAGCATGAATAACAGATCCCAGTTATGTGAGGCTTGTCGAAAGTCAACGTGATTTGGTCATCCGCGCCCTCCAAGAGCTTTATCAACGAGCCATCACGGGGAGAAGCATAAAACGCATAGCCAACGATCAGCCGTTTTCCGTGAATGAAATATTAGACAACTTGGGCATCTACAAACAAGCAAACGATGATTCATCCAAAACACCCCTAGCCCCCCTGCAAGGGACAGAGTGCACGGAAATGGAAGACTCAAGCAAACATCTACACCTAGGAACATTCGATCGGAATATCGAGGTACAATCGTGCCCTGACCGTTGGTGCGAGAGTACCAGCAGTATATTTTCGGATTTCGTGCACTTGCCATCGCCGTTGGCCCTCTCGCCTAGCTTATTATCACCATCACCACCTTATTGCCAGACATACCTGAGCTCTGTATTCACGCAAGACGTCAGGACTTCATTCCAAACGAATCGACCTTCGTGTGTCGTGGCAGAAGGTGTCTCGACAAAAGAGGGCAATATTTCCTCTCCGTGGGCGAAGTACCGAATGGCCCTGAATGCCCCAGACTCAGCGCTGTACGAGCCTTTAGGCACAGAATTTTAGGTTTTGGGCAGGTTTGTCAGATCCGTAATGAAGTTTCTTACTCCAGTGTCTTCTACGCTCGGGGTCATGGATTTATTGCGGTGAAGTGGATGCAGTGGTATTGGAAATTATCGATACTACTAGAATGCCTGGAGCGATACGAATAATCCTGCTGTCTCTTGAGATGTCTCGAGCGCATCCAAATGAGGCGTGATTTCAGGAGTATTGAAATTCTCAAGCTTCACCTCTGCTCGCGCTCCTTGAAAACATTACAATAATAGGTGAATTCTGGAGCATAATAGCAATTTTGGCGACAGAGCCAAATTTGTACCTAGTTTCCATCAAATCATCGCTGTCATCGATGTCAAAATTGGACGCAACAATGTAAACCTCTCCGAAGCTACCATCGCCAATTTTGCGTTTGTTACGGTATTTCTTTCCGACTCGTTGATCCTTCATCTGTTTCAAGAACGGTAATATATTGTGAGAGGACATTTTTATGTACGTGCCATAATAGCATTCGGACAGATTATAGTCTACTGATATGCTCTATGGCAGGCAGCGAAGAGTAACGTAGGTGGCTGCTGAAATGAGCCAGGTTGTTCCACTTAATAACAACGCATGTCGCCGCAGAAATATCATGCAAACAGGTGTCTTTGAATGGGTCATGTACAACACAGGTTGGTTGGACTTGACTACAATTAAACATCCACTTCGGAAGTGCGGTGATGAGCGCAAATCGGCTTGACAATGGAGTTTTTCATAATCTAGAGCTTGCCAGTGACTTCACCACCGCTCGTTGACCCCGATCAGTGACGCGGCAATACCTGCTTTACTAGAAGGTTCAAGCGTGGGTCTTGAATCCGTTCTCTAGCCGTAGCAAAAGGTTGGCCAGTAGGAAGGGAGAGCGAGAGGCTTTTTCCGTATATCCGCCACCCTTTGCCTCCCTGCGGGGTTGCGACTATAGCCGGTATGTTGTAAAAAGGAGCCGTGATAGCCCGTGTATGGGGGATCTTACGTGATAATATATATAATGTAACAGCCCTCCCAACCTGATGATACAATCGCTCATAACCAAATACATCACTCGCAGACACCAATTAGTCCGGTCAAACAAGATACCGCACTGCAAGATACTTGAGGTGCACATCAGAAACTACCATGTTATTTAAACGCAGTGGGGCTTCCTTTCCAGCCTGGAGAATATCCAAAGCGTGTCAGCAATGTCGTATACGCAAGATTCGGTGCGACGGGAAGACACCTTGTGGGAAATGTTCTGAAAGGCATCTTCGCTGCGAGTATCGCGATAAAGCTCGGCAGCGCAGGAGAAAAGGCTCTTCTGGAGTCCAGCCAAGTTCCGCAGTCAGCCATGATATAACCCCAGGTTCTTCCAGGGTCATGAACATGATCCCCGTTACTACCTCCAGTCAATACGTAAAGCGACCGACCGTGCCATCTCCCAATAGCGTCACCGCCACACATCAAGCGTCGCCGAGCCTCTCGATGGAGCTATACTACGGTGCCACTTCCAACTTTGCCCTGATGCAAACAATATATCGCGACATCATTCCGGGTTACACAGGAGCACCACGGTCCCAGGCTAGTGAAGTCGAAGATGGTGGCGCTGGCCTGGACATGTTCCAGTTCCGTTCCATCTTTTTTGGCATTGCTGACAAGGGACGAGACCCATCGAATCAAGCGGGACTGGCCAGTCTTTCCGGAGGATTCGTTTCGTATTCATTGGCAAAACAACTTTTAAAATGTTTCCTGGAAACGCTTTACCATCTCATGCCTTTCCAGCCGCGGGAGCTTTTTGAACAGCAATTGGATGACCTGTACATAACCACATTGCATACGCCAAAGAATCCTTCTGGAAAGCATATTCTGCTTCCTGCTATCGCCATAGCGGCCCTGAACACTGAGCACTATCTCCTGGCGGACACCCTAGTTTCCAAAATCAAGAATGAGACGGCTGCTATGGCAGATATCGTGAATATCGAGACTGTGCAGACTTCTATTATTCTGATGAGTTTTCCCATCGTATCTTACAATAGGCGAGGCTAACCCAGGTTGAGAACACGCGCACTTCCAGAATGAAAGAGGCAGACCCAACGCTGCATATCTAGAGGTTGGAACGGCAGTGAGAAAGGCAGTCTCTGCAGGTTTCCATAAACCCGGGGCTGCACACGGTGACTGTCGTGAAGTTATTCAACGCACAGTCTGGTGCCTTTACATCTGCGAAACGTAATCCAAGCTCTATGGCAGGAGACGGGACCTTGAGGCTAACTGCTCCTTTTCAATAGGCTACTGGCTTTCTTCTTGGGGCGACCCAGCAGCCTACCACGAGCAAAGATAGAGATACCACTTCCAGTCGATCCAGTTCTGACCTGCTTGGTTCACCTATCCCAGATCATGTCGCGAACCGCTGAAGACATGTATGAAAAACCACATGGCTCTTTTATTGCAATGGAGAAGACGGCAGCTGCGATTCGCTCTGATTTACGGCAATTTGAATCTTTTATGCAACGCTGTATGGGGTTTGGGCTCCATCCTACCGCATCCGGCCAAGGGCAGGGGGTTTGCCAAATTATCCTTAGCTCTTGTATGTACTGTCTGTTTCCTATGGCCTGACGAGATTCTGGACAATCAGACAAGCTCAATGACTAATGTCGGCCGAAGTGTATAGTCATACTGTTCTCGTGACCTATCGGCCTTTTCTGATTTTGCGAGGGCGATGGCGGCAGCAAACGAAGGCTGTTTGCCGGGAAGTACAGCCCATTCACTATGTGGACAAACAAGGATCGCCTGCATGGCTGGATGCAGCTTGTAGCTCCGCAGTTAATGCTGCTTATACCCTAATTGAACATATTTCAAGAACCTCCCACCATATTCCAACCGCCAAGGTACAGCCAATGGATACCCTTGTCGGAAATGATCATTGACCATGCGTTTTAGGAGCTCCGATACCATGGCTTCTTCCTTGGGAGTGCGGCTTTTGCTTTAATCTATGATATGCTGCATGATGCGACACTGGCTACCCTTCATCTCCCTCGCATCCAAATGGGGCTCCGATGCCTTTACAGTATGCGAGAAGGGGAGCCGATCGCAAGCACAATTCGAGCGGTTGAACTGGCTTTGAACAAACTGGGTCTGGAAGTCAATATCTACGAGACAATCCGTAAATCTGCAGATGAGGCAGCGAATTACGCTTCTGTGTCAGACACGACAGTATCTCGTGGTATCCAAGACCAAAGGGTCTGTTCCGATCACGGGAATACCCAAAAACCTGACCCTCCAGTCTCAACAACTGCCCAGCTACCTGACTCTGAGACTCCATCAACTTCTCAGTCGGCTGGTAGAGCACCCCTCGACCTAGCGTTTGTGGACGAAATGGGTACCTGGGAGCCAGGATGGAATATTAATCCATCTATCGTAAATATAGAAGGGTTCTTCGCCTGGCCCACCTTGTATTAGTAGATCCAACGCGAGGGTGACAAGGGATGGAGGGCTCGCTGTTGCCGACGTGACTCTAGCACCTGGTGAAAGGTCGCTATGTCCCGAGGAGCAGACATAAATCCGTTAAGAACTACGTTAATGCATTCGATATGTACAGACGCCAATAGTGGAACAGCATATCAGAAATTCAGACATCCCGAGCCAAGAAATCCTCGTACTCCCTGAGGTAGCACTACTAGTGAATAGTCAACATACCGCTTAGAGCGTAAGGCTATTACCTTATCTTCTGAATTCAGATATCATTATCTCTCTCCATCCCCCTACACAGAAAGCCAGATAAAGATCAGGTTATCCACATAAATAGGTATCACTGGCGGAAAACTTTACAAGAAGAATACATTAGTTTCATCTACTCTCAAAGATGGAGCATCTAGCCCGGCATCTCCAGTCGCACACCAAGGAGCCTTTCAGATGTGAAGCCTACGCCAAATTATACACTCAGCAGATGTCCTCTATGTAATTTATCAAAAAGCGAGAAGTATCTAGGCAAATTCTAACGATATACTATTACAGCACTTATACTCACACCATAGAGATACATGAGCCAAGAACTGAAAGATAACAAAGAATATTAACAATTATAGTGGTGATGACAATCATGAAAAAACCAAGGAGAATTCATACTATATATTTCTGCTACTGAATAGCTACCATTCCTATCTTGTTATATAGCTCCATGTATGTAAACACTGAACTTGTCATACCACTAGAATTTGGGATTTTTGGTAAGCATCTAGACAGTAATTATCCTGGCATCTGTCATCTTAGTAACTTGGTACAGCATTATTCGGACACCCCCTTATTCAGTAATACCTGGGCTTCACCTGACAAGGAAGAATAAGATCCAGATTGAACATTTTTGTTGGCCAGATGAGATTGGTTATATTTATACATTTTATCTAGATTCTCCGGTAGAATAGCTGAAAATATCTAATCTGAGGATAAACCTAATTCCCCTACTAGAGACGACCTTATCAGGAAGAAGTAATCTATTCTTATAAAGTAACAGTGCTATTCAGTCAGGTAATCCCAGTTAATTCTACTGTTAACAGTAATAACACCTACTATTTATTCTCCACTTCAGATAGAGTATATCATCAGAATCTGGATGACAGTCTCTGGTAACGGACCCAGCCAGGATCACTTCTATCAAACAGCTTTCTAGTACAAGCAACATTATTTTTCAGATAACCGTTACTCACTGCTTGGACTCACACAAAAGAATTACTAATATTATTAGTCAGAGGGACATGTCTTGTTACGGCGATCAATTGTGGTTCAGTTCACAGGTCTTGTTTATTTACGACATTCCGCGCTGACTAGAACTTCGTTCTTTAGTAGACATGACATGATCTATTATTTATGTTAACCAAGTGGCCTTCCTTCCTGTAACGCACTTGTTGAAACCTCCATTGTCGGCTTAAAAGCGACCTCACAAAAACGCGATAAATCTGCCTTCAGAGAACAGGACAGATGAAATGCTGGGCAGGGAATCGTGCACGTATAACGAAGGTTTTCCATCCACTTCTGGTAGGGAAAGGTCCCCCCTTGCGTCTCGCAGAGCACTCGTGCCTTATCAACAATAATCTTCATAGATACCACAGATATTGTCGAAAGTCCACATATGCATAACTGACTAGCATGGTTGGAAAGGACACGCGGTACTCTGTAGAGTAGCTTCTTGGCTCTCTCCCGGGCCTGCAACCGTATCTGAGCAACGCTCAACTCTTGCATGGTAATATCCACGTATAGGGACAACAGTATCGCAATATACCCTAGAGTCAAATATGCCTGATGTGAGACCACAGTGGGGTGCCGTTCAGGGTATATGCTATCAGGACCCATAAGGCGGCACCCACGGGGGATCTCACTTTCCCACTGACTAAGTTCGTAAATAAAAGTTTGTGGGGAAAGGCCACTACACCCGAGACCCCTCACAATTCTATTTGCTATGCTTGCTAGCTCCAGAAGTGTCTTGAAGCAGCTGAAGCTTTGCAACAGCCCTGATGGAGGGCCATTTGTCGACACCACCTTTTGGTACGGAAACAGCAGGTCTGGCCATAGAGTCCACTCTTTAATGCCGTCCTCCTCTCTCCGCGCGACGGCATCGAGATACTCTGCAGGCAAATGCGGGGGTTCTCGCCTCCAAAAGGCGAGCAAGGAGTCGATAATAAAACACCCAATCGCGGCAGTCTTTCCATGTTGAATCGTCACCGACCACTGGCCGTCTTGGGGTTCACCAAGCCTTAAAAACATTACTATTTGGACAGCTCGGCCAATAAGGAGCCAGGCTGCGAGCCACTCTTCAAGTTCAATATTGACCATTACTAGCAGAATAATAGCTTCAAGATGGCCTAATTCGCAGTTCTCAATCCGGCTAGGTATTAAGTGTCGACTGTTATAGTAGTAGAGTTTTACCTCTGAAAGGAGTTGTGAAGATTGACTTGGCTGTCGGACAGTTGACGCACAGGTAACATAACTCAGGATAGCCCACAACGTGGATTCATAAGCACATGAAGTGCTGCGCCCGGCTTCAGAGCATGCTTGGTCGGAGTAGATGTGTGATGTGCGAGTGACCTCATCTTTAGAAATGATCGGAAACCATGAATGGGTAGTCGCATAATAAGTGTCGAGGAGTCGCGTAGCATGCGGTGGCAGTGGAGGTAAGCGGGGAGCGGATATACTGCCTGATTGAGAGTTCGTATCTCTAGCCGCATACGGCATTTCACTCAAGGAACCGGGCTGTTCAATCCTAACTGTATCAATTGATGAACCTTGGCCGACATTCGTGTAATTTTGGCTCTTATTCCCTGAGCCGGCCATCACATTGTCGATTCGCGGTAGACTGTCAGTGAAACCGCCAGGTAGTGGGACGCTTTTAGGATAACTGAGCGTTCCTTCTAAAGCTCTGTGGAGTCGACTCGTTTTCCACATATAATACAGCTGATTTGACGATTCATCGCCTGTCCAAGGAGTCTTGAACTGATTCTGGATGGCTACTGACTCCGGTACGACTCCCAACAGTGCGAGAGCGTCGTCTTCAAATCCGTTCACCTCTCGAATCGCCAGAGCTAATAGCTTCTCAAGACTACGAACATAGCCCTCGCGTAAACCTCGCTTTCGTGCCAGCAAATCGTAGGCACAATCGTGGCCTAAAGAAAGACATGTTGAGCACGCGGGACGCAAACCGTCACATTTATTCTGCGAACATTGATTCGTTAGCATGGTGCATTTCAAGCGCCTGACAATAAGTCAGCAAATGCCATTCGGAGTTAAATCCAAAAAAGCTAATTTTCCGATCTTTCAATTGCTTTGAGTCAACGTTATCAATTAGACAATAACTTACTCTCTTTGTCCGACATCTCCTGCAGGCTTGGGAGACTCTTGGACGACGGCGATTATTGGATCCATGCTCTTTGTTCATTGGGACACGCGGGTTCGATCAGGGATGTAATTCCTCGTACAGAGAAAATTTAGCCAAAATGAGGCACAAAATATCATGTGGTTATCTGAGCGATATGAGGAAGCAAGTTCATCAAATGTCCTTTGGCGCCAGCGAGGTGGAAAATTATTTGCCATAAATCGGAAGATCAGTTCTAGAGTACCCTTCTTGCCTCCCGTCTATTATCGAGCGGACAGGTTATTTCGTACCACTTAGCATTTATAGTTCGACATGCACCCATGGAAGATGTTAAGGAAAAAAAGAAAGAAAGAAAACCCTTGTGCAGCTGCATCCTAAATAGGGTTCCGCCGCCCGTACGTTTCACTCTCCTGTAGTAGTCCCCAGATGTCCCGGAGAAGGAAGGCTTAGTGATCCCTTACGGTATAAACTCTGTATCTATAAGAGCGCTTCGCTTGGCATCACAAGGCAATACCTAATGAAGATGAGCGTTATGCAATTACGTTAGACCTTTCTTAGAATGGCAGACCCCTTGGATAGCGGATCGCACTAGTGAACACAAAATGAAGACCTGCGGGACGTCGGACTGCGGGACAAAAAGCCCGCCGCACTCCGGAGACCCGGAAGAGGCTGAGATGCCTAGCTTCTGTTTTCCGACCGCTCCGTAAACCATATTGACAGGAGGCTTTCGAGACCGCCAGCTAGAATACCACCCCGAGACATAAAGTGTCGCGCATTATGGGCCTGCGGCTTTCAGAATCTCATCGTTGATTGGCTTCGGTGGCAACAATGACCAGCGTCACATTGGAATACTACGTCCCGCAAGATCTACCGTCCCACAACTTCTCTTTGGACAGCGTATTGCTGAAGAACTTAAGAAAGCACATGCCCTTTTCCATCATTATCTTTGCTGGAAAAGTACGCCAAAATGACCTTCTGGACGCACCTCATTCGATTTGTTGCGGTCGAAGACAACCATGTCCATCTTGGCCAGTTGGTCAACAGTGAACGGGATGTGGGAAAAGACAGCGTCAACGGCATTGATATTCCCGTCTACCTCATTGAGGGCACAATTTTTGATGGCCGTGTTACGGATCAGATCATGCATGTGAAGCAGGTGACTGACTCTCTACGCCTCCATCCTCTATTTCGAATACTCACGACCGATTCCAGATTCTCGCTCCCGTGAGCACAGAACAATGCAACTACATCCGTTGCTTAGGATTGAACTACATCGATCACGCCAAGGAAGCTAACCTCGCCCTTCCGGAGGTTCCTATTCTCTTTACCAAGCCGCGCTCGGCGCTCATAGGACCATATCCTGCCTCCATCAGTGTTCCCAAATGTGCACAGGATGGCACCAGTGACTATGAATCCGAGTTGTGCGTTGTGATCGGTCGGACTGGACGGGACATCCCGGAGGAGAACGCGTTGGATTATGTTCTTGGCTACACTGCTTCAAATGACGTATCCGCCCGTACCTTGCAGATGGCAACCGCACAATGGTCCTTTTCCAAAGGCCTGGATGAAAGCTGCCCGATAGGCATGTCAATGATTGAATCTCTTCGGAAAACTGCAAAGACCAGAAACTAATAGAGAGACCGTACAGGCCCCGTCCTTGTTTCGCCATCTGTGATTAAGGATCCCCAGACGCTTCGCATTCAAGGCATACATAATGGAGTCGTTGTCCAAGATGGACACACAAAAGACATGATCTTCTCCATCAAGAGACAGATCTCTTACCTCTCACAAGGGACAACTTTGGAAGCTGGTACAATTTTTCTAACTGGGACACCGGCGGGCATTGGGTACTTCAAAAGTCCAAGAGATGTTTTGAAAGATGGCGATGAATTTTCCGTGTATATCGACAAGATTGGTACTTTGACCAATAAAGTACGATATGAATAGAGTAGGATCCAATACTAGATACGAACGCGAATACCATGGAACAATGTTTACATGAAGCAAGCACCTATACATTCAAACATTTTACTTTCCTATGTTTCTTAACAGGTAGTCGCAGGTCAAGAAAACATGTTGTAGCGTGTCTCTGGTTATATCCTCACTCACACACATACCAAAGAGAAAACGGAGGCGTGAATCAGACCAGGAAGTGGGAAAATGTCCGGAGTTCAAGCTTATTCCCTGACAATAGTTAGTTGTTCGTGCTTCTGTCTGATGCTGTCCATTTGAGGTGAACTAATCATCGGATTTCTTTGGAGATGATGCGGGAAGGTGCACTTCAACATTATTGGGAGTTACGCATTTAACAGCATATGCAAGATTTCATGGTATTGCCTTTGTCTTTAGTCTGAACAGAGAGTTTAGGCACGCCCTCTAGCGGATGGCTAGAGGGTCGGCCACATTGGCTATATTTGCTCGACAACAAAAAGTATTACTTGAGGAACCATGCGGGGACATCTGGCCCCCAGATTGCTAGGGAGGAATCCCCTGCTTGTCCGTACCCGATTGGTGTTTTCTCGTTGACAATATCACCATCGGCATAGTGTTCAATCATGTTCCCTGTTGTATCCCACCAGTAGTCGAAGATCTGCGAGCCTAATATATGCCTTCCTACTCCCCAGACAGGCGTATACCCCCTCTTTGCTAGCCACTGATGTCCCAGCTTTTGAGTGTCGAAGTCATGTACTTCAAAGGAACAGTGATGGACGTGGGAAGTGCTGTTGGTGCTCATGAAAAAGGTGTGATGATCCACATAATCAGTTCCCCGATCAATGTGCGCAAAGACTGCGACATTGGTTTTGTCATTTCCCTCCCCAACATGGAGGAAATCAGTAGGGACCAAATTAAATGTTGTAGTGTAGAAGGCGACCATTGCAGAGAAGTCTTTGACACATAGACCGTAATGACCCAGCTGCAGACAAATTATTAGTACAACGTCTCGTGCGTTTTAGGGCAGGGTTGTGTCATATCGACCTTGTGAACAGGTGCAGGGCCCTCAACGAATCGTTGGAATTTGCGAATGCGTGGCTTTTCTGTCTCGGTGTTGAAGATCAAGTTTTCCGGATACTCCCCTGGCTTTGCAGGCTGTTGGCCGTACATCAGATTCACAGGGAACCCTTCAGGATCAATAATGGTGACCATATAACCTCCGCCAGGTGCATAAATCAATTCGTGAATGGCGGACCCATTTGGAAGTTGAGAGGCTCTATCAAGATTAGTACAAACACTCATATACCAAGGAATGTAGACTTTGACTCACCTTTCCAAGTCTGCATACGATTCTACCTCGTATGTTCCTCCCAGGAACTTTTTATCTCCTTTTTTGGCGTAGTAAACGTACTGGTCAACCCCATAACCCCGATACCAGACCTCGTCATTCGTTTGTTTGGAAATGTACATGCCGAAATCTGTTAGAGCCGTTAGTAAATCCTTTCCTGCGAAGCATGAGCAATTTTACCTTGCAAGAATGTAGTGATCTCTTCCAGATTTGGATGTTGATATCGCATATTCACCAGCCTCACCAGGCGAATCTGCTTCTCCGGCTGGATACCGCACCTCTTCCTCCAGGTGGCTATTGACTCCTGATTTGGGCCAATGGCTGTAATGTCCGGAATAGATGCTCCATGACAGGAAGCCATTGTCGCCTGTCTGCCACGATAGGTAATGAATTAAAAAAAGGTGCTTATCGTTGTAACGAGCCAAGGAGTGTCAAGGTCTCCAGCTCTCTGAGGTAATAAATGAATCTGGTCATATCTGTGATTCAGCGGCGTCGCTGTGTAGCATTTATGTTTAATGCGAGTAGAAATACGAGTCCCGCCAGCCCACTCATGCCTTCTTTTACCACCAGTGCATAATCGTTCCTAGCCTCCGGTGGCGATAAAATGTCCCGCAGCACTAAGTCCCGCAGGTCCGGCGGTTAATAGCGGCCATCGGGCAATAATAAAATTCATCCAAGTCCCTTCACCGCCAGTAATATTAAGCAGAATTTATGCTTGATTAGAAGCCCTAATATAATTAAAAAAAATTATAATAATTTATACTAGACTAGGAATACTCTGTTTCTACTATATCAAAGTATAATTCAAAGAAGATATCAAATTATTAATACACGCTTCAATGAAAATATACTAAAATTTCTTATTCTTTACCTACTCTTTCTCACTGCTAATCTTTATATATATTGCCAGATTATCCTCCCTTTATCCGCAGTTCGCCGCTTTTTATTATTATTATTCTGCCACATTAGACAGATAAATTACAGTATTTGTAATACGCATTCGGTTGTTAGAATTGTAATTTAGACTTAAATTTCAAGATATTTAAATTCTAATTAAATCTATGAAATAAGATATTATTAAAGACTTCAAATTACATAGTAAAATTATATATTTCTACGATTATTGAAATGTTGATATGTACGCTGTAACGGAATCTCAAAAATAGTTATTGCCCGATGGCCGCTATTAACCGCGGAAGTCAGGTCAGGTCACACCCCGATTCGGCAAGTCCCCTGGAGCAGATATTACAAGTTTATGTGGGGATGGCTTTGGCTTTTTTCTTCTTTTTATTTTTGTTGTTCTGTTGTTCTGTTGTTTTTCTGCTGCATTGACATGACATACTCAGAACAGAATTCAAGCCCTTACTCCGAATCTTCCCGCTGGAATACGTGGTACTTCTTCCAGGACAGTTTCGTGGATGGTATTCGACATCCAGCACGGTTCTTGTCATAGTGGAGATAACGATACTTGTGGCACTGGATTCTCTATTTGCTAAAAGCTAGTGATACAGACACTTTGCGAACAGGAATTTTGGTTCAAGCACCGCCACTGCGAAATAGAAAGTGATATGGATTAGAGACCCGTCTGGTGCAAGTAAGCTAGCATGCTGCGGATCGCTACATGCAGTTCGTTTATATCGTTGCAGGCGGCAAAGAGGAAACGATCGGGTCGGACGATGCAATATCTTCCACGGATCTCTTTGCCAAGAGCAAACTGATCATAAAGCTTGGGTTCTGGCCGCCGGTTGCAAAGCGGAGAGCTTGCAAACTCCTCCCCTGTGGCTATTTTAATGACATTCGGATCTTCAGCATCCGTAACTGACTTTTCAATAATAATGGGGACGTTCTTAGCCAGTAAGGTACCTCTAGAGGGTTGTTCGACCTCCTGCAGCACCTTTCGCACCTCCAAGAGCTCTTCATCAGTGTGCAGGTACACAAACATTTGAAAGAGGCCCCCTTGCTGGGAGCGAAATATTATGTCGTCGGTGAAAACAATTTCTCCGTTTGACTTTTTGCCATGAACCTGAGGAATATTGACGCCCCCGTTCAGGTCAGGGAGAAAGGGCATTCCATCGAGATACCGGTATCTGACCATGCCTTTCCGGCGCCTGCCCAGTTCAAGCTGCCGCCTCCAGCTTGGCACGAATTGAATTAACCAGAAATACCAGTCTCTGGCGGAAGCTTTGAGTGGTTGGCTCTCGGTGACGAACTTACCATTCTCAATGGTCGCCGCAAGAGATTGCTCCAACTGCTGCTTGCGCTCGAGATACCACGCGCTCAGCACGGCATGATGGACCCGAGTATCGCAGGAATGGTATCGACACAGCATGGCAAGCCGCCACGCCAATGAAAGAGCGTCCCGGAATCCTGAGGCAATACCTTGACCGCCAACTGTGACCATGAGAAAGAAGAAATAAGCATTGACCGACAGCGTGGCTTGCTTACATGGTGGAAAGACGTGGGCTGAGTCACCGCACAAAATGACACGATCCTTAGCCCAGACATTGCAGCTGCGTGCAGAGAAAGCAAACGGCCGTGACCTTAAAATATTGATACAGTCTTCCGGAAATTGCACGTCACCAGGTAGACTAAACAATAAGCAACCTTGAAAGCTAAGAAAATGGCAGTCTCTTACCTGTATAGGCTGCCGTTATGGGTGATATACGGAAACACTATTTTCTGCACCATCTCACGCGTGGCCAAGTGATGTCCATCTTCGTCGGGTCGGACGAAGAACTCGAATCTCCAAAGCCGGTCACTGGGAAGTCCAAAACGGCCGCAAACAGCCGGGCGACTTGGGTTGCATAGGAAGCGGAAGCCGGGGGGGAAAAACTTTTCGTATACTTGTTCGGGAGTATACCCGAGCTTCCAAAGAGGAAAGTCCGGATGAGTCTGAGGGGTGGGAAGAGCGATTTCCCAGTTCAGTGCTACCCATGTTTCATCATATAAGACGCTGAAATAGAGTTAGTATGCTACTCAGAATAGTGTCCACAGCGAGGGCATTACTAACTCCGTCACCCGCTCCATGAAGACACCCTTCTTTTCTAGGTATTGCTTCCGCGTGAAGCCAGTTTTTCCATCGGAACCTACAAAGAAGCGTGCGCGAATCCTGCGCTCCATCCCTTCCGCATCTCTATAAATGCAATAAGTCCAGCTGTCATCTTCGTCGAGATCAATGACGGTTGAACCCGATCGTAGAGAACAAGATGCATAAGCCCGCATAGTATCTCTGAGCTTCTTCTCCAGTGCCGGCTGCTTGTGACAGATATATCCAACATGGCCAGTTCCCCCAGCAGTCTAATTGTGACTAAGTTAGTGATCGCCTTATACTACAAACGCATAAAGCAGGGCCATACAGTGTTATAGTCCATGGCAATAAATGCCTCTTTTGACAAATTTGTACTTGACCCGCTGATGAAATTGAATTTCCCCATACCTAAGAGCTGGTTAGAACCTGGATTCCTCATGATTACAGAGCTGGGGGGGGTGAAATATTTTACAGGTTCCAATATCTGTATAGATGCTTCTGTACAAGCCTAACCCTTGCAAAGCCCGTATGCCATCTTCATCCAGAGCAATTCCACGTGGATCTGTGGTGATGTCAATCTCCCTTTCCAAAACCACGTGCGGGATGTTCATTTGGCCAAGGTAGGCTGACAACATAGCCCCGGTTGGGCCACACCCGCAGATGAGGATGTCGGTTGTCTCCCAATCTTTGCCTTCCATATTGATTTCTTGCGCGACACAGACACTACAGGAAGAAGTGAAAGACCACAAATGCTATATGTCGTTTTATGTCTCGCTACTTGGCAAAGACTCCGTAGCAATCACGGGTTGTAGATGCATGCATTTGGGGTTTCCCCATGACCCCTACTTGCTCCCCGCTGTGCCAATAAAGTGGGACACCAATACGAATTCCGTACATCCGAGCGTCTGGAGAAAGGTTCCTGCGGGACCCTGCGGGACGTCGGAGGTCTGTTCCCCATACACAACAGAGGGGCGCGAGTTGCGTAAGCCCCGAGGTTACTGTTTGTCGGTTTTTATCATTATTGAGCAATAGTGAATGTAGTGAATATTCAATGGCCGTTGGCTTCGGATGCTCGTCAGAAATAGATTTGAGACCATTACACCTGCGACAAGCGCCCCAGGGTCAACTCCAGATTTTAGTCTTTGATCACGTGATAAGACGAATCCGGGTTAGCCGATCATAGGGGGCTGTGAATGAGGAACGCGAGGGTGAACTTTAATTTCAATGACACATATACTACCAAGAAGTGGTTCTGCAGCCCCCTACCCCTCTTTTTAGATATTTTCCTCCTTGTTGATGTGCGTTCCATCCTCCCGTACATTTGGCAGCATCAGCAGAAGCTTTTATCTTGCAGTCGTATTCAATCAGTTCTTGTCCCCTGCAGAGTTCAGTCATGCCGACCCACCCTAATCGCAGACCAGAACGCATTTGCCCGTGGTGCTCTCAGTCGTTCACAAAGGAGGATCACTTGGCTCGACATATCAGACGCCATACACGAGAAAGGCCGTTCTCATGTACTGTATGTACAAAGACCTTTACTCGCTAGTGCGTTGAGCCTTGAGGAATCTATTTTTACTACTGTACAGATCTCCTAACGATACAGTGACTCCCTCCTTCGCCATGCTCGGTCTCATGGAATCACGCGACAGCCAGCGCAGCAAGAAACTTCTACTGCTGTGGAACCTGTTGGAAATGATAGCGTCCACGCTCCCGCCCCGGCGGCAGGGTTAAACTTAAGCACGACAGGGGTTTCCTTGGCACATGCAAACTATTCAAAGGAGTATCAGTCAACACGCTGCTATGGACTTGGCTCACCCTCCGCCGGTTCTTCTACAGCCACGGTTATCTGTATGAGCCCAGTGCCACACAGGCCGTCTTTACCTATGGATCCAGCCATTGGCCGACCTGACTGGGCGGAGATCCAGCCTGATGGTCTGTCTGACTGGTCATTAGGCTGGGCAGCCCAACCTTCAGCATGGTTAGCTGATGATAATTTCGACTTGGATGCATTTAATGCCTCGATCATCACTTCCGCTATGCGTTCCAACGTCGAGCCACCTCCGCCATTTTTGGAGGCCCCTCTATTAACCCCGCTGTCTGCAGGTGTCCTCGAACCTATAATCGGGCAAACGGAAGATTTAGTTCGCCAGCACTGGTATACCTTCATTGAGGGCAATGGGACTGGCTACGATACTCCTGGCGGCAACCCGGATAGGCCCCACATCAACGACGCTGATAGGGAGAATCTAGCCCAACGCCTTCAGCAGCGCATCACTACAGAGCCATTGCCGTCCACAGACTTTTTGGTGAGCCTTCAAGAATGACCGGCGTATTTCATACCAAGACTGACCCCGTCAGAATATGTGTATTCGAGTCTTCTTTGCCCGTTTTACTAATATCCTTCCCATCATTCATCAGCACACCTTTCGCCCTTCGGTAAAACGGTCCCTTCTGCTGCTCTCGATCTGTTCGATGGGAAGTCTATTCTTAGGTTCAAATAATGCGACCCAACAGGGAATTGGAATTTTTGAAACTCTTCACAAAGCTATACTCTCTTCGGTTTGTTATTACCGCAATGTTTGGCGCAGCTTTTTCCGCTGACCGAAGAAGTGGGAAACCTATATGATCAGGGGGAAAGCTGAAGCCTTGTCTATGGTGCAAGCAGCTCTGATTGGGCAGATCTTCGGCATGTTAACGGGCGTAAGCAGTATTCAATCGTCTGCTTGATACTCATCACCTCTAACTAGTATTCTGCAGAGACCAAAAGATCTATTAACTGTACAGACGTTTCATGGAACAGTCATCACCGTAAGGGTATATCTACAAATAATAACAAACGATGCCTGCTGACATCACCAGTGGGCGAGAAGACAAAACTTATTTTCCAGCCGTCGCGCAATTGAACAGATTAATATAGAAGATGTACATCGCGCCCCCGAGCAAACATGGAGGGCCTGGTCCCAAGCGGAAGAGCAGGTCAGGTGAGTCATCCCCCCTCCCGATGGGATGACTAGTATGTAACTGCTAGTCAGGCTCTGGGCCGCTGTCTCCATTCTGGATGCCGAGCTCTCTGAGCTATTGCTCAGTGATGCTCTTCTACGACGTTCCCCGTTGGATCTGGTATCCGAGGACAATCTTTGGATGGCCCCGACCGCGGAGGCCTGGGTCAGCGCGGTGCGATGTCAGATAGAACAATCAGGGATACCCACTAGCCCATCATCCCCCGGCCCGGTCGGGTTCCGCTCATATGTTGAGCTAGAAAGTATAATCTGGGCCATAAGTGATTCGAACTTTCAAGAGAACAAGGCAGATTTGCCGGTAAAGTTTGAACGGGCTTTGATCAGTTTTTACGACCGCTATCTCCGACCCCTAGAGTCCTCGCATCTGAAGCAGGACACCTTCTGCCTGCAGGCTCTTTGGCACTCTGGCTTCCTTAGCCTCCTTACTGATTTTGATCGCTTAGAGCGTGCGATCGGACGTGAAGGCTCTGCCGAAGCTCAGCGCCACAAGGAATATGCAATTGATTGGGCCAGCTCTCCAAGCGGCATGAGATGTGCGGTTCATGCTGTCTTGATCCTTCATCTGCTGGAGACGTTGCCGTTAGGGATCGAGCCCGCAATTCATGTGCCCCGAGTCCTTTTCAGAGCAACCATCGTCTGGTACTGTTATCTGAAATTCGGCACCAGCGAAGAGACAAACGAGCCAAGGGCCTTTAACCTCCATAACTTCGGAGAGCTTAAATTCATCAATGTCAATGGTGGGAAACTTCTCTTCGAATCACAAGACTACCAAAATAAGAAACCACTGCCGTCCAGATGCACTACCGCATGTCGATATGTGGATCTTCTCAAACGTGTTGGACACTGGGGGTTGTCACAGCAACTCGCGGCGATAGGCGTAGTGCTACTCCACGGTAATCTGGAGGTTGCCACCGAATCGGCATCTTTAGTGCCTTAACGTCGTTTATATTCCTTATCTCTCTCCCCGGCTTATGGTTTATCGAGAAAAGTTCTCCTTGGCTTTATTTGACATTTCTAGATCCCAGTATTCAAGGCCCCTTCCACGCTAGTTACACATAATATCTCAATTGAGAGAGAATGGAGTGATGGGATCTGAGGGGTTACGGATCATTCTGAGTAAAGTACACAGGGATTACGACTCTACAATTATGGCCAGGCGCCGGATCGCATCAAAATGACAAGAAAAAGACGACAAATGATTCAGTAGACACACATTTTGGGCCACGACAATTATCATGATGTCTGTGCCTCTTATGACGGAAACTGGAATTCTCCTCTTCCAAACCACCCTTAAATGGATTTCGTTTCCCCACAGAAACTTTGTGATTTATCCCAAGAATGGTGGTGAGAGAACCTTGAAGTGTTTATTTCCGCTGCAGGTTATACCTATTGTACACTGTAACTTCGAACACTTTCCAATGGATCGGGGTCACATGATGTAGAATACTCCACCGACGGATTCAGAAACACGGGACAATAACATTCCCCTGCAGGAAACCGGTTACCCACTAAGTGCATGTATTCTTGCATCCTTTGTCAGCCGTCTCAGACCCTTTCCGAAAAAATACATAGGAATACCCAGTAACAACGGTCCAATAGCCAACGAAAACTCAACCATAGTAGGTACGATCCAACCTCGTCTTGCAGCCATTGGCATCACCCAATAGCTCATGACAAAGCCACACGTGTTCTTGATAACCGTAGCCACGACCATAATCTCCCCAGAAATTGGTTCATAGCAGTCGACCGCATACGAAATCACAATAGTTGGAACGGCAGTCACACACAGGCCTGTGAAACCATACCCAACAATTACGATGAGCGGCCAGTCCCATTGATAATCATACCCGCGGCCTCCAATGACGATGCCAACAACGGTTGTGATGAAATATGGAATGAGTGCTGGGAGCCTCATCTCCGCCTCGCGAATACCGCCGTTTCTCGCGGTTGCTCTGGCGGCAATCCAGTCCGAAAAGGGACCAGCGGTGACAAGGCCAACCAGGCCACCAGCGACAAATGCAAAATTCGAGTACCCCACACTGGATGGCGAAAAGCCATACGGTGGGGCACTCAGCACTTTTGATTCCGTCAGGTTCCAGTATAGCAGGAGGTTCGCTGGCCCAGTAACGTTCAATGCTGCCCAGAGGATAATGGGGGGAAAAAATGCGTAGACAGGGACTAACAAGTTCCGCAAGAGGAGCTGCTTCCACTATGGATCGGGCGTTTGCCATGGCTTGTATTGCATCTTGGATGGGCCCCCTTTGCCACAAATATCCACGTCACGGTCGACCATCTCTACTTGCTCACATTCCTCCTTTATTTGTTCCGTAGATCTCGACTGAATGGGGAATGCGGGGGCATCCTTACGGTCGCGAAGGAATCGAGTTTCGGGAAAGAAAACGAGTAAAGTGATGAAATTGAACGCAGACAAGGCAAAGGATAACCAGAAGAAACTACGCCATCCAAAGCTAAAGGTACGGTGACGGCCAATTAGCTATCCGTGTCGTAAAATTATAGACAAACGAACGACTTACTTCTGAGCAATATTCCCGGATATAATGGGCCCTATAAACAAGCCGAGAAAGTACCCCATACTATGGGAAACCCGGATTAGCAGTAGAACAAGGTTTGCTCAGCACTATATGCACAAAGCTTACAAATAAAGGCCGGTCCATGCACCGCGCTCGTGCAAGAAAAAGATGTCCGAAGTTACCTGGACCATCACCGTTTCGCTCGTGGCTGTCGCTATTCCGTTGATAACCCGCGCAGTCACCAAGCTCGAGTGGGATTTTGCAAGTGCTTGCCACAGGCATGATGCCATGCCTAGCAGACAGAAGATAAGACTGGTGATCCGACGGCCAAATATGTTAGAGCACGGGACGATGAGAAGGTTTGAGTAGCCGAGGGCCAAAACACAAGCCCCGGTCAGGAGGCTAAGCTGGGTCTCGTCAAGATGAAACTCTTCAGCGAAGAGGGGAAACATTGGGCCCATTGAAAGGGCGCATTCAACAGAGACAAAGAGAAATAAAAATTGGGTTGCGATAACAAGATCTGTTCTCGTTGATATAAGCTATCAGCTGGTTACGGACATCGATATCCGGTCTGGAAGACGTACATTTCCAAGCGGGCGACCAATTCAGTGGATCATTGGAGTCATCTGAGGGATGTGGTACTAGGCTGCTGTTTGCATCAGAATACAAGTCTCGAGACGAAGAGAGCTATAATATCTCGTACGCCGTATGTGAGTTCGGAACCTCATTACTGCCCCGGCCATGCAAAAGATCCGTGCCAGGTAGAACATCTTCCTCGTACTCTGTGCGAGGTCTGCTAGTTGAAATGTTTGCCATTTTAAGGGGCGATTTGGCTCTGAAAGATTCAGAGATGATTAGCAGATGTCTACCGAATTGATATATGATGGCATATACGGGGTTGATTATCCTCCAACCCATAATGGCTTCTCTCCCCGCGTTTTTTATATTGCGGGGACTAGCGTTGTTGATGGTGTTGCGGGAGGGGGATAGTGTTTGAGCGGAGCCATCGGATCGAGTATTTCCTACAACTAGTTTGACCAGAGTTATGATGAGAATTGTATCTTCATGTGTCCCGCTGCCACGTAGCATGTCCCGCAGAGGTCCCACAGCCCCCAACATCGGCCGAAGGTGCTATGTAGATGTGGTCAAGTAATAATGTTGTGGCCAACTCTTTGGGCTAGTAGGAAAAAATGGTTATTCTCCCTGCTTTTTGGAGGCCATCGGGCCCTCCCTTGCCGGTCGCCAGCACCACCTCGCCCATCGCAACGTCCATGTAAAGAGACATCTTGCCACAGAGTAATGAGGTGTTGTTCTCTGGGACGATCATGGTGAAAGAAAAGGATCAAGACATCTGGGCGCGGGATCAAGTAGTGCAAATATTCAGGCTTCTATGGAGCTGTATATGATATTAAAATTCGTGGCTGTCATTTTACCCAGATGTGCCTCCCTCAGCTAGTTGACTTTACTTGTGTCATAACATATATCGGCGGTTTGTTTAATTTCTAAAAAGAAGTAGTTACGCAGAAGTTATCCTTTGCAGGCCTTTCCTACCTGAATAACTAACACCCCAGGAACTATAAAAAGAATATAGAGCTAAGTCGGATGCACAGTCTAGAGTATAAAAATAGATTTAAATTCAGAAGATCTATATTTTGTATATATCTTCAAAACTTAATATAGACTATTATTACTGTGGTTGCCATTACCACCATATTCCATACTACAGGTACCGAGTAAAGGGAAGGTTGATTTGAAGCTTGTATCCTGCTGATCATATATCTAGATGCGTATAATTGAAGCCGTTAGGTACAGTATATTTCGAGTCTCAGTGTTCAATGGGTACCGGATGTATTACATATTCCTATTCTGTTCCTCCTGATCAATATCAAGTAGGTCCCAGCTTGGCAGGTCTTCGGAGGTTCACAATCACCAAGGCCTATTGATCTTCCTACTAGGCTATTCTCCAACCCCAACACTCAAGTATATCAGCTTGAAAGCAATGCGGGTAATCGGAACTATGGCAGATTAACATTCTCGGGGACTGTCGGCCATGCGTCAATGCCGTCCAATAAAGCTATATCAAGCCCACCAACTTGGTGCATAAGAACATGACAATGTAAGAGAAAGGGTCCCGGGTTCTCCACATAATATCGAATAGCGAGCCAAGCCCCACCCTCTCGAGAGTTGGGCGTGGGATATGTATCCCTGATCTGCGGGTTCACGAAGTTGAACTTTTCTGGGATATGTTCAACTGCCTCAGCCACGGAGGAGTACGTCCATGGGCCCGTGCCCTCTCCAATCACAAAGAACTTGTTCGAATGCTTATGCAAAGGATGTTGAGGTTCGTCTACTGTGACGTTGAATATGATATCGACCCACGTGTCGTTCAATGTTGGGAGGGTATATTGAACTGGTATTGAACTGATGTTATAGAGCACAGGGGTCGATAGATGCTCTAGTGACAGAGGAAAGCTGTCATTTCCCAGTACCCAGCGATATGATGCGTTGTACATATGAATGTTCAGAATATATGTGCGGTCCACGTCCGACGCTGGTGGTATTGCCGGAAATGGGACCAGATTACTTTCATCCAGGATTGATGTTTGCCGTGAGACAGCCGTCCCTATCTCCGTGATGTATGGCTGTGATACGAAGTCCTGCTCAATTGGGGCTTCGTATGACAATACTGCAGTCCCGTTGATGATCTGATTCGCGTAGCTATTTGCAATCCGAACAGTGTAGTTACCTGCAGCCTGGTCAAGTTTGGCCATGACGGAATACCGGGCTCCAATATGAATGGTCAGTGCATCGACAAGTACTGGCTCGACATATCGACCATCAACTGCGTAAATGTACAGCGGGTGTTCATCAACCGAAAATACCAGCGAAGAACTTCCGGCAATGTTTATCAGGTCGTAGCTAACGTACCGCCAGGCAGGATCTATTGAGAACACCTGAGTCTCCCCAACAGCTGGCGTACAGCCTTGGTAATATCCTTGGGGAATATTACTTATGTTGAAGGAAAAGAAACCTAGGCGTGAAGGAATTGGAGGCAAACAGCTAACAATCACTGATCAATACTTATAGTCGGGTTGAGTGAGCGGAAAAAACCACAGGCACAATCAGGAACTTACCCCATGTCGGACATGTTTCCCCCTTTCAGTAAAGATTTCAGTTCCGGTCGGGTGAGCTCATTGATTTGCTCCTGCGGTGGGCAGTACGTAGAACCCTTGCCATTCACGAGTATGGAACTAGCGCAGTAGCTTTCAACTCCAGACTGTTCCTCGATATACCAAATCTCGTCCGAAGTGAAACGCCGCCAATCGGAGAGAATTACCGGCTGGGTATTCTGCTCCGCCTTCTTGAGAAACTCCAACTCGACCTCGTCTGTGGTGATTATCGAGAATGGCTTTTCAATATTGTCTGCGGGCTCGATGTAGATGGCGCCATAAAGACCATCGTCTATACGGGCCGCTTCATGAGAGTGGTAAATATAGGTACCATAGTCGTCGGCTTTCCAGGCGTATAAAAATTGGCTCCCTGGCCCGATAGGTAATTGAGTAAGGCCGGGAACTCCATCAGACCAAGGGGTACCTTGCTGTCGGATACCTAGAAGGCAAGCGAGTCTGTCAGAACAGAACACTGGAAGAGGGTTCCACAGGACAGCTGACCATGGAAATGAATGGTAGTTGAGAAAGGCATATTGTTAGTCACCATGACCTCTACATTATCTCCCTGCTTCAACCGCAGTGGAGGGCCGGGGAACTGGCCGTTAATGAGAACGGCCTTTCGGGTGATCCCAGCAACTTCGAGGTCCTCCCACGTGAGTGTAAGATTATATTCAACCACCCGGCATAATGCCCACTGGATGAAAATAAAGAAACTTGCCAAAACCAGCTTCCCGTGAGGTAGCCACATGTTGTGATGTCCCACAAATTTGCAAGTGTCCGACCAGCCATTTATAGTTATAGTCTAGTATACTTACTGGCCCTCTAACACATTCTAGGTTATCTTTGTACCCTGGAATATGAAGAATGCGACGCACGTATAAACATCAGTAGCCTACGCTTAGGCTAGTCTGTGGAATGCATGATTGGCTATATGCTGATATTAAACAGGCTATCTTGTTTTATCATGGGAAATTCTAGGGCATCTTGTTCGCAGTGAATTCCTTCCAGTCGTTTAACATACCCAGCGAGGCCAAGGAATGTCTTTAGCTTCCACGACATCTGTAGGATTAAGTGGGTTGTTATTTTAAAGCCACCAGACGCCCCTTGTTTGAGACAAGGTAGAATATGATCATGAGTATACTGGTGGGGAGGAGTGGCATTCAGAAATTCTATTATTGATGTGAGCACAGTCGGTCACTAATGTTATATACGACTGTATCAACCGGTGAATAGGGATATTTGGGCACTAAATAGGACATGAGTCCCTGGGTGTTTCCTAAAGCAAGGCAGTAGCTATCAGACTCCTTCCTAATGCTGTTTAGTATGGGCTATTCTTAGGTAAAATGGATCGGGACCCACCAAGTGCCACAAACCTAAATTTTCCGATATACATACCAGGATTGTCCGGTATTTTCTCACCTTTATGTCTTTATTCCTATATAGGAATACTGTAGTTTGATATTTAATACAGTATGAATTTTCGATAATAAACAATGTAGGGCGTGGCATGGCCAGAAATTAATCTATCTGGTTTCTCCAGAGATTACAGTTTTGTCTGCAATATGATTAAGCTGTAGCTGAAGTACGCCAAGATTCTCTGCTGTGTCCATATTGTGACTGCAGTGCCTTAAGGTGGACTGAACCACAGCACCAGACTCCACCTTGTGGTGTGCAATGTATTGTTATCACAGCATTAATTTCATATCCATCTGCCAGCGGCCAGCAAGATTGTTAAGAAGAGAACGCTTTCTGCACTGAAATCTTCCCATTATAGTACACTGCGGTGGGTCTCAGCAGCCAGGTATGGTATGTATTAGTTGGAACGGAAAATTTGGTGGCTGATCGGTAACACTCTTCTGTAAGGATTCGGCACTCTCGCATTCATTACCTGTCGTACTACTTCTGCCTCAGTGAAGTTTGTAAGTCATATATAGTTTAATTAGAATCAATATTCCAGTCTTTTGTCGGTGGCAGATTGAAATACCTCTAATACATAACTGGAAACCTTACTTGCAAACCGCACTAGGAGCAGGTTATGACACCATCCCTACTGTATAAGGTTGGAGCACCTATTCCCTAGTTGGCAAGGCTGCATACCGGCATCACGTGACAACACTTAGGCTCTGTATAACCCTTGCTCTCTCCCAGCTACGTAGCCAGGACAGCAGTAATTCAGTCAATGCTCTAGCCTCACATTTTCCTAGTGCCTGTCGTCTCTATCCTTCATCATGAAATGAACGCGAACTCCGCGAGTAGTAACCATTTCTTATTATCAGTATTATAATTATATGTTGAGGCGCGAGATTACTAGCAAAGCAATAAAAACAACGAAAAAAAGCAAACAAATAAACGCGCGAAATACAGCAAAAGAGTAAGTTAAATTAAGCTTCCAGAAGAGTGAAACAAAGTAATATAAAAAAGTACTTTATATAGACATCCTGAGCACAGTATATAACTAATTTATATAAATATCTTGATACGGTCTTCTAGACAAAGAAGTATGTAAAAAATACTAAATAAGATTATAAATATTTTTTAGATAAGTAATCTTTTATAAATTAAATATTATTTTCTGGATATACTGAGGAGGGGTAGCCAATGAAATTATTTCTAGAAAAATCTGAAAATTATAAAAATTTCTTCTAATTTAGTAATTTAGTAAAGCTGTCTGCAGGATTACAAGTATCTGTAATATATTAAATTAATATAATATCTGTTTTAATAAGATCTGCTATAAATAAATAATAGTTATTTAGCTACTTAGTAGATCTTATATAAATACTATAATTAAGAATCCATAATAAATTAATAGTATTACTGAATAGAGGTATCTTACTGTCATCTAATATCTTAAGATTAAATATCTATGCTAATTTATTAATATATAGAATATTTTTGACAGCGGCATCGTACATACAGTATTCTGTAATAGTAGAGAAAGATATAATAATACTTTATTTACTTAATAATCAGATAATAAAACTGCCAGTATAAAAGATAATATTATTTTTAATAGATTTATTATCTTTATAATCAGCATGTGCGGCGTTTATATAAATCTTAATTTTTTTTAAAATAATTAGTAGTTAGAATAATTCTATAAAAAATAGTATTACAGAGATATCTGTATATAGTTTTCAGTACTTTAATATCAGCAGTAATAGAAGTATTATATATATATTCTTTTTTATAAGTAAAAAATAATATAGCAGAGATCAGAGTATGATTTTATATTAAAATTAATTCAACTTACTAATAAGACTTTGGTATTTATTAATATTAATATTATTAGTTATTATTATTATATAATCTGTCTTCTTATAGATAAAAATTATTAAAATAATAATATCAAAGTAAGCTTATAAATTAACAGCAGCTAGGCATTTCTCTATATATATAAATTAGAAAAGTAAAATAGTATCTACTTTATGATTATATAAAATATTATATCTAAGTAGAATCTTTGATTCGCCTAATTTCTTAAAATTAATATTTTATTGTAGCTACAGTCAGGTAGAATGTTCTCATTGATGTATTTGTGTTTTGTCGACTAGCCTAAGCGCTTCAAGCTGTAGAATTTGTAGTGATGTTTAGCCCCATAGCCCCACCCAGTTCAATGACAATCTGGCAGCAGAAGGGTCGGCAACTGGACAAGACGCGCTTGAAACGTTGAGTAACCCAAGCAGAAGATAGGGTGTGGTTTAGAGCTCGAGAGAATTGTGGTACATTTCCCTAAAGAGGCATGATTAATGAGGTTAATGGTATGGTCTGAACTAAATCCACAAATACATGGACCAAGTCATCATAAATTGTGCTTCCTGCCAGCGCCTCCTCCTTGCCTTCAATATCCTTTGCGCTGTGAGTGCTGAAAAAGCTTCCAAAGTCCGATGACCCGTCGTCGTGCTCGTCAATGTACAAGAAGTATCAGCCATGGGTTTCATTTCGCGCTGGCTTATGCCATTCCCGAGATAGACAAAGGAGCTTTTGGCAGTATATTTGATGTGTAATTCGTCAGACCGCGAATTAGCCAAGGTTTCCACGTAGTGCAAAGTGCTGTGATCTCGCCAGTCTGGGGGTATTTGTACCAGGGTTGGTAGTGGGTGTTCCAGACAGTTGTCTCATCAACATGTCCTTTTGCTCTATAAAGTCTTTTACTGCATCTGTCTTTGGATGAAGAGTTTTGATATCCCCTTCTGCCAGTAGGTCAAGTGTCGGCAAAGTATGAGCCCCGCAGCTCAGTACCAAGTTAATCAGACCATTGCTGATCGGGCAGTTTGGATTCTGAAATATGAAGTAGTTTAGGTATCGGCTATCTTTGCTCCCGATCTACCTTCTGTACCACACTACCACCGTCACACTATACCAGGCTGCCCTCTTCCACCGGCCTCTTCCAGTGGATGTTTAGAGGCCCGAATTGAAGATACAAAGAGACTCTGTCGCTCCTGGATGGTATCATGTATGTAGTCAGCTTGCGCAATGTTGCAGATAGTCGGGGACTTCCCATCGGAAACTGGTCCATTTTTAGCTACGAAGAAGGGATGGTAAGATCGAATTCCGCAATAGCAGTGACTATCTTAAAGAGGCCTCCTATGCTTTGCGATTTCGGCGTACATGGCCCGTTGCCTAAATATTCTGGAGGATCCACGCGCTCCGACCGTCCAAAATAACTTGGCTCTGATGCATATTGTCTCAGACCTTGTATCAGATCTCCTTTAGCAGCCTGGTAAATATGTTACGCGCAGACGTTTGAAGCTTGTAGTGCCTTTGACCAGGGTTTGCCTGGGTGCGAGCAGTTTATGAGAATGATATGAGATCGAGCGTTAACTAAACATAGCATGATGGGAGAACTTCATTCTTCAGTAACTGGCGTATATCGAAACCGCCCCTCACTGGTACATGGGGGTATCAATCTGAAATGCTTCATCTGATTCTGAAGGATTATGAGATCGCAACAAGTTGCTGAATCTACACAATGACTTCTTGTCGAAGGTCGTCTGGCCAACGGGCTGTATCATGTCCGTTGCTTCGCGTGCCTACATTGAATTGCAGGCTGACCTCTTTGCCGGGGAAGGTAAGGATTGGTCGAACAGCTTTGAAGTGGCGGTCCACGGCAGCTGAATAACGAATCTCAAAGAATTGAGGTTGGAAAAGCTGTGCTCCACTATTTTCAAAGAGCGATTTAACGACAGCTGGGATCATGACAGGCATATTGTCGTAGTGACGGAATGATAGCCGATTGTGCCTCTGCCATACGTCTTCCCAGACATCCGCCGGATACTCTCCCACGGAATTTACAAGCCACTGCGAATAATAATTGAGCGCAGTCTAGCCCAGTTAGCTAAGTGTGATTTATCCCCCTCGATATTCAGGCCTGGGTTCACTCACATCGACATAAATCGAGCCCCCGCTTTCGGCTCTCTTGATGAGAGCATCGAAGATTCCACAAAGCCCAGCGACACCCGTGCTGGTGGAGTGTTATCCTTTAGTACACCACATGACATATTCAACGGACGTACCAGTAATCAGAATTTGGGAATATTGGAGTCACGGGCTCGTCATGCCCTGTCGCCCTTCCATATTGATAGGAGACACCGCACACCTGCTCGGCCACGATATTTCTTAGCTTCTATCTTGCGTTGATGAAAGAGAGACACATACCGCATCGCTGATTTGCTGCCACCCGCTTCTGCCCTGCCAGGGCCCGTGCCAGCCATAGCAGTTTTCACGCACATAGATCAGCCCAAAAGGCCTATCTTTGACAAGCTCCAGGACCGCATCCCTTCCGAATCCAAGCTTCTCTAGTACACCTGGCCGGTAGCCGTCAAGGATAACATCCGCCTCGCGAATAAGAAGGCGGAGTTCCTCTTTCCCCTGCTCTGTTTTAAGATCAATTGAGCAATTCCACTTACCCCAGTTGAGATCAGCGTGGATAGCATAGATATCGAGGACTCCGGGGCCGGTCACACGCATAATACTCGCCCCATACTCTGCCAAGCCCCGGGATATTGAGGGACCAGCGATCACGCGGGTTAGGTCAAGCACTTTCAGACCTGCAAGTGGACGGGAGACCCCGGTCTGGGGAGTGCTGTTCCACCATACTGGCTTTTGTGCCTTGTTTGGGAGATGTTGAAGCTCATAAAGTCCAGCATGCGCGTTTTGTTTCCCGTGCTCGGTATTTTTGAATTCATCGGCTGTATAACAAATTGTACCAGCCTGGCGGAATTTTCCGTTCATCAGCACGTCAAGCTCTTGGGAGTCAAACTCCAACACGCGCTCTTGAATCAGATCGACTGCATCTGACATGGATGTCGCATTGTACTCCAGGGGTAGGGACAATGCGGTCAACGAGGGATTCGCGTTCATGCTCCCTGCGTGTGTTGTAAATGTGAGCACGCCAAATTCAGATCTCTAGAGAAGCCCGAAAGAGCGTACCGTGAACATGGTAGAAACGGGCATCCTTGGTCTTATATATACTGGTAAGTGCTGCCCGATGGAGCGTGCCTTGGCCGAGATCTTCTCCGCGAGTTGGAAATATCTTCATCAGCCGCTGGATTGGAGTCGAGGAGGCATCGAGGGTGGTGCCCTTCTCATTGACAATATCAACCAACAGAGCTGACATGACAAACAGTGTCGCGTGATCGCTGCCGTCCTGGTTAGGGGCAGCCTCACAGCTCAATACTGAGGCGAGGGCACTTACGTGTTGATCTCGATGTTGACCGGCTCGTGATCATATTTGGACTTCAGCATAGCGTTCAGCCAGAGAGCTTCCAAGCCCTTCAACGCGGAAATGCTCTCGGCAAAGCGCCAATTGACTGGGAGACTAGGCTTTTCGCCACCGACATATTTTACAAATGCAGCAAGGGCCCTCCCATTTGAAGGAATATTTGACGCGAGCAGCGGGTTCTCTAGGATACCCTTGCGCAGTAACTCAGCTGCTTCGCTGGGGATAGAATACTCTTCGAGAGACATTTTGTTGTACAGGAGTTGACGATAGACCACAAAGGTACGCTCTCGGGAGATATAAGAAATGTGTGCAATTATGAAGAGATGCTTATGCTTGATGAACATGATTTAAGCGGCAGCCGGCTCGCCGGCTTCATTTGGCCCTGTTGCACGGGTGGGGGCACTCGAAATAGCACTGAGTCAGCGCTGAGTCGTCTGAGCAGTCCCACTGTCTACCTCACCGTCGATCTCATAACACTAGGGATGTTGAAATTCCAGTTACATAAAGCCATTACTGAAATATTCAAGTTTGAATTAAAACTGTCATTATAATCTGAACAAGATTATGTAAAAAAATTTTAGTATTATAATGGATCCCAACCTAATCTTTGCTCATTTAGGTACACTCTAATAGGGGCATTACATTTCTATAGAGATCGAATTATCCTCCCTCCCATCTCACTGAATGCACTGTTGAAACGACGTTTTAGTTCCATACTGAAGTCGTTAAAAACGCTTGTTTTCTCGCTGTCTAGGCGCGCTCGGAAGGAGCGGTTGAGGCTAGAATGTGTTTAGAGTCACCTGAGCTCAACTAATAGTAAACTACTGAGATCACGTTCCAACATTTCATTATACAACATATCGTCAAAAAGTTGTGAAATAGAACAAAACCCGATCAGCTCACATGGAGACTGGTCTGGCTCAGTGGGGGCAAGACCATCAATGAGCGTATCAACAGTCTCGAATTAGCTCGCTCTCTCGTGAAAAAGTGGGTTGGAGTAAGCCGCTGAGTCAGTGTTTATCCACAGGGGGCCACTCCGTTTCCACATGAATCCTAGATTCTTGCCACGGCTTGATAGTTCTGCAAGGCAGAATATATATGAACGATAAAGTAATGCATAGCAGAATACTATAAGGCTATGAAAGTCTGACTACAGAGGTACTTGACAAAATAACCATAATACAGACACAATGCCTGAAAAACGTTCTATTCGAATTGGTAACTGGTCTGCCGCCACGAAATCGTGCACTCAGACAGAAAATCAGTGTTTTACTGACAAGAGTCCATCCTAGCTCTGGCGCGGGCGGCGATGGGCCTGATCAGTTGTATCGCCTGGCCACCGAAGGTCCCATTGACGCCATTTTCGGAGACTATCTCGCCGAGGTGAACATTGCCTGGAGGGCTCTCGAGGTAGGCAATATTGTCCAAGCAGGGTGCACCTGGTTCACTTGAGTCTAGATGCAAGAGGACCCCGAGCTTGGGTACGAAAGGGGTTTTCTCACCCACCTGAACCACAAGAACGCTGCCGAGATCATCGCGGAGAAGAACATCAAGCTGGTCAACGATGCTGGAGCCTTGAATCCTTATGGGCTATATAAGGCGACAAAGGAGCTACTCAAAAGCAAGGGCTTATCACATGTGCAGGTTGCTTGGGTTGAAGGTGACAATGTCACGGCCGAAGTTCTCAAGGCGCAGGAAACAGGAAATACTAGTCGCTTTCCCCATCTAGACATCCAGGGACAGGATCTTATAGCAATAACGAATCGTATTCTGTCGGCAAACGCATACATTGGGTGCAGGGGGATTGTGGCCGCACTGAATGCTGGTGCTCAGATTGTGATCTGTGGGCGATGCTGCGATGCCTCTCCTGTCATGGGACTGGCTTCCTGGTAAGAAGATCGTCCTGAGGAAAAAGTGAAACTAAATATCTAACGCGGTATAGGTGGCATGGATGGACTGATACAGACTTCGACCAGCTGGCTGGCAGTCTTATTGCAGGGCATTTGACCGAGTGCGGACCATACACCACGGGTGGCAACTTCTGTGGCTTTAAGTCAATTCCAAACCTAGTCAATGTTGGGTATCCCATTTGTGAGATCTCCGAGGACGGTAGCTGTGTCATTACAATGCACGAAGGAAGCAACGGAGCCGTGACCGTAGACACGGTCAAGGCCCAGCTCGTATACGAGATCCAAGGACCCCTGTACCTTAACCCTGACGCAGTGGCCCATCTCGAGGATATCCAAGTCATCGAAGACGCACCAAATCGGATTTTTGTTACAGGGGTCAAGGGAAGCGCCCCGCCACCAACCACAAAGCTGGCGGTATGCAGCTTTGGTGGGTATCAGGCCGAGATTGCAACCTTCATTGTGGGCCTAGATGTCAAGGAAAAGGCAGAGCTGCAGAGGAAACAGATCCTTGATAATCTTGATCGCTCGAAGTTCTCGCAGGTGACGATTGATACGTATGGGTCTGTGCCAGAGGATCCGCTTTCACAGAAGGATGCCACAGTATATCTTCGCCACTTTGTGCAGGCCCCAACCAAAGAAGCCATTCAAGTCTTTACAGAGATATTCCTGTTCTACGGAATGCAAGGCTATGGAGGTTTCCACCCGTGAGTATGGATGATATGTCTTTGGCTCAGCTCTAATCCGCCACAGACACATGGATTTCCGGACTTTGGCCCCTAAGCCCTACGTTCGATATTTCCCTTACCGATATGAACAGTCAGAGCTGAAGCTTCGCGTTCATTCCGACAACAAAAACCCGATTGCAGTGTCGCCAGTTCAAATAACCGCCCCCTTCGGGGGGCAGAAGTCGTATGAGGCCGCCAATCCCGCGCCCTTGGCCTCGTTTGGCCCTACGAAGAAAGCGCCGCTGGGTTAGTGGGTCGCATCTTTCTCTAGAGGGTTATCTACTGACAAAGCCCTCCCGCTATAGGATCGATTGTTCTCGCAAGATCAGGCGACAAGGGTGGAAATGCCAATGTCGGGCTCTGGGTTCGTCATGATGATGAGTGGCCCTGGCTGCAGTCCTTCTTATCCACCGGGAGCTTTAAGGAGCTTTTGGGTAACGACTACCGCCCAGATTACAGGGTAGAGCGGTTTGAGCTACCGCACCTGCATGCAGTCCACTTTGTGACCTATGGCATTCTTGAGGAAGGCGTGAGCAGCTCCTCAATAATTGACGGCTTTGCCAAGAGCTTCGGTGAATTTTTACGTGCACGGAAGGTGGACATCCCAGAACAGTTCCTGGGTCGACCCTGGGTGTAAGGTACTAGTCTCACTCTATGACTTGGGTTAAGAATTAGACATGCGTGACTGGTTCCCACAAAGGAGGTGCAAGATCGCTTAGCGTACTCGAGAACATTTGGTAAGAACGGCATCACAGAAGATATCCAGTCTCTTTAATGAAGCGGTCGTCGAAGACTAGTGGATAAGAGAATGTTGGCCTGTAGGTATTGAGTCAGTGTGACTGATTTCCAGTAGCCTGCCTTCCCTAGTAAAGCTCGATGTACTGGAGCTCTCAAGTGCTAACTAACGGCGAATATGTAAGACATATTCCCTTAACACTAACATTTGATATTGTGCAATAGCATGCGGCCAATTTTATGATCATCGACTTCGAATACCAACGTGTTATTTTAAGTCTCTTAACTGGGTTTTATTCCGTCGCTCCGAAGGTGGGTTGCAGAGGAATAGATTTCCCCGAGAAGAATTATTCAATATCTCATACTAAGAAATTTGTTCCAGGATCCCAGTTTCTCTCTGGGTTCTATGCAAACCCTGACTTTCATACTGTTAAGCTTTGAAGGCAACTCTCCCAAGTACATCAGCTGGCAAGTGTTCACACATATTTGTATTCCCTTGCTTTACACACTATTCTGAATGTTCTCGTGGAACTCCTGCTGGGCTTCATCCTGGCCCGCGACCTTTATAGCCAGCTCATTAGCATGCTTCTCCACCTTCCCATCCATACACAGCCGAAAGGCCCTCTCCATATCCCAATAAAATGGGCTCGAAGTCGAAAACAGGTAGTCAATAGACTCTAAAGTCCGATTGCGGGTCTCTGGATAGAACAGGTAAATGGTTGGAACCCACAAAAGATTTAGTCCAGCGAGGAGGAAGTAGCTGCGACTTCCAATACTTGCAAACATAATTGGGTTCACCAGTGTGGTCATCCCAACACCAACGGCCCAGCCGGTGATGCCAAAGCCGTTACCTTGAGCCCGAAGGTCGGAGGGAAAGATCTCGGTTGGTATCAAGAAAGCGACGGTTCCCCAGGTCGCGGCATATCCCAAGTTGAACAGGAAGAGCATCGCAACAGCAGCAGGTGCAAATTGGCTGGCTTTATCCGGCTGATGGAGGGACGCCTCGTAGACAGATCCCGCCTGGAGAGGATACATCTTAGAATCGGAGTTAAAGACGTTATAGGGGCGCGTGGAACTTACCACAAGCTCGACAACGAACAAGATGATGGAGCCAAGCATCAAACATTTTCGCCTTCCAATCCGATCTACAATTTGCGTACTGATTATAGTGCCGAGAATACCAATTGTGTTTAATCCTCCAGCAAGGCCATTTTGGGTCAGCTCGCTGTAGCCCGCTTGCCGAAGCAGAACAGGAGAATATGCCGTCACAGCCTGTCAAGGTGGAAGTATATCAGCCAGACTATCCATGCGACTTCATACTGCAACGCCACTTACCGTAATACCAGTCCAGGACGCCATGATCTGGAGCCATATACACAGCCAGGCGCGTCGACCCAGATTGGAGCCAGGGCTTCCTCCTTTGCCGATCAATATTTTGGCGAACTGAAGGGGCGAGCTTGGTTTGCCTTCTTGCACAGTCGCAATGATTTCTTTGTATTCGAGGTCAATCTCTGATTGACTGGCTCTATGGCAACGGATCTTGTTAAGAACCTGCTGAGCTTCGTCGTAACGACCGACAGATGCAAGAAACCGTGGACTATCCGGAAGCATCTTGATAAACAACAGCAGGATGAGTGCTGGAATGCACTGAAACGCCAACAAAAATCGCCAGCGAACATCGGAATAACCATTATTGATGAAAGCAAGACCAAATGACAGCCAGTATGCGACGGAGATTCCTAGATCTTCAGGATAAACCCGTCAGTTTATATTCCGAAGGAGCTTCATTCAACGTCTGGCACTCACAGTTTGCAATGAAAACATATCCAAGGAAGGCTCCGCGGTGATCAGCTGTCGATGTCTCTGATACCAGTACTGGTGCTATGCCAGTCAATGCTAGCCAGATCAGCTTCTCCCAGGAGGTCTAAGTACGGAAGGTGGGCATACCACCAGTGCCAACGCCTGTCACTACCCTGGCGACGAGCATGAAATCTGAACTCTGAGCTGCAGCTTGCAAAGCACCTCCCACAAGCGCAAGCAAAGAACCGACCAGGAGGCCATTGATGCGGCCTAACCGATCAGCCAGCCAGCCACCTCCGAAACAACCGAAAATACATCCAAGGTAGTAGATGCTGACAATGCCTCCCTGATGGGTGGTGTCGGTTACTGTGCCATCTGGTTCGCCAATTCCAACCTCTGTAACGTATCTGGGAGAGCTGTTGACGCCTCCCATGACACCTTGATCATATCCCTCGAAGAATATGCAAACGAGAGAAAGAGTCTGAATCATAACATTGAGTTGGCGTGGGGATAACCGCCTCCAAAACGTTGCATACCCCATATTCTTGGTCACGCTGAAACGCACTGAATGAAACTAGGAGTTTATCAGTTATGCTTTCAATTCCTTAGCACAAACAGTAGCGCAACCGGTAGTGGTTGGACTATTTATAACGCGGCCTATGTCATGACCGGATCGTGAGACTCAATCCCTGACGTTCGCCAACCTGAGAAATGACACGCCGGATCCGCCCGAAATAACCTAGCGAGAACCGAAGCCTTGGGGCGACAAAAACTACTGTGGAGAGAACCTTGAGGGGCCCCGCATGAGTATTTTCACGTTCAAGCAAGGGTTCGTGAGTGGCGCCGTTTAGCAGTTTAAGCGTTTAAGCATTTAAGCCTTCAAGCGTTCAGGCGATTAGGCGGTCAACCACACAACCGTCTAACCGTTGAAGCGTTGCCTCTCGTACCATAAGGCATTCAGGCACCAATGCGGCCAAGGTGTTGCACTACGGCAGCGACACATGTATTTATTCCCCGCAACATCCTCCTCCTCTTTCTTTGCATTTGATAGTCAGTGACTCGAGCTCTCTCTGAATTTCAACAATATGGATCCTAATCCTTCCGTGTCCCGCTCCCTGGACCTGACCGTCCTGGGGCTCAATAGTGGCACTTCGATGGTAAGCAGACGAACTTGACCAGCGAGAATTTAGGGAGTCATGCAAGCTCATCTATGCCACCTTAGGATGGAATCGACTGTGCTCTGTGTCATTTCCAACAAGAAACGCCGGATTCACCCATGAGGTTTGAGCTCCTCAAGGTATGCTAATGTCACCGGTTACGCAAATCCCGTTGAGTCTAACATAGAAGTGGCTTGCCAATAGTACGGTGAAATCCCCCTAGAGCAAACAATCAAGAAACGGGTCATGAATATTATCCTGCATAACAAAACATCTCCTTCCGAGCTATCTGAGGTGAATGTCATTCTCGGTGAGACATTTGCCGCGGCCGTTAAGGAGTTCTGCGGGCAGTACGATGTTGACATTTCGTCTATCGATGTTATTGGCTCCCACGGTCAAACCATCTGGCTTCTGTCTATGCCCGAGGAGGGTGAGGTACGCAGTGCTCTCACCATGGCTGAGGGCTCATTTATTGCCTCCCGCACGGGAATCACTACCGTGACCGACTTCCGGGTCAGCGACCAAGCAGCGGGTCGCCAGGGAGCACCACTCATTGCTTTCTTTGATGCCTTGCTCCTGCACCATCCGACAAAGTTGCGTGCCTGCCAAAACATTGGCGGAATTGCCAATGTCTGTTTTATCCCGCCTGACTCCCTGGGGGGCACTGATGCCTGCTATGATTTCGATACAGGCCCAGGGAATGTCTTTATCGATGCCGTTGTCCGACACTACACCAACGGCCAGCAGGAGTATGACAAGGACGGCGAGATGGGCGCTCGCGGCACAGTGGATCAGGATCTGGTAGATGAATTTCTACAAACTCATCCATACTTTCGGTTGGACCCACCGAAAACCACTGGCCGCGAGGTTTTCCGAGATACTCTAGCATTTGATCTCATTCGCAAGGCGGAATCCAAAGGTCTTAGTCCAGATGATGTCGTTGCTACTGTCACTCGCATCACCGCGCAGGCCATCGTCGATCATTACCGTCGCTATGCCCCCAAGGACCTCCCGATCGATGAAATCTTTATGTGCGGAGGCGGTTCTTATAATCCCAATATCACGCGATATATACAAGCACATTACCCTGACACGAAGATCCTCATGCTGGACCAAGCCGGTATCCCAGCTTCCGCCAAGGAAGCTATCACCTTCGCATGGCAGGGCATGGAAGCAGTCGTGGGCCGTTCTATTCCTGTGCCCACCCGCGTGGAGACTCGGCAGCCATATGTCTTGGGAAAGATATCGCCAGGCAAGAATTATCGTAAGGTGATGCAGCAAGGTATGCAATTCGGAGGAGACAAGCACCACCTGGCTGCAGTAACTGAGTTGGTTAATTATGTGAACGGGAAGGAGTTCAACAACAAATGGTAATAATACGTTTAGAACTGTAACAATAGAAGATCATGAGAATGGGACTGGTATCACTCCTCGTAGACATTGACAAAGACATCTTATGGAATTTTAAAGAGTGGTTAGACTAGTAGATGAGATATTACTCCTCTGCTGGCCGGCTCAAACTTTAACTGTGTGGGGCGCCGGGGACCATAATGACATAATCACATTGCGGCCTTCGGCAACTTTCTTCGCTCTAGTTATTCAGCAAGTCCAAAGGNAGACTAGACTGTATACCGCATCGTATCATGCGACAATCTCCCTTCCCCCCCTCGCCCGACGTGTGGAAGTCGTCCAAATGCCCCAGCGTCCCAGAAAAATCCAACGTATCTCAAGGGCGTGTATGTTACACCCTCATTGACCCTTAGTCCCCGCTCTAATAGCGCTCAGGTGACCGTTGCCATCGACGTAGCATAAAATGCACGAAAACCCGTGGCCCACTCGAGCCCTGTCAGAACTGTGTGGATTTCGATATACCCTGTACATATGAGCGTCCGTCACGGAAAAGGGGTGGTCGTAGAGGAGCCCGCGAAGGGGAACAGGAACCTGCATGCCGACCGGGCGGCGAGGTTGCCGCTACTACACCCTCTCGACCAGCCCATTCGGAAGATGATCTTCCAGTTGGCGTGAATAGTCATTTATCGACAGCTGTCGATAATAGCTCCTGGGCAACCACGGATCAGCCCTGTAATTCACATTCACCGCTGACGCCCTGGAAGGCACTTGCAATCGCCTGTCATTCTGTGGTGCTGGATCTCGCCCAGGTGTACTTTGAGATTGTCTATCCGATGTAGTTCTCTCATTTTCGTTCTTGAGAGGATAAGCTATAAGAGATTTGCTCCTGGACTAACCGCCTTCTACTACGCAGATTTCCTCTATTCCATCCACCATCGTTCTTGAGAGCCCTCCGGAATGAAAAGCATCTCGAGGACCAAGGATTATTCGCCTCAACAATGGCAATGTGTGCCTTAGCCTCCGCACGCGCCAGGGATGGCGGTTTATATTCGAATCAGCGATCACCGTCACAGTTGTCACATCCGCCACCAGAGGTTTTCTCGGCTGCAGCTAAGGAATCTATCCCTCCGAATTTGGCTGCAGCAAGAGGCATCGATTTTATGAGAGCATGTGCGATTCTCAGCGTTGCCGCCATTCAAAACGGTCAGATCCGGGAGATGCATCAATATCTAGGGATGTATCATACACTAAGTATTATGGAAGGGTTGCACGATGAGAAGTTATGGCCGAGGGACCTGGGTGTCGTGAACGTGGAGGTTCGACGGAGACTGGTACGTCACTGTGCCTATGTGATAGCTTCCACTAGTGTCAAACTAATGCTGGAATTAGTTCTGGTCGATGTATACGCTAGACGTGTTTTCGGCGACCGTATGGGGAGGCATGATCCGTTTCAGAGAAGTTCAGTCAAATGTACGCTATCCGAGAGAGGTGAACGACGATGTGCTTGATTTTGCAAACGAAGCATCGATATCGGCGGACTGTACCACGCCCGCTTCCAATCCTTATGAACCCTCGGTTTGGATGCGTGGGTGGAATTTCACTACTGATCTTTATCGAATACTGGAGCATGCTATAGACGGCCAGCGGCAAAGTCTGCGCGCTGAGAATGAGAGCCCCTGGTCGTTATTCCGCCCGACCCCTGTCCCGGGCCCTTTGATCATGGAGCATGTACATTCCCTATTCTCGGCTTTACCGTCGCAGCTTCAATCAAGCAAGCCTGCCACCGGTGATCCTGAACATGATATTGTTGGATTCCAATCCGCTAATATCCAAGCAACGCTCCAGCTTCTTAACATGGTCCTTTCTTCAAGCGAGGACCAAGGAGTGGAGGAGAAATGCGAGGTTGCCGGGAACGTGCTCAGCGTCTTTAGCACAGTGCCGATTGAATATCTCAGAGCAATCAGTTCCCCGCTGGTATGTTCTTTCCCTGCATACTCTCATACTTCTCCGCTCCCACCACTTTGGATACAGGAAGCACTAACTCTTGAAGCTCTACCACTTGGGGGGAATTGGGTTTATCCTTGGGTCTGTCATGGAAGGAAGCCTGTCTGAGATGTCTTACCAAAGAGTCCGCAAGCTTCTGTAAGCATTCAATGGCATCAGGTGTCGGGTTCAAGCCCAAGTTGCTAATTGATGAGAAGATTAGAGATGGCAGCACTTTTGTCTCAAATGGAGTCCGGCCTTACCCGCTCCACTGGCGCCAGTGAACGACTCAAATCACAGGTTAAGCGAATAGATGACTATATGGATAAAACTCGGCATGCCAATATGCGCTCTGAGCAAGCGGAAATTGACCAATCGCAAGACTTCGAAGGTTACATACGACCTATCCCAGGCCAGCCAGCAGACTTCGATGACACATTAGCTTATTTCGAACTGCCCCCAGACTTACTGGATGACTGGCCCTGGTCGTCTGGAGCTGGCGTGTTGGACGGCATGTTTCCGATTGCGTTAAGGAAAACAGACGACTAGAAAGACGTTTATTGGCACATTCTCCGCAACCATTCCCGAACGATAATATTGCAAATGACATGATGACAAGTGTTATCCCCCATGGACTTCCGGAGTGAGAATGTTTCAGGAACAGTAACTAGATTTGAATGTAATTATTCGACTCTCGTGTGTTCCTCCAAGTCTGGATCAAAACCGGTATACAAATAGAGACGGTCGCTGGCAGCCATCTAAAAGAGGAGAACAGATGAAAAACATGGGAGGGTCTTTCCCAATGCCACTTCCCTCCGCCTAACCCGCCGCCTACCTCATTAGGGCAGGCTCGCTTTTTGTAACCAGCAAACTTCTTGCCGTCTGCCATTCATGGATTTCTTGCCTGAGGCATGAAGGTTACTACCCGAAGCAGTAAGTTTTCTGCCTCAGGCATGAAGTGGGAAAGTTAAGAAAGGGCGGTAGGGCTCCCGCATGGACTACTAACAAATCTTACCTCTTGGGGCAGGCGGAGGATAGGCAGAGATTGTGGCCTGAGCGCCTCCCTAACACATACGTAGAATCTTTTGTAAACAATGCATGGAGAGTTCTACATTACATACTACTCGACTGATCCCTTCCTACTACAGCTATCAACCGGATTTAGTGACCCTCAAGCTATCCATCTCCCTTAAGCGACATTTTGTTGCGCAGTGAGCGGGTGCTGATGGATACTGCCGCTTTTCCCCGCCTTAGGTGAAACACTCAGCTAGTCGAGGGCCTCGTTCAACAATATCATCATTATCTCCCCATATGACCTTACTGCGTCAAAACCTTTACCGGAATATCCTCTTCGCTATGGTATATTACATAATACTGAATGTAATGCTTGACTATCATATTTCAGTTCAGTATCGGAACTGGCTTTCCAACTACATCCTTCAGTTGATTACCACTACTATATATGTTTGACATTCTGCATGTCTTGCTCCGCGTGCTGTATCATCGCCAGGTTATGCTCCTAATATTTGCTACTAGTAGTTTGATCCACGACACTTTCACTATGAAGAGAGATTTATCATCAAGTTGAAGAGTTCAATTCACGTTTCTATATCTTACTAGGAGTGGACTACAGGACATTACATTTGCCTGGTGGTGATGAATAGCCTGCTTATGCTACTCCTAGTTGTGATTAAGCCCATAAAGTGTCCGTAAAATATGTGGGCATTCTGAAGATACCATGTTGAGGATCATGTGGTGTGTCACAACTGATCGGCTTTCTGTAACCGCAGCGGGGGCAGGTGCGACCCAGGTGATATGGCTTTCGGATCGGCAGCTTCAAAGTCGTCTTCCTCGAGCAGGTATTCATAGACCTCCCATGCTTGTACTTGCACTCGGTTAGAGAAGGCAAGAACTTTTCCATCTGCAGCAATGGCTTGTGCACGAACACTTTGCAGTGCAAAGGGTACATGATGAACAGTCTCAAATCCCTGTCGTGTCGCAGTTGTCTCAAATTCTTCGTTCCGAACATCTTCGCTCCACCCAATCGGCAAGCTGTCCCTGGTGTCCACCTGGAACTGAAGCCGCCATTCGGCCGTCTCTGTATCCCCATTCCACGATAAGTATATATCTGTTCCACCGTTGCCCCCATGGGCCCCACGTCGCTGAAAGGCTACCACAGCGGGCTCCTCACTGGAAATCCCTGTCCAATTTGCCCGGAAGGCCCGATAATTCTGCACGTCGCCGCGGCTGAGCGGTCGGGAGTCCAGATAAGCATGGTAGAGAGGTTCTCCATCGGACGAAAATTCGGTTACCGCTCCCTCTGAGCCCCAGTTTATGAACACATTACCATTAGGAAGGGTTTGGAGTGATCCTTGTGACTTTACGAGCAGTAAATCAGGAGGAATAAACGAGGACTCGAGGGCTGCGTGGCGATTATGATGATCCAATTTGAGGATTTTGCCGCGGGAGTAGGGATAAATCTGTACTTCCTTGTCACCACCACCGCCACTTTCAGAGCCGTATACGGCATTGTCAAATAGCGTTATTGTTGTCACACCGCTATTATCGACCTGATTAAGCAACCGGGCATGATGCTGAAAGCCAAACTCTACTTCAGGGCCCAGGGTGAAGTCGGATCGTGACCCTCCTAATCGCCAGATAACACTGCCATCTGTGCTGTTAATCTTGTAAACGGTGCTGGCATGACGTGCAGACACAAGGTAGTGACCGTCAATGCCCTTGGTTACTGAGTTGATGTGAAAATAATCCCAAGCAGTAGAGCTATTGTGGCCAATCCCCGCTTGATCCTTGGGAAGTGGAAGAGCAGATTCTGGGACAAGCGAAGGCGTTAATATTGGCACAAAGAAATTCTTTCTGATGTGGAGGAATTCACTGTGAACCAAAAGATGGGAGACAACTTACCCTCCGGGCCAATATGATCCAGGCTTCGCCATTCGAACAACACTTTGCCATCACTGATGTCCAACTCTGTGTGATATAATGAGCCTTGTCGTGTTCCACAGAACATTGCGGACCATGCTAGATAGAGCTAACCTTGAAATATCGCGTTAACAATCCAATGTTGCCGTCGGTCGGATGTGTAATTGCTCAGATCTCGCACTTCCGGGTGATGAATCTGGATCAGTGCTGTCGATTCGTTCAAGATCTCGAACTCATGTTTATCGGAGAGCAGATGATTACCCGCTCGGAGCTCTTTGATCGTCTCATACCGCTGATTCAGGAGCACATGATGGCCATGACCATGGCCATAAAGTCCATTGTGGGCACCTTCGAAAGCGGCTAAAACATCCTGACCATTCCATCGCGCGGCCTGAAAGTTCCCTGTCCAGGTAGAGAAGTAGGTGTACCCGGACCAGACTAGGTCGCCGTTGTCGCTGAAAATGTACGCACCAGGCTGCTGTGGTGCTCGATGTGCCGGCTCGGAAACGGCATTGAATGGGGCGATGAATATGTATCCTTGTTCTAGCCCATGGGTCGGAGGAATGGTGATATTGAGACGGGGTGGGGACAGATCAGGTCTCGATTTATACCTATTGTTGGCGATGGCTACATGGCTAAACAATATGAGCCCCAAGCATACCCATGGCATGCGCAGGACAGTAGGTGACAACATGACTAAAGGCTTTTTGTAAAGTACACTGGGAGGCGGCTGTGACACTGGCCTCCCTTAAGTAGTGCCACACAGGGCTAAGCTAACCCAATCACCTCATCCGCCCTAAAATGAGATGGCCTACCGGGGGATCTGATCGCCAACCAACCTTGCATCTACCGCAGCCCCATGAATACCACTTCTTCCTATACCGTGTTACTTCAAGTAACAGAAAGCCTGAGGGGACTAGCATCAGAAATAAATTCATAGTTGCATTGATAAAACATTACTCTGCATCCTAATGTGTCCCTGTCGCAGACTATGCATTGAAGGTCTTCGAAACTCAACAGGAGCGTTAGATTTGAAAGATACTACGTTTTTCTCTATGACTGGTTTATGTAACACACGCAAAAATAAGTAGAAGGATCTTGATCTATCGGCTGGAAACGGTTTATCCACATGCATTGGGTGATGTGCCCAATGCAGTGGGTCAATTTTGGCTAGAAGTATACAGAGCCCGAAACCTGGTCTCTTGTGACAGCAATGACTCAGGACGGTCAAACTCCACAAGTACCCCATCCTCAAAGAGCGCAATCTTATCAAAGGCGGATATATTTTCGTACCGGTGCACAATTGAAAGAATGGTACAATCATTGAAATGACTAGCAACAATGCGTTCCATGAGCGATTGTGTAGCGGCATCGACTCTAGAACCATTAGTTAAGTTGTATAAGCATTCCGTCTAGATGGCTACAACAAGGGAAGAACTTTTTAAAGAAATGTGGCTAACATACCGACCCATGGCTTCATCAAGGATTAGAATCCTGCTCCTCCTCGCCATAGCGCGCGCAAGTGCCATCAACTGTCCTTGCCCGGCTGACCATAAACCCGGTTCTAGTTCAGCATCCAGTCCACCCATGTTCTGAACAATAGCAGATAAATGGGTGGCTTTTAGGACGCCTTCCAGGGCGGCTTCCGACAGTGCCTCATCAGGATCGATGTTGAGCCGGATGGTTCCGGGCAGAAAACAAGGGTCCTGGGGTACGACGCTCAGACGCTTGAGAATGTCCTCTGAACAGACATTGCTGAGGTCGACCCCGTCAATTTGAACGGAGCCGCTTTGTATGGGAAGCAACCCACCAAGACAGAGCACAAGCGATGACTTGCCGCTTCCAGAGCGTCCGCAAATGGCAACTTTATCTCCTGGTTTAATGTGCATTGAAACTGATTTGAGAACAGGGTGGGATCTGTAATTTGCAAGTCAGGCGTCCATGCTTGGTGGGCCGTCCTAGCGCCGGGCCACACATTGGATTGAACGATATGCGAGAGTGCAGGACAAGTGGTTACATACCTGTAAGCTGCAACGACATTAACGAATTCGATTGCCCCCTGACTGGGCCACGTAACCTTCTCATGCATGGAAAACGAGGAGTCAGCATCGGAATGTTTACTCTGCGCTTCTGACGGCACGGTCTCCGCGAAGGTTTTGATCCGGGAGACTGCCCCGAGACATGATTCGGTCAGTGACCAGAATTTGAGTAAGCGTGCCAAAGACTGCGTAAAGCTCATGAGGGTTACAATCGCTGTTCCAGATGACCCGGAATCAAAAGAATCCCTGCTAAAGACGATGAGGATCATGAGAAGAACAACCAGTCCACATGCTAAAAGGTCCATAGCGAGCGTTAACCATTGTTGGATCATGAATAGGGTATAGACGCATTTCTGTGAATCATCCACGAAAAGGAGGTTATTTCTCTCAAGCCATTGTTGTCGACGAAAGGCACGGATGGTAGATACACCGCTCAGTGTCTCAGAAAGATGCTGATACAATGGAGCCTTGGTCTCGATGCTGAGGAGGCGTACTTGTCGAGACGTTCGGAGGTAGTACCTCTGAAGGAAGTAGCATACTATTAGAAGAGGCGGAACTGTCAGGGACATATAGTTCGCTACGACGAACAATATGATCATCTTTAGCAAACAAGCACCCAGCGCTTCATCACTTGGAGTGTTAACATTTGAGTATATTCGGACAAATTGGAACCGCAATGAATACAATCACCTTAACATACCTTTCGTTGTGTTAATGGCGGCCAGTGGTAAGGTCATGTCAGTAAGCTCCAGGTCCTGGTTGAAACTGGAAGTGCAATCGTTTGATCAGTAGCGGCAACTCTAGGGGTGTTTAACTGGTAGGGTTACCGATTCAAGATGTCGCCTGAGTTAGCCTCACTGAGCCAGAAGAGCGGAGCACTGGCTACTAGTCAGCGAGTTGTTTATTGTCTTTGAAGGCACATTATATGCAGAAGAGTACTATACTGTAAAAGTGGTCTTAGCATGGATAGATGTAGACGTTGTGCAGTGTTGGATATCATATGAAGAAGGTAAATCCTGTAGCCGGTTATTGTCCTGTAAGTCATACCAAGTGGATAGACTGAGAATATACCATGAGCTGGCAGCGCCGATAATGACAGCGCCAAGCCCAAGGGCAATAAAAACGCCTAAGTACATCCAATGTGCACCGTTTGGGCTTTCCGTACTGGCGTCTGACCACCACTTGAGCCAGAGTGCTGGAAATGCTCAGTTAGCTTCAATTCCAGTGATACGTCGGTCTGGGAGCTAGAGGCTGGTCTCACTTGAAAAGTTTTGGGAGAACGCGAAGACAAGGACTAGAACTATGTAAAGAATCGAAAGCCCCAAACCTGCAGACTTCAGGTAATATAAGTAAACGGAGCGATCTTTGACCGGCCGCGAGACGGTCTGCTTGGAATCCGGCGCAGTGTCATCAGAGGATACCTCCGCATCCACGGATTGAGAGGCCTGCCGTTCTGGAGAGGCCGGTCGTGATTCAAACTCGTGGTCATCTGGAAAAGACGTTTGATGACCGGAAGAGAGTTTTGAAGAGGCAGACGGCTTGTATCTCGCCACTGTACCCTCTTCCAAAATATAAACATCATCTACAAAAGCCGTTACTTTGGCTAAAGAAATGGTTTAACCTAGTCAGCAGACACAAGACTGTCGTTGTCTAGGAACTCACCATTGTGCGTTGATAGGATAACAGTAATGCCTTTGCAACGCAGGTAACCCTTACGCCTGTCCAGTAGCCTTTCACAGATTTTATTAATATTTGCAGCATCGAGTCCGCTAAAGATATCGTCGAGGACTACCATCTCGCAGCCAGAATACACTGCACGAGCAAGCGCCTAAGTCAATATGCTGTTGTTAGCGAAGGCAACACCTCAATGGCATAAAGCAGCAGCATACCAGGCGTTGTTTCTGTCCTCCACTGAGCATACATCCCTGCCCTCCGATTCTAGTCAAGTCCTTTTCCGGCAGAGCTTCAACGTTTTCGGCCAAACAGCACATCCATAGTACGTGGTGGTACCACTCCGGCTCAAAGTTTAGCGGATCGACGATGTTACCGCGGACACTGGTATCCACTAGCCAGGGAGTCTGAGCGCAGTATGCAATGGGCACAGGGTGTACGGACACCCGACCTCTACTAACAACAGTTTCGCCCAGTACAGTCTCCAGTAGCAGTGTCTTACCAGAGCCTATCGGCCCCATGATCGCAGCAAAGGAGCCTCTTGGCACGCTCAAATTGATACCGTAGAGCATATCGCATCCTGAAGGTTCCCACCTTATGAAAGCATCTCTGCAATCTATAATGTTTCCCTCATCCATGATAGAGCTATCACCACGCTCATTTTCAACTAAAACCGTTTTTGATGAACGGTGTACGGCGATATAGTCTTGGATTCGAGTAAAAGAGCCCAGGCACTGAACGATGGCCGGTAACGTCTGTATGAAGGTCCAGACTGGCATCGTAATGAGTGTCATTAGAGACAGTGCCGTGAATGCCTGCGAGGAATTTAATGAGTAATCTTTTGTTGTGAAGGAGATTATCGTAAACAATGTGAATGAGGCTGCCGGAGCAGCGAGCCACGGGAAGCTGGCTGTGGAGGACATGTCAGCAGAGCGCTTTTGCAACCAAACCAGAAGCTGGAAGGCTAATAGGAAGCGAATGGCGAGAAAATGAAGTGATCCCCGACAAAGGCAAGGCGCTTACAGATGAGGACTTCCCAAAATATAAGTGATCGAAATTTACGCGAAGTGGCAATTTCGGTAGAACGAAAACCAGCGATGACTTCCTCCACTCGATTACAAAGACCAAGTACTTTCAACGATTTTATGCTGCTTAGGGCTTGCCTAGTAGCATGTATTCTGAGCTCGACTTTAGCAATCCACGCGCGCTGAGCCCTATTCTTGGATTTCGAGACTTTTATTATCATTGATATACATGCTGTTGAAGGATCAGACACAAAACCATCATGATAACAAATTGGAAGTACATACCCAGAGAAAGGATGACAGGCATGAGGCACGACACCGCAAGCTGGCGTTCTAATAGCCACAGTGCCAGTCCAATGTCGATTGGGGATGCCCATATCTCGTGTATATCACGCAGGCTAGTTGAAATGCGCTCCACATCTGTCCCCATCAGTGTGATAGCCGTGTCGGTGCCCATCTCCCCAGACCGCCGTTTGAGAGTCTGTGCATAGATCGTCGCAAGAAGACTACCACGAATACTGATGATGAACCGATACGTCTGTCGACTGTAAAATGCAGTGGATACCTGCGAGTTGTTAAAAATGTTTCTATAGGAATCGCGAGCACTATCCACTTACAGCAATACCAAAATATACAATCCCTGAAGCCGCTATTAACCCATACCCCTTGTTCCTTGTCTCTGGAGTTTCCGGAAGTGCAGCGTATGTAGTAATTTTATCGACCAACAGGGGCTGCATAATGGTAAACGCCGAAAGGCAAAGTCGAGGGATAACTGCACTGAAGAAGGCCATCTTGTACGTTTGTAATAATGTGATTGGCAGTTGATTTCTTTTGGAATGGTCGACTACTAGACAGGATCATCAGCTTTGACATTCATTCACAGCGCGTACAAGGATCATCTATGGCTTGGTGAGTAAGCATACCATTTCCCCAAGACCTCTGTAATCGCTTCATTAGTCTCATGCTCGCCAGCTCTAGGGCAACAGGGGGGACATCCGATAAGCCCAAGGGACGGGTGAACCCTTGCTGCAATACTGGCAGAACCCATATTAACAATCCCAAGCCCCAAAGACTACTTGTCTCCTCGGCGGTTGGCTGTCGGCATCTGGTTGTTATCAGAGAATGTTCTTTTTTTAGGGACTCTGCGATGAGCACAGTAATATGAACGGCGAGCACAGTACTGCATAGAGCTGTTGCACTCGACGAGTTAGATGCCAACCAGAACGAGCGGATAAAGACACCATCAAATAGCACTACCAGGAATAGATAGACGTTAATTAGAAGTGGTGGCCGCAGTGTCCGATTATACTCCAAGTATGATAGACATAGTGCTACACAGGTTCCAAAAGCTCGCAACAATTGGGCCGCCAAGCTAGCCTGGGTCTTGAGAACAGCTATCTGTTGACGAAGCACAAGGAGAGCGACCTCGCTTGCAAACAGAATTAGATACAATGTCTGCATCTTTTAGTAGGAGACTCTATATCGCCAGATCTGAAATTTAACACTGACCGAAGTCCAAGCAACCCTATATGTCCTGATAATTATGTTCGACCTTCCAACCAACTGCAACACTCGGATGATGCCCAAGATGATGAAGACGGCAGAAGGAACACAAGCAAGAAAGACATCCTCGAAGAACAAGGTGAAATCGAATGATCGACATTGGCTGTCCACCACGGGGCCAAAGGAGGTATCGCTAGCCCGGCACAGGCTTTGACTGGTCATGGTGACAACTGCTAGAATTGGATTGTTAGGCATGTAGGATGAGGTTGCAGTAAATAGTCCCAGGCTCAGGTCGCGGCGATGTTCCGACTTCGGCGCTCAACACTTGCCGGTCAAGTGAGGCTATGATGGTCACTAGGCTATCTCAGCCTTGATCTACTTACAAGCTTACGCAGATCTTCGATCCTGAAAAGGTAACTGCTCATGTGCCCCAATGTTCTGCTCTTCAGATCTGTGGGCTGACTATTGCGCAATCATCCTTCAGGGTTTGCAACAAACTAAGGCCGTATCCGCGGTAGGGCCCGCGGGCGGAGCGGCACGATCGCAGCCAATCATGCCCTAAATGGAATGCTTTAGTGACAGGGCTTATATGGGGGCGATTTTTCGGCGACACCGATCTAGAACTTGAATAAGGGTGTCGCCCAACATAAGCATTTGCAACTGTGAGAGTCATGCTGACAGCAAAGGGGAACATGCAGGGGGGATAACGCCATTGGAATAAGCGATCTCGTCATGTTCCTGAGGATCGCCGATCGGTCGAATTCACGGTTAGACTCATGTTTTCGACGGAGCGACACACGGGGAGGATAAACCGGCAAGTACAGAATGCCTGAACTACTTAAGGACAACGAGCGTCAGCCGAATGATGCTATCCAGTGTCCACATATCTTATGAGTATCCATTGTGATTTAGTAACAGGACCAAAATATGCCTCACTCAGAAACCCCTCAAGAGCAAACGATTGCCAGTGCCGACGTGACGAGCGGCGCTCAGGGCGTACGTATACGTATACATTAGTTTCAGAGAGTATGCTAATATCCAAACCAGCAACAAACCCAGATTCGGGTCCTAGTCGCCTGCCCTCGTTCGGGCTCCACACTCTTCATGCGTATCTTTCGCGAACTCCCTCGTTGTGCGGTTACGAGTCGCTTGATTCTGCAAGGCAACTACCACAAATTCAGCGACCAAACTCTAGCTCGAATAAAGCCCGACTACACCATCTTCTCTCATCCAGAAGCCCATCCCGTCTACCACCAAGCGGTGTCGGAAGGCTTTACCACTCTGGTCACGAAAGAGGAATTGGGTCACGAGTTCTTCAAGGGTGAATGCGACTTCAACATCCTGCCCAATCGAGCAGCCTACGAGATGACGCGGCCCGCGTTTCTTGTCCGGGACCCAGTGCGCGTCTTTGATAGCTGGAAAAATATGGGCTGGGGCGACCTATACAGCTTTTTCATTTGCTATCGTTCACTTTTCAGAATGCTCAATGCTAGCCCAGCACCACAAGTTGTCCTGTATGAGCAATTGGTGGCCGACCCCAGAGACACAGTAATCGCACTGGCACAGTACTGGGGCATCGCATACGATGAAGGCTGTTTGGAATTTAGGCAGCCGTTTGGGGATTACCTATTCAACGGTGACCGAGAACAATCGATCTATCAGGGTGCCGTTCCTGCCGGCCTCTTCAACCGCGTCAAGTCCCACACTCATGTTGAAGACTTCCAGGGCCATGGTCTGCTATCCGCACTGGAAATTGAACATATCGAAGCCGAAGTAGGCGGCCTGTACCTTGAGGCTTATGGCTCACAGCTAGACCCCATTTCAAGTCTTCTCTTCAAAAAGACGTGGTTTGGTTTCGATCTAGATGACACACTGCACGAGTTTCGCAAGGCGTCTGCCCATGCATCCCAATCAGTCTTCGCGGCAATTCGAGTCAACCATCCCGAGACCAAAGACACAATTGACGATCTCCAGGCGACCTATCGTGACATCCTTCGGTCAAATTCTTCAAATGCGTTCACAGATGGAAAGTCATCCGAAGATTACCGCAGTGATAGATTTCAACGTTTGCTCGAAGCCCACGGGCATGAGCCTTCCCGGGTAGAAGTGGAAGAGCTGTTGGCAATATACAAAAGCAGTCTCCGTGCCGCCCTGACACTGAAGGCTGGGGCACTTCGTCTCCTACAGAAGCTCAAGTCCCATGGGAAGAAAGTTATTATAATCACCGAGGGTCCACAAGATGCACAGGAATGGACGGTGTCAGAGCTTGGGTTACAGCCATTCATAGATATCCTCGTCACCACCAATGAGGTCGGAGTGTCCAAGGTGGATGGTCTATTTTCCGCTGTTCTGGAAAAACATAGCATCGTCCCAACTGACATGGTCTATGTTGGGGATAGCGAACAGCGTGACATCGGACCAGCACGGGCTGCAGGGATGGATACTGTCTTGTATGACGAGAAGAGCAACTGTCGGCTTCGAGACCCTCACAGCCTGCGGCTAAACTCACTCCCAAAATTAGAGTACCTCATGGGCCGTCATGAAGGTGCCTAATATATCGGGTCTGGGCAGTCGGTACTGACCAAAAGGATCTTTGGGGTTAATAGATTACTTATATGGACAGCATATCGGTAGAGATTGGGAGTGCTTGCTGTAAAATGTGTGCATCTTGGATCTCGGGTCTCTTTCAGATCACCCTCAGGCAACAGCTGTGGGTAGCTTTGGCTCACTAGCTAGCTGCTTTTCTTCAATCATTGCTAGCATGTGTAGATTGAAGAGGCAAGGAAAGTAAAGAAAAGGAAATTGAGGGACGTAAGGTACTAATTCAAGTGCTTGTTAGCATAACGGTTGAGGCCATATTTGAGAGACGGTGAGCGGGGCATATGGCAGGTGGATCTGTTGAAGATACAGAGATAGGTAGAAATTCAATTCGAAAATGCACACTTTCTTCGAAAATTCTGTAACATGGAGACTATTTGGCCAGTCCATTCGGTTTGTGGCAACCTGCCGGCATTATTTTAGACAAGACTTCAAAGCAGTGCTCACGAATTTTCTCGGAGTTGACTGACATACCAGCGTCCCATGTGTCACATATTCAACCATTCCAACATCGAAAATAAAATCACGAGTACAATAAAGATCAGTATTTATCGAGGAATTGAGGACATAAGCTGCAACATCGCCGGTATCTCAATGCATCTTTAGGCTCAGGGACACATTATCACATAGTCGGCCCATGTTTGCTCCAGTTCGTGATTGGCGCGCATATGCCAAAACCATTCATAACCAGAAGCCGGTGACACGAAGTCAGCGAGAGGAGAAGCTGTTCATAATATCCAAGCTGTTTTAGGTGGGTGAGTGGCGGATTTCTCTAACATTATTCTCAGTCTAATTAACTTAACTAGCTAGGCTGAATAAACATTAGTCTAGATATATCTTAGCTATATCCAGTTTGAGGTAAATGTATAAGATAGATTTCATTGTCAAAGGTGATGATAATAATTTATTATTTTTTATTAGTAGGGTTTCAGCTATAAGAATGATGTTGATCTAACTATTACTCTGATTGCAGGTAAGAATAACTGACCTGGCCATCGGGTGTCTTATACGGGGTCTCTCACTAATGGTCCATTTGTCCGTGGCGTAATCAGGGTAGTATGGTGTGTATTTTTCTGCTCTCCAATCGGTAATCCCGATATCAGTACAGTGCCTGATTGGGTGATGCTACTAGTTCCCATTACATGACCTCGATGCAGAAAATAGGTCTAGATAACTGGAAGCTATTGGCGGGCAGAAGGTGGCTGGAGCTCCAGATGATTCAGAAAGAGGGGTTTATCGCGGCTTTAGACAAGCCAACACTTAGCCCAAGGTATGAAGCAAATCCCGATATGACTACATACATGCAAGGACGGACACCAGTCACTATCAAAAAGATGGCCCCATCCCTAATAATATGAGGTGGTACAGACCTTTTCTGTGAGAGGGAGGGGTTTATGTGGGGGGAATGCATACTAGCTGCAGCTTCGGAGAGAGAACCAGATCTCATTGGTCAGCCACATCCACATGCAGGCATTCCTTGGAAGGGACGCTGCACTACGTATTAGTGTGATATATCTTGCAGAATTCCATTTGCGGGCTCCATGTGTGGGTGTTCAGGTATCAACTGCCTGCCTCTATCGGGGACCAGGCGTTTCCTCGGCACGCGGAAAAGTACCATTCAAAGGCTATAAAAGCCCTAGTCAACACTCCTATGCATGAATGCTATATCATTTTGTTCTACTGATATCTTTTGAAACATCTATATTGGATTTGATTTCTTCAGTCACATATTAATGATCTAGATATATATCTTGTGTCTCCGACACTACAGCGCACTCGTAAATTGTGTCAAGCTGCCATGGCCGTTCCGCAAAGCTGCACTGTGCTGGTCATTGGGGGAGGCCCAGCTGGCTCATATGCAGCAGCAGCCTTGGCTCGCGAAGGGTTCGAGACAGTCTTACTGGAGGCAGACAAATTTCCCAGGTTAGTGGTCATACTGGGTACCCTGGAATAATCAGTCTTACCCTACGGAGTAGGTTGCTGTCCGTTGGCTCATTTCATGTGTGATAGGTATCATATCGGCGAAAGCACTCTTCCCTCCCTGCGCCACTTCTTTAAGTTTATAGACTTTTACGATACCTTCGATGCTCACGGGTTTTACCACAAGGTACTTGATTGCTGCCCTGTTTCCTTGCATTGTGAGTTAACAAGCTACCGCTACCCATAGGACGGCGCGGTTTTCCGACTCGCACAAGCTCAGCCCGATGCCTGTAAGTTTATTCCTGCTCTTCCTCCCATATATTTGCCCCTCTATTGTATATATATTTCCTTGAATATGCTAATGCCTGCCAAGATACCGACTTTCTTGAGGCAGGCGGTCCTGATGCATATGCCTGGAACTTGATACGATCCGAATCCGACGACCTACTCTTTAGACACGCCGGCACTTGCGGTGCTCACATTTTTGACGAAACCAAGGTCGACACAATTCAATTTGAATCACACATTGGTGAATTGAGCCTGAGCCGGATAGAGCTAGTAACGGGGAATTGAATCCCGGCCGCCCTGTGTCTGTCACCTGGGTCCGCAAAGACGGCAGTTCTGGATCCATCGCCTTGAAGTACCTCGTAGACGCTAGCGGGAGGAATGGCATACTGAGCACGAAGTACCTGAAAAACCGGAAGTTTAACGATAATTTCAAAAACGTTGCTAATTGGGCTTACTGGAAGACTGACAACTTATACGGTCTCGGGACGCACATGGAAGGTTCGCCGTACTTTGAGGCATTGGACGGTAAGTTCGTGAAAGAATCCACCTTCACCAATATGCTTATATGTCGGCCCTTTTTGCTAAACAATAAACAGACGCCAGTGGCTGGGCTTGGTTTATGCCACTACACGATGGCACTCGCTCCGTGGGAGTTGTTCAAGACCAGAAAATTGCGACTGAACAGAAGCGACAGCTCGGACGTCCCTCAAGCTTGGACTTTTATAAGCAATGCGTCGAAAAGGCGCCCAGAACTAGGAAGCTCCTCTCGGGAGCGGAGATAGTCACCAATGTCAGAGCGGCCTCGGATTGGTCCTATACCGCGTCAACTTATCACATACCAAATGCACGCATCTGCGGAGACGCCGGCAGTTTTATTGACCCCTTGTTTTCCTCGGGTGTCCATCTGGCTGTGACAGGAGGTCTCTCAGCGGCAGCTACGATTGCAGCCTCGATCAGGGGCGACTGTGATGAGCAGACGGCTGGGTCGTGGCACACCAAGAAAACGGTTGAGAGCTATACTCGATTCTTCTTGGCAGTTAGCAGTGCTACAAAACAGATCCGTGAACAGTATGAGCCTATTATCCAGGACATGGAGGAGGAAGGGTTCCAAAGAGCCTTTGATCTTCTGAGACCTAGTACGGACCTCCTGAAGCACTTCATTTTAGCTCCAGTTTTAGTTCTTCAGTTAACCAAAATCCTTTGTGTTTCAGTCATCCAAGGTACCGTCGACGCGGATAATACAGGGAAGATCTCCTACACCGAAATCTCCAAGGCACTCGAATTCTGCTTTAGGGCTTTCACATATGTCCCGCCAGAAAAGAAAGACGCACTGTTCGAGAAACTGAAGAACCTCGGTGTTGAATCTGGTAAAAGCGACGCAAAAGAGGCAAAGGCACTTGATGATATAGAAAAGCATCTTACAAGGGATGAGCTACAGGTATTGGAAATTCTACGAAGTAGGCGCATGATTCGTGAAGACCCCTTTGAGATGGATAGCTTCACCCTCGACACTATCGACGGATTGGCGCCGAACTTAGTACGTGGTAAATTGGGACTCGTTAAGGCTAATCAGGCCAAAATTGACAAAGCTCACTTCTTTTCGCCGCGATTTTTGGACGGTAAGGCCCCGGGGATTAGGGATGAGAGCATTTTTCTGCCCACGTCAAGGGTTCGGCTTGGTTGATCAATCATCCATATAAATGGAATGCGATGCAGCTCGCCAGCCGCATTATCGGCCTGAAAGATGCACTTCATATTCAGATTCCCACACAATGGCTATCTCTCTACTTCCTTATGCGTTTCCATTCCATATAAATAGGTCAGCAGGATCGTGCATCTAGCATCGAGACTGCCATTCCCATTCTTACATATAATGAACTGGTTATTTTACCTAAGCCACGTGGATATAATAAATTTAAGATGTGCTCTATTCGAGTAGCATATCCCAGGAATTGTGTGGAGCCCTAACTCCTACTTAGCTTTTGACCAAGCATCTCCTTTATACAGTAGTTCAGTATCAATGTATTATTTCTTTGCTATCTTAGTACTAATATCAGGTCTCCAAGAAATCCACTGCTTAGAAGGGAACAACCCGACCGTACACTGGCGGGCAAGTGAAGGTCTAAAAATCCATTAACTGCTGGATAGATACTTATTCCTTACATTTTGTAGTCTTTATACGGATGTATCACTGTTCTGTCATACATTGACATTTGTAGAGATGTTGTGCCAACAATCGTCCAAGCCTATGATAACATACTTTTCTGAGGGTTTGAGTGATTTGACGATCATTTGCATATTGAAAGAGTCTAAAATATAAACATAATAAGAATATCGACTGCTAGGTCGTCTCTGTTACTGCATATGATATGAAAGTCTTCTCAGATAATAATCCTGGATCATATGGTCACAGTGGCTAATAGTCAGGTCATATCACAAGAAACGAAATTATGATCTCTTCTTTTAACTAGACAATGAGATTAAAAGAATCTCCATACAAGCACACCATAGGCTTTATAGGTAAAATCTAACAGCCAATTTTTTCGAGTTCTTCATTCCCACTATTTATTTACTCTGATTACTTTGACCTTGGAATTGTTGAGTTTAAGGTAAATCAATACACGGTTAATTTCATTACTTTGATTAATATGTTTTATAATGGGAGTTCTCAATCGGTGTTGCTAACAGGAAGCCCAAGCCACTTTAGATATAAGCAATTGGCCGAGAACAAGCGCCTCAAGAGGCCTGCTTACCACGCCCATTGAGTCTCTTTGATTGTACCTGGAAGGCATTGATGAAATGTCTGACGAGAAAGGGGCACTCATGCGGAAGTTAACATGTAGCTAACCATATTTTTCGAACATCGAGTGACCACATGCCCGTTTTTCTGAGGCTCATTTGATAGGGTGCAACCACACCCCTAGAACAGTTTACGTGCGAATGATAAAGCACATGGTTTGGTTAGGAAATTAATGAGGCTGACTGAAATTTCAAGTTCTTCTGACCACAACTTCTCGGACTCTTATTGCTCCAGCAATTTTGGGGGCCAGTGCGTCCTGGTAGTCGCAACTCGCAGAAAGCAAATTTTGAAGCTGCGCGCACCCATTTCCTCAAGCTCGACGGACACCCTAGCATTCTTAGTATAATACCCGATGTAGATTCGACATCGAAAGGATAAGGAACGAAAAGAAGGGGCAAAAAATGAGAAGAAAAGAACCGAAATAAACCAGACGAATAGCAGGGTCTGTAATCAAAATATGGGAGAGGTGCCGCAATTACCCCGTAGTGGACTTTATTATGATCACTCCACTTCCCGAGTACTTCGAAAAGGATAATACCATTGTAACAAGCGAACCTGCTTGGTGTGAGCCAGTTTATTAGATAGCAATTGGAGGGTTTGGAATCTGCTATCGAGACACGCGAGGTTCTGCAGAAGTTATTTTTGCAGCATCACCTGCACTAGACCTGCACGGGTAATGTAGTCCGACCTGGCCTGTGTCCTCTGGACATGGGCGTACCGGACAACTTGATTCGTGCCCTCATGGCCCCGTTACGAGCCCCCTAACGGACGTCCGCTAGCATCCGCACCTGCCATGGCTGAAACTTTGCCCCTGACCTAGTCCATTTCATTTTATATAATGCTGATGAGATATGGTTCTTGCACAACTATGCTTTTCCTCGGTCGGTGCGTAATGTATAGTTCGTGGGTGGTAAGGAAATTCACCGACAGCAACTCCCAGCATAACATGGAGAAGAACCGATGAATGAGCAGCGACAAACATGGTACCACAATTCTTGAATAAGCATTTAGACTCCGGCTTGGTTTTTTCCGTTGCATTGGCGCTGGTGTTGTTCCTGCGCACGGTGCAACCGTTATCTCCACCAATGATTACCTGCAGAAAGCCCATGGCTGCAACCACCCAGCCGACTTGAGTCCACCTAACAGCATACTCAGCATACTCGATGCTGGGAATTACTTCAGGTATGGTCGGCTGAATATGCAGTCGATTTCCGGCGCCAGGAACAGTCCGGCCCCCTCACCACGGACATAGACCCGCCACCAAAACGTCGATAGCGGCCTCGCTTCGTCAACGACCATTTTGCCCACCCCTGACACCCAGGAAAGACGTCTTCCAATAACAATATAAAAGGGCGAGTCTTGTCCTCTCACTTTCCGTCTTTCGAGTATGCCTTGCCAGTTCCCAACTTGACTTGAGACCTCCCATTTCGGTCATTTGTCACCCGCTATAAGAATGGTCCGTCAGCTTATCCTGATCAGCAGTCTGCTGGCAGCTGTTGCTGTGCGCGCGGCGCCTGCCGATCCGGCTCATCCCATGGTTACGGAAGCGCCTGACGTCAATTTGGTTGAAAAGAGGGCGACTACTTGCACCTTCTCGGGCTCCGAAGGTGCATCCAAGGCCAGCAAGTCGAAAACCTCTTGCTCCACAATCTACCTGTCCGACGTGGCCGTCCCATCTGGCACAACCCTTGATCTCTCTGACCTGAATGATGGAACCCACGTACGTTCCCCGGGTGATTCATGTCTTATTCTCACACCCAATCGCGTCAATAGTACTGGCTGACAGATGTACTAGGTGATCTTCCAGGGAGAAACCACTTTTGGATACGAGGAATGGGAAGGGCCTCTTGTGCGTGTTTCTGGAACTGATATCACGGTCGAGGGGGAGAGCGACGCGGTGCTCAATGGCGATGGCAGCCGCTGGTGGGATGGAGAGGGTGGCAATGGTGGTAAAACAAAGCCCAAGTTCTTCTATGCCCATGACTTGACCTCTTCCACCATCAAGAGCATCTACATCGAGAACTCTCCTGTGCAGGTGTTCAGCATCGATGGCTCCACTGATCTTACCATGACTGATATCACGGTGGATAACACGGATGGTGACACGGACGACCTCGCCGCCAATACGGATGGCTTCGACATCGGGGAAAGCACCTATATCACGATCACAGGTGCCGAAATCTACAACCAAGATGACTGCGTTGCCATCAATTCTGGAGAGGTATGCGTCCCCTGGCACTGATTGAGAGGAGAGGCGCCTTGCTGACGATCTGGTAGAACATTTATTTCAGTGCCAGTGTGTGTTCTGGTGGTCACGGCCTGTCTATTGGCTCTGTTGGTGGTCGGGATGATAACACTGTCAAGAACGTGACGTTTTATGATGTCAATGTTCTCAAGTCCCAGCAAGGTAAGGGAAAGCATTTGAACCATCCGTTTGCCGTCCTCTAACGTATGCTTTAGCAATCCGTATCAAGACCATCTACGGCGACACTGGCTCCGTCAGCGAAGTCACTTACCATGAGATTGCCTTTTCGGACGCTACTGATTACGGCATTGTCATTGAGCAGAACTATGATGACACCTCCAAGACCCCTACTACCGGGGTACCGATCACGGATTTTGTGCTCGAGAACATCGTTGGAACGTGTGAAGATGATGATTGTACCGAAGTATACATTGCCTGCGGTGATGGCAGCTGCTCGGATTGGACTTGGACTGGCGTGAGCGTGACTGGCGGCAGTGTCAGTGACGACTGCCTTAATGTTCCCTCCGGGATTAGCTGCGATTTGTAGGCCGTTGTGATTGGGGGAGATGTTCCCGGGTACTCTGGTCGTTCGTTTAGCCAGCCCTTTCTGTTGAGTGGCCTGTTCTTCTATACTGTCGATTGTGTGTGAGATTACTACCTTGCCCGAGGAAAGAGCAGTGCATCCTATCTTTTATTCTTTGCCGGTCGGGGTTGGCCTACTAGTACATTGTACCCGAAGAGTCAACGGTGAAAGTAAAGGGCTTACAGAATTAGTCCAGGAGCAAAGACAACTTTTATCAGAGCGCATCGGTCACGTCATGTTGAAAGTATTGATCAATGAAGATAACCTTGGAGTGTCAAGAGGTGCCAATTATAGCGACTTAGTACACAATAGGGTCAAGGAGAGTGACTGTTGTGACTTGGCTAGCGTGGTACATGGCCGAGCATCTCTGGTTCCGCAATCCCCTTAATCTTCTCTCGGCCTTCTTCTGATAGGTCACTGTTCATCCGACTGTGTGTGTAGTGTGGACAATGCCCAGACCTGATTACCAAGTAGAGTGCCATTGCGGACAAAGCATTGACGATCGGAAGAATGTAGAGGCCGGCTGTTTCTATCCCCGTCGGCAAATCCCGAGTGGCAATCACATGCCATGTCCGTGCACGGACTGTGACGCTATGGACCCGTTGTTCATGTCCCATGCTCCCACGGAACAAGACCCTGTGAACTTGGCAAGTGGGGGAATTAACTCATCTGCTTGCCGCTATGAGGCAGTCTTCAAGAAGATCAACTAATCTCGTAGGGCGTAATCCCCATCGACCAGACCGAAGCAAGAGATATCCGCTGTTTATACATATATATATATATCTGTCTATCTCCCTTTCTTTTTCCGCGGAGTGCGATATTATTATTACTTCGTATCCTCAAGAGATTGTTATGGTTCGATAATGAATCATCGAGCTTTGCGTAACCATGGAAAGCATTGCTTGTATAGGAATTCCCAGCCAATAGTATGATCCATTAGCCAAGCCGGGATCTTGGTTCCGAGGGCCGCAAAACCATGGTTGCAGGATCTTGGGGCAATCTAGGGGCAAGATATCTTTCTCCAGTATCGCTCCTGCTCACGGCTTCCTTCATGACCTTAAGCCGTTCCTGCATCATCCCAGGCTATGAAGGATAGTCAACACCATATGCATGGATTGACATCAGGTTGAACAGTGAGCGACCCAGGCAGCCCCAAATACTCGCCGCCCATGACGGTCAACCGCAATGCCGCCGTCCGCGCCATCCCCGCAGTATTTCTCGCTGTAACTTCAATCACGGTCCTGCTCCGTTGCTATGTCCGCCTAAGGCTTGTAAAGGCGTTTGGGTGGGATGATGGCCTCATGGTCCTAGCCATGGTATGGCTCAATCTTGTGACAGCAGATGAGATAGACAAGACTGACATCGTCACAGGCAGTCTATGCCATGTTCTGTGGCGTCATGATTGGAGGTAGTTTATACGGTACAGGAAAACATTTCGCTGACTTGACTGCAAGCCACCGAGTTACTGCAATGGAGGTGTGTTTCGTTCTTCCTTCTCGGCTCACAGTGCCTGGCAACTGACAACCTACTCAGTACTGGTGGCTCTGCGAGATCGGGTACTGCTTTTCGTCCATCTTCTGCAAATGTTCGATATGCATCTTTCTGGCTCGCATAACCATCAAGCGACCGCATCTCGCATTCCTCTACATCATCATGACATGCACCGTCCTCATCGGTCTTGTCCTAATGTTTACCCTCTTGCTGCAATGTCGTCCTGTCTCTTACTTCTGGACCAGGGTGGCCTTCGATCCCAATGATGAGGGGACCTGCGTGAACACCGAAGTGGTTATTGCCCTGACCTATGCATACAGCGGAGTTGCTGCGTGCTGTGATCTAGCGGTTGGGATTGTTCCTTTCTTCATTATTCGGAGGTTGAACATGCCATGGCGTAGAAAAGTGGCAGCGATAGGCATCTGCAGTATCAGTTGCATGTGGGTAGCCCGATCAATTTATCTCCCATCTTTTCCAGGTTCACTGACTGATCTGTCGACAGTGCGTGCTGTGCGGTGATTGTTCGCATTCCGTATGTGCCCACATTTGCCGACCAGGACTTTCTTTGTATGTTTCGTACTCCCTCTGCTTTACGCAAGCATCTCGTATTAACTGAATATAGACGCGACTTACGAGGTGGCTGTCTGGTCCAATGTTGAGGTTGGCCTGGGGATTTTTGCGGGTAGTCTGGCCACCCTGCATCCGTTACTGAAGCTGCTTCGTACCGCCTTCACCAAACCTGGGTTGAAGCGGTTAAGTTCACGCAGCTCGTCGGGGCCCACGGCTCCCAAGCCCGACTTTGTTTCTGTATCTTCTTACCCATCACCGTCCGTGTCCTTATTCCGACCGGGCAACGTGATGAACACGACCACCACCATCCAGGCAGACGGGGAATGGACGGCCGACCCTGATTCTTGTTCACCCAGAGCCAGCCGCGACACTGGCATGCGTACAAATGACATTCTCATCCAACAGACGTTTAACCTGAACACCGGGTGGGAATCCAGGAACAGCAGTGTTGCATGATAGATACATGTGAAAATTCTGTTGCCATGAATGTGGATATTTATTAGCATAGACTATATCACCAGCTACCCCAATTTGCCAAGGTACACGAGCTCATACATCCTTGCCCTCGAGAATCTCCGTGAAAATTAGGCAGACCCAATTGCCTCGGTGGGAAAATGGTCAGGATATAATGTCAAGTCCGGTGCAGTAAAGAACGTTGGGCAATTCCTTGGATATTCTCCTCGTAGTTATCAGATGGCTTTGTTGCACTGGCTGATGGGACCACGTCATGGCAGGGCGGGGTTGACTGTCGATCCCTCTTCCCCCTCACCAGTTGTCCTTCGCACTTCTCGTCCATGATCCTTCATACCAACCACAACGCCTGTGTGTTTACAAGTATTAACTACCGAACGAACGATGGCCGCATATCCTCGTCCTGACTTCCAGCGCCCAGCCCTCAATTGGCTTTCCCTTGACGGTTCCTGGGACTTTATCTTCGACGATGCTGATACAGGCCTAAGCCAACGGTGGCATCAACAGGGTCTCCCTGCCCAAGAGGCCGCACAATCGAAGCGTCAGATCAATGTCCCGTACGCATTCCAAACCCCGGCGTCAGGTATTGGTCTATATGAGGTTCATGAAGTGCTCTGGTATGAACGAACGGTCCCGGACATACGCACCACAGATGAACAGACGAAAGGGAACCGACTAATCCTTCGTTTCGGGGCGGTGGACTACGAATGTACTGTCTGGGTCGATGGACAATTGGTTGGCGCTCACCGAGGAGGCCATGTACCTTTTGAGATCGATGTCTCGGACGCATTTGGTGCCCAGGGAGGCTCGGCCACCCGGCGCCTCACCATTCGCGTTCGCGACTCTGCAACCGATCTCGGTCAACTGCGAGGGAAGCAATACTGGGGGCCCGTTCCACAGGAGATCTTCTATACCCCTACTAGTGGCATCTGGCTGTCTGTCTGGTTGGAGAGTGTGCCCCGGACGCGGCTGGGAAGCAGCAGTGACGGGACGGTCCTACGGTCGGATGACATTCAAGGTGGCCTCTTACATGCACGACTCACGGTACTAGGTCGCCCCGTGGCCGCCGGTTGTAGCGTTGAAATCGAGGCTAGTCTTGCAGGAAACTTGGTCAGTCATCGCAGAAAAGATCTGCCCCGTGACAAGGACTGGGTAGACCTTGACATAGACATGCGCGTTCCACAAGTCGATTCATTGAAGCAACAGAGCCCCTTCAACATTGATGGTTGTTGGCGAGGTAATGTAGCTCTCTGGGCACCGGAACACCCAATCCTGTATGACCTGGTTCTGCGTCTCTACGACTCCTCGGGCAATCAAGTGGATACTATCGAGACGACGACGGGCATGCGGAGCGTTTCATGGACTTACGGTGATGGAACCTTCCGACTGAATGGAAAGCCGTGCTTCCAGACACTCGTGCTGGACCAGGGATACTGGCCAGAGACAGGCCTGACCCCACCATCACAAGATGCTCTCCGAGCGGACATTGAAATGGCGAAGAATATGGGTATCAATGGCTGCCGCAAGCACCAGAAGGTCGAAGACCCCGTATTTCACTACTGGGCCGATCGGCTTGGGTTCCTGGTCTGGGGAGAGATAGCCAATGCGTACGAGTTCAGCGACGAATATATCTCGCGCTTCAACAGCGAGTGGGTGGAGGCCGTGCGAAGGGATATCAATCACCCGTGCATAGTGGCATGGACCCCGTTCAACGAGAGCTGGGGCTATCCCTCCCTGAAGGACAATATTGACCAGCGCAACCATATCCGGTCAGTGTACTACCTCACCAAGTAAGTCAATGTTTGTTCTATCCTTAAAAATGTAACATCGCTCATAAGTTTAGAACGCTGGATCCAACTCGGCCGATCAACGATAATTGCGGCTGGGAACATGTGGCAACCGATCTGACGACTTACCACGACTACTCCGACTTCCCTGCGCTGACAGAAACTTGTGCGGACTTCAAGACTGGTATCCTAGGCAAGAAGTCCAACCGAGACATGTTTGTACCTCCTATCCCGGCCACTCCATCCACTCCTTCGGACGCTGGTGCACAGCATGCCTCTGGGGCTCCCGTCATCTGTTCAGAATTCGGTGGAGTCAATATCATCCCCGCAAAGGGGACCGCAGCCGGGGAGCGGGACTGGGGATACACCACCGCGACTGATCCGGAAGACCTGCTGAGTCGCCTGGAAAAGCTTGTCATGGCAGTGGTGAAAGGGGGCCATTCGTGTGGATTGGTCTATACCCAACTGTATGTCCCCTTCCTTACTGTTTTGCGAGATATAGGTTGTCTGCGACCGTGGTGGCTATCAGCAGCCGTGTCCATCATTACCCAATGGCTAATCTTCTTCATAGTTGTGACATTGAGCAAGAGGTAAATGGTCTCTATTCGTACGATCGAAAAGAGAAGGTGCCAGCTTCCCGGGTCAAGGCCATTATGGATTCCGCTCACCGCTACTACCACGAGCATGTGGCTCCTAAATAGACAATCATTGCTAGAGCTGAAGGGGAGTAGGGACGAATGAACGCTATGACACCTTTCTACCCCACAGTAATGGTGCCTGGCAGGCGGCAATATATCCCTGCCTGCTTTGTACCACGACACACCTCTGGCCCTGGTGGTGCTTTTGAGCCGATGCCCAAACAACTCTGCGATACGGTAGACAGCAACAACACGAGTAGAGAGAGTACTATTACTATTTAACCGGAATTCTCAATGGCCTGGCTATCCAGAGTAACCGATCTTACAAGCCGCAAAGACGATCGTAGCAACCTCAATCTATATCAATCAATTGGATGCAATAATACATTTTTGGTCTAAACCAAGCGCTCTACGCTTCCTTCTCTGGTTCCTTCCCCGCCACTTTCCAAGTTGGAGTCCGCCGTGTATCGGACTGAGATCGCCGTAGTCTTTACAATGCCTGTCGTCGGTGCGCCGTCCTCACTACTGAGACTGGTGTCATCTTCCCCATAGGGGTGGTATTTTCGCATCTCTCTCCTGTGCGCGGCCTCTTCAACCCCTGGAATCGGTAGCTGGGGAGTGACCATCTCGAACGCGACCGAAGCATCACCACGAGCTGCCGAAATCTTGACGTGAGATCGACGAGAGTACGAGGTAGTGGACGTGGGAACGTATTGGCGACCCGTTGACGGGTAGGTGGCCCGGCGTGATGAGCCCAGCAGACGAGGCAAGTAGGTACTGGCAATGGCCTTGAGACAAGGGGCACAGGCAGCCAGAACGGCGACATGAACCTCTACTGCTGAGCTGCAGAAACCAATGGAGTATGTGGCATCGTACACCGGATGAGTTGGGAAGAAGCCCTTAGCGAGGAGCACTATCCGCCAGACTCCCACCCCCGTCGCCCTGTACCTACTTAGCCATCTGGTCTTCATTCTCTTGGAAGATCTTCCGCCACTTACACCGCGCCCATGCAGAGCACCACGCAGACAGCAACCTTCCTCCTCAGCGGCATATGTAACCCCCAGGTGATGATGATGGGAATCGACAGAACGAGCAAGTCGGTGAAGAGGTAGGTTGCCGCCGTCGCCACATAGAACGCCCCCTGATTGATGCACGATCCGTTTGAGATAGAAAAGTCATAGACGTAGGCGACCGGACTGCACTGAAAGATATCCACAAAGAGAACGGCGATGAATAATGCGACCGTAATGCCCATGGTGGACCATATGAGAGAGTTTACGAGCCGCGATTGGGACTCGAGGCGACGCAGAAACATGAGGATGGAGAGCTTCACCATCGTCAGGCAGGGATTGTAGATTAGTTGATTCGCAAAGTTCCACTGATCCAGTCAGTCAATGGCAGAGGTAAAGAGCGGCGACAGGTGAGCCCCTACAATGAGTCCTTGCTTGATGTCATAGTCTTTTGGGATATCCCAGATATGGATCCCCACGTAGTTCGTCTTGATGTCTGTTTTAGTTAAGAATCAGCACAGAATGCAATGCTGTCTAGGGGGCACCTACAATACCAGGAGGTAATTGATTGCCCGATAGCGAGAATCTGTCAAGGTCAGCACCATGCAAGATGTATTTACGAGGAAGGGGCCTCTACATATCCGACTACAATCAGGATATCATCTTCTCATGGTTAGTGAAACCTAGCCTGTGGAGAAGGGTAAGTATCTCCCACCTGCTCCCAAGCGCGACCGAGTCAAGTAGCGACTCCAAATTCGCAGCAGCACTGCGATCCCTCCAAGCACCGGAAAGGCGACGACCACGCCCAGGGCGAGCTTCTGATGAGCGTCGTCTACCATCTTAGGCTTAGAGATAGACGGGAGACGCTGCCCGCTGGCATCGAGGGGAATGATACCTGTTGGATGCTGCTCTGCTTAAGGTCATTTTTCGGACCGAGGGCATCTACGCGACCCGGGACTAAGTCCATGGAGCGAGCGAGCAGATACTTTGTAGAAGCCTCAGACCTTGCAGTAGTGTCGTTTCATGGAGAGTAATGAAGACTGCAGGAGGCATAAGACTACAAATGCATTCTGAGGGATGGTTCGGCTTCCACCAGTCAAAGCCAAAATAGTACACATTCCAATATGTTTGCAGTGCCTAATTGTCTGTTGACAAGCTATTAATAAGCGGAAAAACTTGTCCGGCAAGACTCCCCTGTGGGATGTCCGACCCTATTCTCAAAAGAGGTATCGCAAACATATTAAAGTCCAGGGACTCGTGCACTTGGGGCCGGGGTTTCCGTCGGTTCTCCGGCGGAGATGTCGGCCATTGCTGGCGTTGAAAAAGTCGATTGGCAGGTCGGAGATGAAACGCGGCAGAGACGACAGGGGTCTGAACAGAAATAGCTGCAATCTCGGGTTATGAGGATAAATAGAAATGGAGACTGTGCATATTGTAGCCGAGTCCATCCATCCGTATTCACTTCTAAGGCACCTGGGCAACTAACTTATTTTCTCCGTTGGGGAGTTTTCCGCCCCCGGTCGCAACCAGCCCCTTCTTCTCTATTCCCTGCTGGCTGCATGAAGAACCGGGATTTAAACCTCATGCAGGAACGATAGTCGTCTGACTAACCCTCATTTTAATGCTTAAGATAAAATCTGGGGCATCCAGGCACGGATGATTCTGCGATCGCCTGTTCCTGCGGATCACGGGCTCCGTCCATCACGCGAGGAAAGGGATGTATGGATAACATTGGACAAGATGTGGCATTTTCTGACATTTTTTGCAGGCGTTATTCTTATTTCCACTATTTTTTTCTCCTTCTCCTTGTTAAAAGCAAGTTGATTGATTAGCGAGCGGATCAAGTCCAGCCGTTTTGCTTCCCATCCAAGGCAATGTCATTTCCGAGCTGCGCCGGCTCTTCCGGGGAGACCCAGTCCGGGCCTGGCCAAAACGTCTGATAGCAGGAAGACGAGGCACGGGGCTCTTGGGATTGTGGAATCGAGTCTCAGACTATACCAAATCTGCGAACTCTAGAGCATTCAGCTTCGCTCGACACGAAACCAAGCTGACCGGGTGCCCCCACTGCTCCACGACATCGCTCGGCCAGTGGAGGAGAGCTTAATCTAATGCGGGTTGGAGGCCACCACACCACTCGTCGTCGGAAGCACTAATGCTGATTAGCCCAGGTCGGTTACTGTCTAGCGAAATGGACCATCGTAACGGCCGTCGGTCGCACTGACTTAAATACTGCTTGCTGGGCAGGGTTCCAAGCTGCTGTTGGCTGGTGTCAGGATCAATGGCTCCTTCAACTCTGTTTTTTGCGGCGCTTGCCCTCGGCGCTGCCTCCCAGGCCAGTGCGACCTCCAGGACGGTCCCCGTTGCGGCCACAACAGTCCCATCAACCAACTCTGTGGCCAATGCTCCCTTCTTCGCCAGTGAAATCCACCAACTTACAGATGGCGTGCTAGCTGGGCTGCAGGCTTCCCTGGGAAATTCTACCGCACTATTCGAGTTCGGCCACAATACCTCTACAAAGTCCCTTTCATCCGGCGAGTGCAAGGTCTTCCCCAGTGATGCAGCTTGGCCATCCGACTCGACATGGTCACTGTTTGACCAGTTGCTTGGAGGTGCGCTCATCAAGACGGTCCCGTTAGCTGCATCCTGCTATCCGTCCTGGTCCGAGTACAATAAAACCGAGTGCGACTATGTGTCGGACGAGTGGACCGTCTCTTACCTCCAGTAAGTTAATCCCTCGCTATCCCCGCCTGAGCGGATTATATTGACAAAGTCGGACAGTGCAGCAGACCCCGCGTCGGTAATGTGGCCGCTGTTCGAGGGCCGCAGTTGCTTGCCACCCGACCTGTCCTCCGGATCTTGCACTTTGGGGGGCTACAGCAGCTACGCAGTAAACGTCAGCACGGTAGCGCAAATACAGCTGTCCGTCAACTTTGCCCGCAATGCTGGCCTGCGCCTAGTTGCCAAAAATACCGGTCATGACTTCAATGGGAAGTCCACTGGCGCTGGAGCCCTCGGCATCTGGACGCATCACCTCAAAGATATCGTCTATTATGAGAACTACCAGCTGGGCAACTACAGCGGTCCCGCGGTCAAGATGGGTGCCGGTGCTCAGGCGTTCGAAATTTACGAGAAGGCCAACGAGCTTGGGTTTACTGCAGTAGGTGGCGAGGGGAAAACTGTGGGCGTGGCCGGTGGCTACGTGCTTGGAGGAGGTCATTCACCCATGTCGAGTCTGTACGGGTTGGCTGCAGATCAGGTGCTGGCACTGGAGGTTGTCCTTGCCAGTGGCCGGTTTGTCACCGTTACCGAGCAATCAGATCCTGATCTATTTTGGGCCCTTCGTGGTGGTGGAGGAGGTAAGTTGCATAAGGCCCTTTTGAGTCCCTTGACTATATCATTTACGCGGACGACCAGGTACCTACGGCATTGTAACCTCTGTCATCTCTCGTGTCTACCCCAAAGTGCCGGTGACGGTGTCGACCTTCTCGTTCGCTACTGGCACCAATGTCTCGGCTGACATCTTCTGGGCCGGTGTGCGTGCCTACATGCAACGGTTTCCAGTAAACGCCGATGCCGGAACCTACGCCTACTTCTGGGTCATCTCGACGGGCACTGACGCGTTCGAATTCCTAATGAACCCCTACTTTGCGGTGAATCACACCGTAGCCGAGTTCAATGCCCTGATGCAGCCGTGGTTTGACGAGCTACATCACCTTGGTATTTCCTTCCAGCCAAACACGACTTACTACGATAACTTTTACGACGCCTGGAACGCAGGCTTCCCGCTGGAGACCGTCGGCTCGGTGACTATGATGACTGGATCCCGACTCTTTCCACGCTCCAACTTTGAGGACCCATTCCGATTCAACCAGACCGTGGCGGCCCTCCGCTCCACCGTTTCGGCGGGCTACTCGCTTCTGGCCTTTAACCTCAAAGCGGACTTGCTCGATGGAGTTGCCTCCAGCTCCGCCAACCCAGCCTTCCGCAAGACCCTGATGCATGCCATCACATCGACCAGCTGGTCAAGCAATGCGACCAATGCCGATATCCTCGAGGAGATGGAACACTTTACCTACGATATCCTGGGAGAGTGGCGGCGCACCTGCCCGGAGGCGGGAGCCTACATGTCTGAGGCGGATATCATGGAGCCAGACTTTCAGCAGGCCTTCTACGGCTCGTACTACGATCGACTGTACGCCCTGAAGCAAAAGTATGATCCTACAGGACTGTTCTATGCACCGACTGGGGTGGGTAGCGAGGACTGGAAGGTGCACAGCTTGGATGGGCTGCCAGATCAGAACGGCCGGTTATGTAGGGTGTGAGTAGGGATTTATATAGAGCAGTACTCACTTGTCTCGATCGTATGTGTTTGTATTGTATATTTCTTGAGGGCAAGAATCATAACATGGACAATAGTGGGTCGCATTCAATCATGCATACATTTATCGCGCCTTTTTGCTGCCTCCGCCCTCTGGGCTGCGGCTCTGTGGCCTAAGGTCGATAGTCGCGACTTGTAATCTTCCACTAAGAACAGACTTTGAACGGCTGGCCCACGCATAACTGACATCTACAACCACTCCAAGATGAGCAACGCCGGCACGTTGACAGGACGTCAGAAAGGGGCCACTAGGCATAGTTTTCAGGCTCGATTGATAGGAGTCACTCGGCATTACGTGCTCATCCGGTTATGGGAACGTTGTACCATCCAAGGAATAAGCAGCCAGTTCTCATACTTGGAACGAAATCCGTCCGTGTTAGACGTTGAAAAATATCATGCATCCTACTCGTCACAATTACCGGTGATATCGCAGGCCAATTTCTCGGCTAGGGCATCTGTATGTGGTCAGTAGATGCAATCAGTACAAGCGGCACCGGATCGTAGCTTACATATTGTAGCCTGCGGGTGGCCCGGAGGCAGGAGAGGGAAAATCGAGGCATCGACTACCCGTAGCCCCTGCACTCCATACACGCGGCCTTGGGTATCTACCACAGCCATCGGATCGTCAGGAGTGCCCATAGCGCATGTGCACGAGGCATGCGAGACGGACATGGCATTCCGCCGGATAGAGGCTTCGATCTCCGTGTCTGTTTCGACCGAATCCCCCGGAAACGCTTCCGGGCCAATTACCACCGGACTGAGGCCACTTGATTGCCAAAATTGCCGCGCACGCTTAACTGCTGCCACCATAACCTCAATGTCTGCCGATGCAGTGAGCCAGTTCGGGTTAATGAGGGGCGGAACTGCAGCATCCCGAGAGGTGATGGTCAGGTTGCCCCGGGACTGCGGTACACCAATGGCAAACACAATGGAGGCGTAGTTCAATCCATCATCAGGCTCCTCCGTTGCATCTACCATCCCTCCTCGATATGATGCCCCCAAGACATACTCCACCTCGGGCCAGTCCGACGGATACCGAGCCAAGATCTCTCGGGTATCGTTCGATAATTGCGCGCGCATACCATCGGGGATCTTTTCCCACGCCAGGGCGTCATTCCCGGTGCTGGTATAAGGCCCAGCAGCGAGCTCGTCAAATTGCTGTGCTGCCTGAGCCTGTGCCTCCGGCGAATTCATTGCAGACTCCGTGATCACATTCACGGGGCGCGCCACGGACGACCGGACTTGGTCCTGCAGATTCTGGCCGACGCCTGCCCGATCCGCCACCACAGAAATACCCAATGGATTGAGAATGGCAGCAGGGCCAACGCCAGAAACCATCAGCAACTGTGGTGAACCGAAGGCTCCCGCCGAGAGAATTATCTCTTGGGTTGCGTTCAATTGGTAGGCGAATCCCTCGGTCTCCACCACCACCGCTGTTGCCCGTCGGTCATCGTCAAAGAGGATCCGCTTAGCACGTGCAGACTGATAGACCTGGTAATTGGGGCGACTCAGGCCACGACTCAGGAAAGCCGTCTCGGAGGACTCCCGTAGCATCGTTGAAGCGTTAATGGTTAGCAGAGTATATCCCGAGCCCAGCAGCGAGCCACTCTGAAACCCGGGAATCATCGACAATCCCGCACTGTTTAGGCCCTGAAGACCCCACGAAGTAAAGGCCTGGGCGTAGTGGGAGTAGGTCACAGACAGCGGACCGCTTCCCGTGCCCAGCACGCTGGCATCATACCAGGGGGTAGCGTTGGCTAGCCGCAGGGACTGATCCGGCGGAGTGAAGTGTAAGCTTTTTTCGAAGAAGGGCAACAGGTTGTCGAAGGTGTAGCTGTCATCGTTCACTGCATCCGCCCATTTCTGATACGCTCCTTTCGTGGCCCGATGGAATACCATGCTATTGCGGGCGGAGCTGCCTCCCAGGCATTTACCGCGCGTGTAGTGTACCTGCGCATCGTAGAGTCCCTGTCACCAACAGATCCGTCAGCATTTGACGTTTTTCAATCTGCCGATGGCCATGAACAACGTACCTCTTGCGGGGTAGTGACGTATCCCCAGTCAATCAAAGGTTGCCAGTCAGAAGGGGATGGACCACTGTATGATCCGGCACTGGCAGGCACCTGGCTTAGATTACCATTGTCTACCTCGTAGAAACCTCCTGCTTCGATGACAGCCACCGAGCCATTCTGCTGCTCGGCTAGTCGCGTGGCCAGCGTCAGGCCCGCAGTTCCCCCGCCTACCACGATGTAGTCGAACGTTGCATTAGTCCCAGGAACACCAAATGAAGACCCAAATGGCCGTTGTCCAAGTGTGTGGGCAGAAGCAATCAGGGCTGCGACCAAGCTAGCTTTCAGAACAATGCGCATGCTGGAGGTTGCGTGAATAATCTATGAGACCTGGAAAGTCAATGGGGAGTCAAAGGGGCAGTTTAAATGCCCGGTGACTTTGCGCCCCTCTGGAATAACTGGGGTTGATTGCGGTGGTGCCTGCGAAACTCCTGCAACCGGAATGTGGGTACTGCTGCTAGTCGAGTACAATGTCACTTTGTGGAATGTGGATGAATGATCCGCGGACGTATTTGCGGTCACTGTTCCTTGGATCCATGGAGAATTCGGGCGTATGTGGAGGACGATTGACAACAGTGATGCATACTTCGAGATACAACTGCTATGTTGAGTGACATGCGTCCATTAGTAGAGTACTACTATATACAATGCCTAGAAGCTACCACAGATGGCTGCTTGTGACACCTAACCCCCCTTAGCCCACCTTCTACCTATCGGGCAACAGCATACTTCATCCACAAGGGGTCCTGCAGCAGACGTTGCAAGCAACTCTCTTCGACTCCTACCAATACCTCCACGCCCCCCTCGGGTGGCGCCGGCAACACAAGTTGCAGACCGTTGATGACTCCGATGTGAGGGGCTCGCACCGCGCCAATGCGGTGGCCCAGCAGAGGACCCCAGTCCAGGCCATATAACTGAAAGTTAATCCAAGAGGTCTGCACGCAGTTGAACCCAGGGACATCCAGGAATGCCGTGGGGACTAGGCGGTCGACATCCTCCAGTTGCTCCACGAGAGCGACCAGGTCGTCTGTAAATTGCCGGTCGGCGCGGAGCACTTCTTTACGAATTAGGATGGCCAGATCTGCGAGGCTAGCAGAGCCCAGAATGGTGCGAATCGGCAGGGAGACCCCAAGATACTCCAGGAAGCAGCCCAGAGTTTCCGGGTGCACGGGCGGATCGGTCCGTAGGCGCCCGTCGATCGCGAGGTTAAACACGGATACGGGATCACCCTGGAGAGTATCCAAGGGCCACTGCACAGCCATCACCGTCCTCCAGTAGCAACGCCGACAGGGCGTCATTGGTGGAAATCCAGGTTTGGTCTGAGGTCATGGTCGCATGAGCGGGAGACGCTGCTTCCTTTAATGCCACGAGCGCTGCAGGGGAGAAGTAGAAGACTTGGGAGCGATGGTTCTGGGCCAGCATCTTGGGAGGCGCTCCTGACGGTGCAGATGGGAGCAAGGTGTACTGGGGATGGCTACCCAGCGAGCCAGCATTACGTCCAGACGCACTCATTACGCATTCGCGGTCTCGAGCAATCGCTTCTGGGAGCTCGATGGGTTCCGAGATGGCCATTCCCTGGGCGCGACGACACTCCTCCGCCCAAACTTCCATCCACACCTGGTAGGTCGTGCCGTCACCAACCACATGCAGCACGCACCAGTTCAGTAACAGGCCACCGGGGATAAAGTTGGCCTGTAAGAGAGACACCGGCAACCGCTCGCCCGGTGTTGGCCATACCGAGCGGCGGCAGAGCACGTCGGCGTCAAAGAAAGCCACCGGGAACGCCTTGGTCTGAAGCTTTGCGTATGTTGTGGGAAATGCGCCCGGCGCACGCAGATCTCGCGTCTCTATCGGCTCGATATCCCCCTCAGGGAGGCGTTGGAGGCGAAGGACACCTCGCTGTGTTGTGCGATCGTCCGGCACCGCCTCACATGCCATGACCGGTAGCCGGCGAGTAGTAGCAGCATAGCTCACCCGCAGAACCTGAACCACCTGCTCGAGATCATAGTCATTGCCAAGTGGAAAGGGAAAGATATACCGCACATAACCCTTGGGACCGATACGTTCCAACGCCGTGAGGCTCGGGATATCGCTCGCTTCAGCTATGGAACCCATTGCACCACACGGGATAATCCGAGCAGAGCTTAGTCGTATTGAGAACAAGGTGAGTATCCCGACATGCAATCCGGGCAGGTCTATCATCTTCTAATAAATACCCTGAACTCATGATAACCCCGCAGACGGCCTATGGACCGGAGCAGCAGCAGCGGACGCTAAAATGCTTGCTGCTGCGGGCTCACCGAGCCAGGCTTCCCAATACATCGACTGACAGGAGAAATCAATACCCGCCCACGGGTATGATTGGCTATGAGGTTGGCCTGTGTTAACTTATCGCTGGCGAAAACTTGGATTCGTTCCTTTAAAGCCGTTCTATCCGACGGGGAGCAGCGGATGAATTGTGATCGTCGCCACGATCCCTGTCAGCTGTCAGCACTAATGCAAGGCGAACATGCTAAATGTGACACCGTTCTTTGTCCCAATGATCCAGCCAGCGACTATAATCCTAGCTTGGATGGCAGCCCCTAGTAGCTGGGTAAGTGTAAGAAAAAAGGAGCAAGTGGCCTCTCCCAACCGATGGCCGTTTGGTTTAGTTCACTGCACGACAATAACCAGTTTAAATGTTTCCTGGCTGCTCCTGTCACCGCGTTGGCTCCGATGTAAAGGCTGAGGAAGGGGAAGGTCTGGTCCTGGCTGATTAGGTCGGTTGAGACATGGGCACGAGGGACTTGGACCCAACTATCGTGGCCATCTTCGGTCAACCCCCTGCCCACATCAATCTAGCCGTTAGCCAGGTGCGTCGAGACAATGCAGCCGTCGTTTCTTTGCTGGTTCTCAGCATTACTGCTGTGGTTCTTCGGTTCATCGCGCGACTGGCCGTGCGAAATCCTTTTCGACTGGACGACTGGCTGATCCTGGTGTCCCTGGTGCGTGAACAACATGTGTCGATCAGAGATTCGTCTTCAAGTTCTAACATCAACATTGCTACTTACCAGGTTTTCGTCGCAGCCACGGCAGGCCTAAGTCTAGCAGGTAGAACGCGGATTACTTCCTAATTTCCCCGATACATCAGCCGCTAAGTATTGGTTAAATTCTAGGCAGTACATTGGGCGCTGGAAAACACGTGTGGGCAGTATCTCTGGCGGATATATCAAGCATCTTCAAGGTGGGGTTTGTGCGATACTTTTCATGCGTATCAGGTAGCTTACCAGTCAGGTCCTGTTCACATACACCTTTATGTATGCTGCCGGATGTTCAGCTTATAAACTCTCGATCCTCTTCTTCTACCGCCGCGTCTTTGTGGTGGTCCACCAACCCCTCTCCCTCCGACTCTCTATTCTGTTTGGGTTTCTACTCGCGCTCTCTTACCCCGTCATTGTCTGGGTGGCTATGGGAAACTGCTGTCGACCGCTGTCCTATTTCTGGAATCAGTTCCTGGGCGCGTCGGGAACGTGTGTTGACACCGATACATTCTTCCTCGCAACTGGAATCATCAACATGGTCAACGACATTATAATTCTGCTCATCCCCTTTCGACAGATTGCAAAGCTGCAGATGAACCGCCGAAAAAAAATTGCTGTTTGTCTGATTCTTGCATTAGGTGGCTTGTGAGCGTGTCCTGTCCCCGGTTTGGAACACACCTAACGTACATTGCAGCGTTTGCGTAGCCAGTGCCGTGCGCATTTACGTTCTCTATCAATTCACTCAGGCTCGTGATATTACTTGGATGATGGGACCGCTGTTTATCTGGTCGAGTATTGAGCCATCCGTGGCCATTGTTTGCGCTTGTCTCCCCCATCTCGGGCCCTTGGTGCGTCTCACGCGCATTCGGATACTATCCGGCCAAGGGAGCAAAGGTAATCACAGGCCCTTCATCGGTTCTCCATGGCAGTCGTCGCGCCGTCATGAAGGGCAGACCCATTGGCAGGCTGGCATACAACTTAGCCCACCAAGACACGTAAGGGCCCTATCCTCTACATGCGGGGTGGCCGAAGACGAGGTTGGGCTCGCCGTCCATGGGACAGCTGACATGACGGCACAGCACACGCCATCTCTGCGCTCAACATCGGAATGCCCCATTCCAGATCACTCCATTGTCGTCCGATCCAGCTTGGAACAAACTGTCTCTTACCGCTAGGTCAGGGAGTATGACAGAGTGTGCACGGCACGGACAGTGGACATGGGCTTCGTAGTCACATCAGATTAGGGTGTATACGAGTACGCCAGCTATTTTTAGTTAGCGTCAGCAAGAACTAATGACTAAAACGATGGGGCAATGGCAAGAAAGGGTCGAGAGGCAAGACTTCACCTCCTCCCGCGTGTCATGTCTACCTGAAACACGATCAAACCTGGACCAAGGGGTCTCTCAGTCTCGTCCACAATCGATCTACGTCTATGTCTCTACTGATTGAATCACGATGCCAACATCCTGAAAGCCTAGCTGGAAGCAGGATGTATGAGTAAGCGTATTTCCCTCATGGAAAAAAGGTCTCGTTGCTAGAGTACATTTTAGTCCTCCACTCTCTCTGTCCAGCGCTAGAATCCTTTGCATTGACTTGGTTCGAGAGCTAATAATAAACGAGTGTGTATTAGGCAGACTATTAATGACAATAAAAAAGTGGTCAAATATAAACGAGTGACTATTATATATATTACCACGCAATGGCAATGAACAACATCATGCTCGGAGCACCACCCCAACAACCCAAGTCACACCTCCCTGGATCGCTGTTCTTTTCAGGTCGAGTCCTCGGACGCTTTCACCACGACGGGAAAGCTTTCGCTCGCAATTTGCGAAGAGTCCTCCACCCACACCAGTTTGTAGACATCTTCAGTGTCTGTCTTCGACGCCCAGAACTGTGCTTCCAGCTGGGTATCGTTGTTATAGACCAGCTGCGATGCAAAGAGGCCAAAGCCCGTGACCACGCCATTCACCCCTTTAGCCTGGGCAAAAGGCAGCACGCCAAGACAGTTGTTGCTATCCGGTCGGATATAGAGAGATCCTGCACGAGTGCCATTCATAAACGTGCCGTTGACAATCCAGCACTCATCAGTGATGGAGGGCAGATCCCAGGACATGGGTGTCAGGTCCGCCGCGGTGTTCTCCGGATCTTGGGCAATGTAGAGAAGACCTAGATTGTCAATTAGCCGCGGCTGAGTGACACATAACTCCGGCGGCCATACCGTCACTGAGCCCATAAGCAATGGGGTAAGCGGAAGAGTTCTGTCCATAGGCAAACAGGGTGGCATTGGTCTCCGATCCTCTCTTGACGTGGGTGCCCCAGGCAGCACTCAGGCTAGCCTGCATGGCAATCAGAGGGCACAGAAAGTTCGTCCACTGCATCGTGAATATTGGAAAGATAGGGAAGTAAAGGAGTGAAGAAGAAACGAATGTGAATGTAAGGAATGTGCTTTGTGTATTTCCGCCAACCAACAAAAACGTGGTTATCATACAATTCTATATAGGAGTCTCCCTCAGTTATAGACTCATTGCTTTAGTGGATCACTAGCCCTCGAATACCAAAGTCAATATTCCTAGCAAGCTCTAGGAACATGTCCTCAGACGGCTTTTCCGGGACTCATTCCGCGGGCGACCGGCAAAAATCTTCGACCGCATACGCGGTCCTCAGGCCATGCTAACACCAGCCAAACCTTGTTTCTTGCGTGGGTGACGCGCATGCCTGGCCCCAGAATAAGGCTGAAGGGCAACGACAACACACTGCTCTTGGCACCACGATTGCCGTCCCCATCGCACCGGCAGCTCCATCGATTTCTACTGGCTCTTCAGCGCCTGCCAGGAAAAAATAGATCTTTCGGGTGGAACCAAACTAAAAACCAGTGGAGACGGTTTTGTGATGACGTTGCGGAACCACGCGAGCTTGTGGCTGATGCCAGCGATACTTTGGATAGTTCACGGTAGTCTGCGATCTTGACCCATCTGGCCTGTTCATCCTTGCCCCATGGGGCTCTAGTCCCTGTACACCAGCTGGTGATTTTCCCGACACCTACCCAGCATAGCCTGGTCGGCTCTCGATCGTCACGACACAGGGCTCTCAGGGCTCTCGGTGTGTCTGAAACCTGAACGTCTTCATCGACCCTCTGCCACGATGATATCCTTCATCTGTGGGAGTTGAGAGATCTTCAGGTTCTTCCCGTTGCTAAATTTCCCGGGGCTTATTCTTACGCACCAAAAGAAAAGCTGCCTCAAGCGCACCCTTGGGCCCTTTAGAAACCCAACATCTCTGTCTTTCCTTCTCGCTCAGGTCCATAGGCTTTAATGCGATCTCGTGTGTGGCTGCGTATTTATATTTCAATCCGCTGTACTCTGTCTAATCCCGCACTTTCTGTACCCAGATCCACTCAAGACTCGATCTTTTGATGCCGACGGAATAATTAGCAATATCCCGAATGTTGGTCAAGGAGCAACGCAAGCAGGGCCTCTGGCATGCGTGTCACCGGTGGGCCCCTATGAATGGCAACCCCTTTCGCGCCAATACCAAGGCGTAAGAGCTTGATGACCAAAGATAGACTCTCACCAACCCCAAGGCGCCTTTAGCCTGCAGAGATCGTCGGTGGGGAAACGGATAAGCGGCCCTGGTTCCAAAGACCATAGCCGGAACTCTTACCACAGAGACGGACCGCGGCCGAGCAGAGGTACCTGAAGATTGTCCAGCAATGGTCAACCATCTTAGAGATTCATATAAAACTTGGCCGTTCAGAAGCAGAAATGCCACTGCTGCATAGTATCATCCAGTCCACATTGCAGTGGGCTTGTCATTCTTTGGTGCTACAATTCACTCTCTTCTTGTTGCAATTGATTCTTTCCTTCTCTACTGCTTAAATCAGTCGCTCACTCCTATCTCCTTCTCACGCGCTACGTCCGCGTTAATGTTAGTATAATGTGGTTTTCTGTCTCTTTCCTTCTGTCGGCCCTTGCCATACCACAGGTCCTCGGGGCCTCTATCCCGTCCACCTCGCAGCCCAAAGCATGCGTCAACAGTCCGACCAACCGTGCATGCTGGCGGGACGGGTATAACATCTCGACCAACTACTACGAGGAGGTCCCTGATACCGGGGTTACACGCGAGTACTGGTTCAATGTTGAAAATACCACCGCCGCTCCAGATGGCGTTGAGCTACCTGTTCAATTGATCAATGGGTCTTTCCCTGGTCCAACGATTATCGCAGACTGGGGAGACACAGTCAGTAAGTAGCATTTTCCTGTCCTCATACTTCGCCTTTGTGTCTGACTGTTGGAATGTAGTCGTGCATGTCACCAACTCCCTGCAAAATAATGGAACAGGTCTGCACTTTCACGGAATTCGCCAGAACTGGACAGACCAGATGGACGGTGTTCCGAGTATCACCCAATGCCCAATCGCTCCGGGGCAGTCATACACTTATAAATGGCGCGCTGTGGAGTATGGAACGGGCTGGTATCACTCTCACTTCTACGTCCAGGCGTGGGATGGTGTCTTTGGTGGAATTGTGATCAATGGTCCTGCCACAGCCAACTACGACGTGGATCTGGGTCACCTGTTTCTTAACGATTGGTATCATGTATGTTTTATCTTCACTTCAATCCGCCGTGTGTAAATCAAAGGAAAGCAGTGCTGATTTGGTCAGAAAACGGCCGATGAACTCGTCCTCCAGGCCGCCACGGACGGACCACCCACTCCTCCCAACGGCCTAATCAACGGGACAAATACTTATGGCAACAACGGTTCGCGTTTCGAGACAACCTTTGACGCGGGCACCAAATACCGCCTTCGCCTGGTCAATGCTGCGGCTGACAACCACTTCCGCTTCATGATCGATAATCACACGATGGAAGTGATCGCGGCGGACTTTGTCCCTATTCACCCCTACAACACCACCCAACTGAGTATCGGAATGGGCCAGCGTTACGATATTATCGTCACGGCTAAGCAGCTGACCAGCGGGAACTTTTGGCTTCGCGCCATCCCCCAGGAGGCCTGCTCCGAGACGGATGCCTTGAACAACATCAAGGGCATCATACGCTATGGCAACTCTTCCACAGCAGACCCCACGACCTCGGCCTGGAGCTACACTGATTCTTGTGCCGACGAGTCCTCCTCTGATCTCATCCCCTACGTTGCCATTAATGCCTCGGACAGTTTCGCCTACAGTACGACTGAGGAAGTTGCGATTGAGGTCGCCGAGAACGCTCTGCTGTGGACCATGAACAAGACTTCCTTCCATACCGAGTGGGATTATCCCACCCTGATGCATGTGGCAAACCACAACTACACCTGGGCGGCCAAGGAGCGCATCATCCATCTCCCCTACCGGGACCAGTGGGTGTACCTGGTCGTCCACTCTCCCTTCGCGCAGGACCATCCCATGCACCTGCACGGGCATGACTTCTGGGTTCTGGCCTCGGGCTACGGTGATTTCGACGCCACAAAGTCCGATGCCCTGACATTGGTGAACGCCCCCCGGCGTGACGTGGCCATGATGCCCGCCAGTGGCTACTTAGTCATTGCAATCAAGACGAACAATCCAGGTGTAAGTACTCTTGTCTCCCGGCACCTTCTCTCTTTCCCACTTCAGCGTCCGGCAGCTAACTAGGATGCGTAGGCATGGCTCATGCACTGCCATATTGCCTGGCATACTTCCGAGGGCTTTGCGGTGCAGCTACTAGAGCGAGCCCCAGAGATTGCCTATGACTACGAGAAGCTAAATGACACCTGTGCCAGCTGGAAAAGCTACGTCGCGGCTCAAGATGTGGTGCAGCACGATTCGGGTGTTTGAAGTGTTGCGTTGGGAAGTTGGCCCCTTATTGAACGACTAAGGAAGCGAACATTCGTTATCATAATCTCACTAATCTTCCTGGTTGCTCATGGGCTTCCACGATCCATTAATGGAGCTTTGGCATAAGTGTCATTCTAATTAATCAAGATATTTGTCAACTTCGTACCTTTGCTTCCTGATCGTAGATCTCATCTAATGCACTGCACGGAGTAAGGGATCCTTACCAGGTACCCGAATTACGGTCATACGATCAATACCACTCGTTACAATGTGTCCCACACTAAAATAATCCACTTTCATCAATACGCAAACTGATAGCGCGTGTAATATAACGATAACTAATACATAATAGATACCGGCAGTGTCAAATATATATATATTAGTATCCATCGCCCACGTCCTCTCCTGAAACTGCTGTAATCTAAACCCAACTGTATTACTACCTGCTTTTCGAGCGTCTGTATAATCTCATCCAGTCTATCATATTGGTAAATCATGGTTCGTACTCTAAAGCCCCTTGAGTACTACAGACTCAGTCCACGCTCATCAGTGGACTCGAATGCTTTGCTCTCCGTTTCGGACTTTGAGGACTTCATCACCCCCAGAAGAGCAACTGGCAGGCGCTTTCTATTCTCAAGGCATCCATCATCCGGAGCCGTCCTTTTCTACCCCAGGCAGTTTCTTCACCATGTGATGCGTCGCATAATCCCCCGTGGGCTTGGTGGTCTTGTACGGCTCATCATAGGCTTCTTGCTCCTGTTGATCGCTTTGACGGGCATGCTATGGCCCTCATATACGCATTTACCCCCACACTATCAGTTCCTCCGCCAGCAGGCCTCCCGCAGCGGCATTGCAGGACGAGGGAACCCCCATAATGAGACAGTCTTCATTGCAGCCATCCTCTACGACCCAGATGGGAAGCTAGCCAGTGGGAGATGGGGGCATGATTTGCTGCACTTGATCAATCTGCTAGGCGAAGAAAATGTCTTTCTCAGCATCTATGAGAACGAAAGTGGCGACAAAGGTCTGACTGCCCTTCGGGACCTAGAGGACCAGCTGCCTTGCCGCAGTTCGATACAAATAGAACTGGACCTGGACATGAGCACCTTCCCTACAGTAACTGTCCCGGGAGGAGGCAAACGGGTGAAACGAACAGACTATCTCGCAGAAATGCGGAATCGTGCTTTACAACCGCTAGATGAGCACCCAGAGATTAAGTTTGACAGGATACTATATCTGAACGACGTAATCTTCGATCCCATCGACGTGCTCCATCTCCTCTTCTCTACCAACAGCGATGAGAACGGGGTGGCCCAGTATCGGGCCGCATGCGCAGTCGATTTTATCAACGCATTCAAATTCTACGATACATATGCCACAAGGGATCTGGAGGGCTATAGAATTGGCCTGCAGTTCTTCCCTTGGTTCACGTCAGCGGGGTCGGGGGCCAGCCACAAAGATGTCCTGAAAGGAAAAGATGCGGTTCGAGTGCGCAGCTGTTGGGGTGGAATGGTGGCATTCGATGCAAAATATTTTCAACGACGCGAAAACCCAGTCCGCTTTCGCGCCAATCCAGATTTGTTCTATGATGGATCAGAATGCTGCATTATTCACGCCGATATTCAAGATTCGCCATTGGACACCACGAAGACCACAGACACAGGCATTTATATGAACCCATTTGTGCGGGTCGCATACGACGAGCGCAGCCACTCCTGGCTGTGGGTAACACGGCGGTTTGAGAAACTATACCCGCTTGTCCACAATATTGTCAACCACATGGCAGGCTTGCCCCGATACAACCCCCGTCGGAGTGAGATTCCTGGCCAGCTGGTCAAAGATACGCTGTGGGTGCCCGATGCGACTGATGCACGCGAGGGCGCATTCCGTGAAGTGGAGCGTGTCGCTGGGAATGACGGCTTCTGCGCGGACGGCTTCGGGGGGCATCGGGGGATTTCAGTGATTGTGGAGGACCGACAGCCTGGCCAGGACGGATGGGAGCATATTCCACTGCCATCGATTTAGTTGTTCGCGTATACCACGACCTTGCGCATACTATAGACATGCAAAGACTATAAAACCCCAAGATATGTGTTTTCTTCGGAATCGGACCATTACTTGTCATCAGCACTGCTTCGACAGCCGATGCCCATCAAAGTAGGAGACTCTGGGGCACTTTGGACCAGGTCCGACACCTGCCAAACACCGTTCGACAGAACTTGCCATACTCGACCCGCAAATTAAATTCTCTCCATGATCCTTGCGCGCGATGGAACAGGCGCGCAGAAGGGTCCGTGATGGGCTTGGAGCCCATATTTCCATATTTTCCTCGACCAGGACTGCTTGGGATTAGCGCATCGAAATAGATGCGAGTGAAGAAGAAGAGGGGCTATACCTGAATCCAGTGATAGGCAATATCAAGACGTCATCTACTAACTTACTCTTCCCTCCGTCCTGCAAGCTTGACAATGCGTTCCACCTAAGACCGACGATGGCCTTGAGCCAGCTCTGGACTGCATGAGTGAATGCGACAGGTCCAGTGAGGGTAATGGGGTCGAGCGCGCCCAGATCGCTGGACTGTGACTGAGGCGCAGGGGTGCGTTGATCAGAAACACCCCGAACTTCCGTGAAGAGACGATCGAGAAAGATCTGCAAGATTGGATGGCCTGGCGCCCATGCAAATGCCCACTGAGTTAGCTGCACGGGCAGCAGGTATCCCATGCGCCAGTAGGCATCACTGTTTGGCGGACAGTCGGCTTCTAGTCCGACAATCGCTCGAACGGGTCCTGTAAAGTTATACACACGCCCAGTTTCATGATCCTGCCACGGCGCGATATCAGCCGCGGTGATCCAAGATGCCGGCGATTGCAGAGGCTCAGTGTCGATATCTGCGTACTACGCGTTTGTCAGTTACGCACATGTGTAATACTAATAAAACATGGACCATCTACTTACCACCCCCCCGATCCACTTGGACACGAGAATCCGGAAGACATCCGACTGTTCCACGTGGCTGGGTAGAGCATAGAACTGTTTCTCTCGTTCTGGTTCGAACCGCCGAATGAACTGTCGTATTCCGTCATCGTCCCACAAGAAGTATGCCATCTGCCCATCCCCCGTGCGCAACCATTTCTCCGTGCTCTGCTGTAACACATGCGGCCAGGTGTCCACCCGCGTGTCCTTCCAGGTCTGGTGTATGATTAGGGGAATCAAGGAGTGGGGGATCTGCCGTTGAGGGGTCTCCTGAACCAGGCGCAACACTTGCTCCGCGGCGTCAACGATGTTTTCGGGGGGCTGGCTCGTCTTATTTGTCCAGGTCGGGGGGATATACCACGCTGGAGACAACCTGTCTTAGCTAACAAATTCCAATTCGTACGCAGCAATCATAAGTTGCTTACCTCCGCCACTGCGGGTGTTCGTGTGAACACGTTCAAACAGCAATGGGTACCGATGTTGAAGAAGATAAATCTCCTTGACCGACGTATCAGGCTGTTGGAGTAACCACGTGAAAAGCACTAGGATGCAGAGTGTGCCCAGCATGGGACGTCGCAACAGATAGCGCCAAATCATAGTGGTGATAATTGCTATGTTTCAGGCACGGGGAGTGGAGAGTTGAATAATCCGGCGGCGGCAGAGGTCAGCAAAGGCCATGATGTTCTTACAATGGGGCAAGGGTGGTTAGGCAGCTATGGATGTGCCCTGGGTTTCAACTTATTGCCGCACCGTGCTTCATCTTGACTGCGAGGCCTGGCTGGGGTATAACTTCCCGCGGATCCCGTCACCTGTAATGCGGCTGCCTAGCAATGGCCCCCAAAATTTACCAACAATCAGCTCAGAACCTTGCTCTGGCCAGACCCTGGTTACAGTAGCTACTAATCCCAGCAAGTACTAGTAGGTGTCATGATACGAGGTGAATCACACGCCCTGACCAATGATAGGCTGGGATGGCTTGCATGGCTTACAAAATAGGAGCCAGCATCAGGGCCTGCGCCCTACGCAGCCCTAGCCGCGGTGGGTCGAAGCTTAGTATTGCTTGGATTCGTGGACCCTTTCTTGGGCCAGATGGCAGTGCATCTCTGGCGGGGTTCAATTCACGTCTTGTTAGTACAAAGAAAAAATTTTCCATCCTGTTTGCACTGTGCCCCCTGGGTGATCAACGTAGGTATGATTGGCTGCTTACCCTGGCCAATATGCTTGCATGACATACTTAATAGGGAAAAGTTCATCCGGGGCGGGACGGTCCACAAAACCAGTCGCAAGTTGCCAATTGTTGATCATGTCTATACCCTTGCTGGTCTGGTCGTGTTAGCACAGTCCGAATCCAAGGGGACATCCCACTGGGCTCGGAAAGAAGCTCGGAAAGTCGAGCAGTGGGTTCTCCAGGCAGAAACGGGACCGGAGGATTACTGGTGAAACCCACCTGAAATACACGTAAATACCATTGGCGTCTCCCGTATCACAACTGTAATACCATTCGGAGCTTGCCCTGTTGGCGGCTCAAAACCTGTCCATCACTGCCTCCTTCACTATTCAATTACATCCCTCAAATAGCCTCTTCATGTCCATTATGTACCTTTTCCTTCCTCGCCATGCCTTATCTCAGCTCCAAAGCCTTTTAGGCACTGTGAGCCAGTCGCAATGGCTCACGCGCGCATCCGCCTCGTGCTGGCAGCCCTTCTTCTCTTCATTCTAACCTCCCTGCTCGCCCCATTCTTTTGTAATCTTTACCTACTGCTGCGATTACCCTTCGTGTGGAAAACCTCATCAGCCAATGCGATTATCAGCCAGCAACATGACGGATTCGATCTGACCTTTTCCGACTACAACAGCACGTACTCCGTCGCTGACACCGGCCTGTCCGTCCCTGTTCCTGCACGGCTGCATCACGTCCAACTGGGTGCACAATCCCCACGTCCAGAGTGGCAGGCTGCTCGCGATGAGTGCCTCAAGCAACATCCGGACTGGGAGACGTTTCTGTGGACCGACGAGAATGCTAGCCGCTTCGTCCAGAATTACTACCCGCACTTTCTCCCCACCTGGGAAAATTATCCACACCTTGTCCAGCGCGTGGATGCATTGCGATACATGGTCCTGCACAAGTATGGAGGCGCCGTATTGGATTATGATTTGGCATGTAAACGGTCGTTGGAACCCCTGCGTCGATTCGAATTTGTCGCGCCGGCGGCCAACCCAGTCGGTATCTCCGTTGGCATGATGCTCGCGGCACCGAACAACCCCTATGTTAATGATCTGGTGCGGAACCTGCCAAATTTTAATCGACGGTGGTCGTTTCTGCCTTACATCACAGTTATGTTTAGCACGGGATGCCATTATGCCTCGTATGACTCTTTTTCGACGCTCACAGAGGAATTGTATCGGAGCTAACAGGTTATAGAACCATCTACACCATGCAACGCCAAACCTCCACCCTCCGCGTCCTGACCGGTCCCCCCGAGAACCCGCGAATGCATATGCTCAACGGTGTGGTCAATACCCCGCTCTTTCGACATTTAGGCAGTTCCTCATGGCATGAGAAAGACGCACGCTTCATCAAAGCGTTTGCCAATATGGATCAACGGGTGGCGTTTGGGATGGTTTTGTTCGCTTTGGTGGGAGGATGCTGGGCTGTGAGCTTATGTGTGTACTCGGTGTCGGGCATGGCATCAGAGGGAGGCAATCTCGCAAGAGATAGAGATGTTGCGGAAAGCACATGGTTCATAATTACTTGTAACTATTAGATAGATATATCGCTCATGAGTCTATGCTGGGATGGCTGATTAGAGACAAATAATTTAGCTTAGTGAAAGAATATTTGACAGGAAAATGAAGTTCCGCTTAGGCTATCCGGTATAGATTATTGAACCACATATAACGGCTCACTACCAAGTACAGCACGCGATCCCACGAGTACTGACTATCATGCTGACTGAATGCTGTTCGCGCAGTAAGATAGGTCTGCCACGGGCTTACCAGCAGCGCTTTATTTCCATATGTATCGTGCTCTGTGGGCACCGGTGGGGCTGTCAAGACCGCTGCTCCGATGCGCCATGAGAATGGCACTGATGTCAAGATCAGATCAATAAGCGACGAGTACTTGCGCAGGAGGAATGTACTCTGTAGCGCGTAGACCGGCGGGGCATGCGGAAAGCTCTCTGCATATTTCCTACTCACAGTCAGACTTTTTCGCAGTGGTGATGTATGGTCGACGTACCGAACTCCGGCACTGACGGCCCTATGGTTGATATGGCCGGATACTCCACCATCGTCGAAAGTATAGATCTTCTGTAGTCTTAGTGCTCCTGTGTACTATCGTGAAAGAGTGTTGGGGCAACTTACTAGATCCACTTTCCACATGTGAACGTAATGAGCCACTATATCCTGGATGACATCCTGGCGCCACCACTTCTTTGGGTTATCCTGTAATGCACCATGCTCGAGGACGACACAGCGATCGGAGGGGATGCCGAGAGCCGCGCAACTGCGTTCGATCTCCCCTTTGCGGATATCTCCTTGGCCATGATAGTCGCCTGCATCACATTAGAAAATTCACTCCTCGGAAATTCTAAGTGAAGGGAGGACTCGCCTGTCGATAATACCAACAAGGAACGGGTGACGTCCGGGTTGTTGCGGCCGTGAAGAATAGTTGGGCTAAAGAACAGAGTCTCGTCATCGGGATGTGCCGTGACAAGGAGAACGTTCCGCGCTTGCTGGATGGTGTGTGGAACAAGCCGGGGATCTCCCGCCAGGTAGTATGCCAGAAGAAGATACAGAAAGACGGCAGCCGATGGGATGATCAGCGCTGAATATGCCATCAGACATCTCCAGTCATGTCGCCGCACTTGGCGAAGAAGGCGCCTGAGCATGCGGGTTGGGGATCCCATCGATGAGGTCGAGGTTCTTTGTACGGAGGTGGTGCCAAGATGTTGTTATCGCTAGGTGGAATCAAGCCCTGCACGGCAATTCAGTGTGCGGCACAGCCCTGAGGCAAGTTGTTCCGACAGTAAAAGAGAACAAAAGAAGACCATCAGTTCCTCGAAGGCCGAAGTCGTCTCGGGATCCGCGGACAAACTCTATGTTGTCTATGTAATGTATTGTAATACATATCTATGAAATACATCGGGTTGTAAGTATGGTCAGTAATAATACCGCTCGTGACGGAGATTTGGGGGTTTCGCAGCTCGCACAATCACACGCACCAGAAGCTTCGCACATTAGCCTCAATTCCAACACACAGAAATACTAGGCAGCAATATAGGCTTCTTTCGTCATTGGTTCGGCTCAGTAAGCTTGTTCTGTTCTCCAGAAGTGAGTGATTTACCTGACCAATGGCTGGAAACACCAGGGTGTCATGGCCCTGAAGCTAAGGGTGAAACAAGGCTGACAAGCTTTACTGACGAAAGAAGGCAAAGAACACCACCTCTATTTAGAGTAGTCTGTATGTAAGACCAACTCAACTAGGCCAAGCTCATGGGCTCATTGGTTCCAGAATTGCCCCGCGGAAATGAGCTGTCTCGACGAACCCATTGAAATAGGGGTCCTGTCAGACCTTCGTCCCTCCAGATCGATTGGCCTAGCGATCGGCCCCAGCCGTCTTTAAGGGTCTGGTCTGCGAAGTGGCCGATCATCATGGTATGAAATATTGTATTGGCTTGGTTGCACATTGGAGATGGCATGTAGTGGATCTAACAACCTGCTGTTAGGATCTCACTATACGAAGTGGATATTTGCTTAGCGCACCACAGGGTATCCAGGTCGTTCTCGGTCGCACCAACGATATGCCACCAAGTCAGAGGCCTTTTAGGCCCACCTGCAGCCGGCCATTCAACTCCGAAGCAACTCGTGAACTTGTGACTGCAACTTTGTCATTGAGCTGACGGTTGGCCATATGAACTCCCTCGATATCTCTTTCACTGCTAGATCAAGCGGATCAAGGCCCCAAGAGTAAATGGCTACGGGCATCATCGTACTAATAGTGAAGAGTTACATGTTGAATTGTCAGCTTGGGAAGTGTTGATATTTATCATGGTTGCGACCAAAGGGGGTTGAGGGGCTTGCCAAAACGAATAGGCTGCTGACCTGATATATGCTACTGTTTACAGAGTATACTTCCTCGGCTGCAAAAAGCTTCAAGAAGAGACGGGATATCTAAAAGTCAAGATAACCAACCATCAAGAGGTTTGTTCTGACCGAGGTCCGCCCTTCCACCATCACAGATGTGATGCGTCCACGGCAAGTGCAGATGACCTGCAGGAAGGTTGCCACGGCAATCCCGAGCTTGTCCAGAGACATCAGCAGCCATCTCTGTTCACGGATTCAACTCCATCTTCCTGCCAGTTGAGGAGACTCATGTGTTTCACGATGTTTACTCGGCTCGGTCTATACCTCCTGGCCCTGTTCTCTCCCACCCGTGGCGATACCATCCACCACCGAACTTATTTCTACGTTGGAGGGAACTACTCAATCACCGACAATGGCGAGCATATTTACACCAATCAGATATATGTCGAAAAATTGACGCCCGCACAAGTCACTCAGCCATATCCGATAGTGTTTGTCCATGGTCAGGCTCAGACAGCGACAGTAGGATAACCCAGGCTCCCTTGGTGAAATAACTCTAACAGAGCATGGAATAGAATTGGTTGAACAAACCAGACGGCCAGCCAGGATGGGCATCATACTTCCTTGACAAGGGCTACGAATGCTACCTCTTCGATCAGCCGTTCCGGGGCCGCAGTCCCTGGCAATCCTTCAGCGAACCACTAGAAACATACTCGGCCGAACACCTGCAACGATACTTCACCGCGCCTGAACGGTATGAGCTGTGGCCACAGGCATCGCTGCACACCCAGTGGCCTGGGACTGGGGTCATGCGCGATCCCATCTTTGATTCCTATTATGCCAGTGCTGTGCCGTTTGTTAGTGATAATGTACTGCAGCAAACTGCCATGCGCGACGCGGGCGCCGCCTTGCTGGATCGAATTGGCCGGCCAGTTATTCTGATAGCTCATTCCCAAGGTGGAACCATGGCGTGGCTACTGGCCGACCAACGATCCAATCTGGTTCACTCGATTGTCTCCATCGAGCCTGGTGGTCCCCCGTTCAGCAACGCAATGTTCGGAAACACTTCTGCTCGAGCATACGGGCTGACTGACATCCCGATTGCGTACTCGCCGCCAGTGTCGGACCCGAGCACAGACTTCTCCACCACTATTCTTCCGTCCAACTCGTCAATTCTAGCGGACTGCATCATTCAGGCGGATGATCCGCCTGCGCGGCAACTGGCGAAACTGAGCAAAATTCCCGTGCTACTAGTGACGACGGAAGCTTCGTACCATGCGCAGTATGACTGGTGCACGGTAAGGTTCTTGCAACAAGCCGGCGTACAGGCAGAGCACATGCAATTGTCAGAAATCGGCATTCACGGCAATGGTCATATGGTATTTCTGGAGGAGAACAGTGACGAGGTTGCGGCTGTTATTCATGACAGGATTGGACAGTCCGATGTGGATGGGAAAGCTGAGCTTTGATGAGGTCTTACCGTGCGTCGAGGAAGGCGATGCTCAAGGTAGCCCTGTGATCTTCAGGTGAACTGTGGCCGTCTTGTCTGTGCCCAGCGAGTCATGTTATAGCCATGCAAATCACGAAGTTATCTTTCGCCTAAATTCATATCCGCGGGTGAGGGCCATCATTGATACCTTAGGCGCAGAGCGAGATGCAACGCATGGGCCCCTTCCTCAACGTCGACACGTCCACGTAAGCATGCTGTAGGCGATGGAGAAGGAATAGACCTGTCAATCAATTGAGTGTAGGTTAGTAATGCTCCTACTGAAAACAAACGGGGATGAACGCCGTGCATCGTCACTAGTTAGCAGTATCCAGAGTATCATGCTCCGCCGGCTACTACGAGCAGAGCATCAAACTAGTAGGAAAATTGCGCTCTAAGAGCTTTATATCAATTAAGGAACTTATATATAGACTTGCTCTATATAAGTCTGACAGCAAAGAATAATCCTGCCGAAATGCGACCGTGGGGATTGTCAACCCCCAGCAAGCCAGGTGGCTGCCAGTATTGCCTGTTTGGGCAAGATTCCCCACTCCCCGCCTCCCCGCGAAGCGGAGAAACGGAGTATCCGCCGCTCTCCTATTCTTACTTCCTTGAGTCACACAATAAAGAACGGTAGTCTGACAGTATAAGTGATGGGTAGACCCTAGATTCATCCATCCAGCAGCACAGATTGATCGTTCTCTATGGCGTCCACTACGGGGTGCGAATCCATCTCACTTACCGAACTCGGGGAGCGGCCAATCCCGATGGTGCCAGAAGGCCCCAACAATGATGCTTCGGTTACCGAGGCTGAGGCCAAAGTCCCTTACTTGAAGCTCATCGCATCGGGCTTCTCCTTCTTCGTCGCAGGTGTCAACGACGGTAGTCTGGGCTCCTTGCTTCCCTACGTCCTCGAGACGTATCACGTTAGTACCGGCCTGGTAATTATCGTGTATGTCCTCCCCCCAATGGAGCCCAAACGCACCATCCCACGGTCAACCCAATCACTGATGGCTTTGCTAGTTATGTTACAACTCTTGTTGGCTGGCTTGTGGCCGCCCTGACCAATAGCACCGCCTGCCAATACCTCGGTTTAGGTGCCATGCTCGCTCTGGGGGCTGCGCTACAGGTGCTGGCCCATGTCCTGCGTGTCTGGCTTCCGCCGTTCCCATTGTACGCCATAACTTTACTTCCTAGCGAGTCTAGGACAGGCATTTAATGACACCCACGCCAATACATATGTCGCTGCAGTCAAGGCCGCCCATCGATGGCTCGGCTTTATCCATGCCATGTACATGGCCGGATGTCTGGTGGGCCCCTTAGTGGCCACCGCTGTGGCATCTGCTAATCGGCAGTCTCAGTGGAATTTGTTCTACATCTTCCCACTGGGGCTGGGGCTAATCAACCTGATATTGATATTGATAGCCTTCCGTGACAGCATGTCCGTCCAACATTCCTCAGAAGCCCCCCAAAGCGACGACCCGCAGCCTTCAAGCCAGGACGCTCGGAGTACGCGCGCAGTAAGGGAGATCAAGGACACACTTCGCGTCCCAGCTGTCTGGCTGACAAGTCTCTACTTTTTCTTTTTCCTGGGAGCGGCCATCACGGCCGGTGGTAGGTGAAATCACATCTCACAGGCCGAAAGGAAACTCACAACGAGATAGGATGGATTGTCGAGTACCTTGTTCGCGTTCGGCATGGTGATGTGCACCAGATGGGCTATATCCCGACTGGGTTCTATGGCGGAGCTTTCCTTGGTCAACTGGTCCTTGCTGAGCCTACTTATCGTCTAGGAGAGCGTCGCATGATATTTATCTACGCTGCTCTGTGTGCCGGGTTGGAGCTGGTATTTTGGCTGTTAGTTCACCCAATGTTGCTTTAGACTCTCATCGACTGACGAATAGCATAGGGTGCCCAATATTGGTGTGGAAGCTATGGCTATTTGCTTGTTGGGATTCTTTTCCGGGCCATTCTTTGCAACGGTGGGCTCTGTCGTATTTCACTATGGATCCAATTGCCTGACTTCTTAATAGGGAATATCCGTCGCATCCAAGATCTTTCCGGCTAACATTCGCTCCTCCGGCATTGGTACGTGAAATTTACCACGATCTAACAAGCAACGTGTTAATAGTATTTTTCAGCATTTGTCTTCGTGCTGGGGCAGATTGGCGGATCGCTCTTCCCCGTATTGACGGGAATCATCTCTTCCCACACCGGCGTCAAGGCCCTGCAGCCCATGTTATTGGCTCTGCTGTGTGCCACGGGCATCAGCTGGCTGTTGGTGCCCAAGGCGCCGAGGCTGCGTGCAGACTGATCGACAAACCAGAAAGCAACTGTGGTTTCCGGATACAGTTCACATCTATTGAACCTGCTCTACGCTTTATGTGATCTTACGTCGCTTAGGTAGAAACATTCATCCGATTGCACTGGCATTCTTCTAAGTAGCATAAATGGAAATACTGATCAATAGGTTTTTGAAACTGTGCTTGCAGCAGCTATTCCACCAGCTAGACCTTCCTGACATGTACTGATTCGTACAGGAAGAAGGCCTTCATCAGGATGAGTCAGAGACTATCGCCATTGCCCGTGGAATGCCCAGTAATGTAGTGCGGAAATACCTGCTACAGCCACTTTATGTGGCCGGGCGGGCCCTTGACGATGCTAGTGGGGAACGCAGTCTTTCTTGATATCCTTAAGCGGATAGAGCACGGTCTTAACGCTTATACCCACCATTGCCGCGGGATTCATGTGAGGAGTGGGAAGTCCTTTACAGAACAATCGAGAGGAGCGGTGTCTTATAGATATATAGCAAATAGCGCTTTATAAGGCATGTGTGTCCGAGGTGCGCTGATCGGCCCGTAATGGGAACGGCTACGTCGTTAAAGATATAGAGTCAATGATAACCGCAAAGTTATACTTATAGTATGGCTGATTGATAACTAGATGCCGATGAAGAGAAATTTAGTAAGCTGATCTACATGACCCTGCACGCGAACAAATCCGGCAATTCTCGCCAGACATACCCGTTTCACTTGATCGCCTCATGAACCATCTTTGCACCTGACAAGAAGAGGGGTTGATAATGGTGCTCGCCCACCACATCAACAACTGCTTTCGGAACGAAGGCTTCACTCCTAACGGCACCTTAAGGAGAATACATCACTACACATCGTCAAAACTGTTCCATTCATCAACACCATGGAGGTAAGTTCATCTCTGCTGTCATAATATGCCGACTAATGCGCGGGGTAGAACCCCTCATTTGTCCTGCGCAACATCAAAGATGTAGTCATTGAAGACCGGCCCAAACCCATCCTCAAAGACCCCCATGATGTGATGGTCCATGTAGCACAAACAGGTATTTGTGGAAGTGATGTAAGTGGTTCTCACTCTTCTCCGCCCCCAAATTAGTCCTTATATGTCCAGATTAACACATCGCCCAGGTTCACTAGTATGCGTCTTCCCTTGTATCCTATCTAAACATGATCTTGACATGCTCCCAGCTGGCAACGCGGTCGCATCGGCGACTTCGTCCTCACCGGGCCCATGGTCCTCGGCCATGAATCTGCCGGCGTAGTTGTCGAAGTCGGCGACAAAGTCCGACACCTCAAACCCGGCGATCGCGTCGCCATGGAACCGGGCGTACCCTGTCGTCGCTGCGACTACTGCCGCAGCGGATCATACAACCTCTGTGGCGATACGATCTTCGCTGCGACCCCGCCCTGGGACGGCACCCTCGCCAAATACTACGTCAACGCCGCCGACTTCTGCTACAAGATACCGGACCACATGACGCTCGAGGAAGCAGCCATGGTGGAGCCCGTGTCTGTGGCCGTGGCCATCGCCAAGACAGCCAACCTGCAAGCACACCAGACTGTGCTGGTTCTGGGATGCGGTCCGATCGGCGTACTATGCCAGGCCGTGGCTAAGGCTGCCGGAGCCAGGACCATCATCGGAGTGGATGTGATTCTGTCCCGACTGGAGGTAGCCAAGTCGTACGGCATCGATCACACATTCATGCCCTCGCGGGCCGAGCCCGGCACTGACCCGATGGTGCATGCGGAGCGGGTAGCGATGCANTTGAAGGAGGAGCTGGGTCTGGGAGAAGGCGCAGACGTGGTGTTGGAGTGCTCTGGTGCTGAGCCGTGTGTGCAGATGGGTATCTACGCAGCCCGCCGGGGAGCCACATTCGTGCAGGCTGGCATGGGCAAGGAGAACATTCTGTTCCCCATTACGGCGGTGTGCACGCGTGGGTTGACCATCAAGGGATCCATTCGGTATCTGACCGGGTGCTATCCGGCGGCTATCGACTTGATTGCCAAGGGCAAGATTGATGTGAAGCGGTTGATCACGAATAGGTTCCCGTTCGAGAAGGCCGAGGAGGCATTCGAGTTGGTCAAGGCTGGACGGGCGGATGTGTTCAAAGTTATGATTGCGGGAGTGCAGGAGTAATGTATATCGACTCACTCATAGCTAACGTCCGGCTGGTTGGTTGGCAGTCAAGGTGGTTAAGTATGAAAGGGGGTTTTTATACTACCACGAGACTAATTTGGGAGGATCCTGGCCGTTGAGAGATGCGCACGACCTTCAGAAATTTTAAGAAAGTTCCCAGAGATTTACAGATACTTTCTCTAGAAGTAGTATATAAGTTGGTGTATAGGACTGCGTTATGGGAACAGGTGATCAAGTCGCATGGTATCACACTGTTGCAACAATATGTATAGTCTTACATGATGGTAGCTACATAGGTCGATGAGGCAGACAGAGAGTAAGCATTTCGAGGGATCACCACCTTAGGCAAAAGGACACCCATCGCCTCCGGCATTGCCAATAACACTCACGGTAGTAGTGGCTGTCATGACGCTGACATCCTGAGTACTGGCTTGTGACGCCGTCTCCGTTTCATACAAGGCCACCGTTGGGGTCGGCACCTTGTCCAAGGTCACAGGGTGGGAATAGTCTGAGCACCAACCAATAGTCTTAGGCACAATTCCTGGCTTGACAGTTCTGGACGAGATGACAGGAGCAGGAGTGGATGAAGGAGCCGGGAGATGGGAGGAGTGGTGATGGAGAAGATGATGATCATGGTGATGGTTGTGGTGGGACAAAGCAGAGCTGGACGCGGTAGGGCTCACCGTGACATAAACGGTAGATGCTGCAGGGCAGGTAGAGGTTGCAGATGCTCCGGGGGCCGTGACACTCGTATCAACGCATTCGGTCGCGTTGGCCACGTCGGAGACGAAGAATTTCTCAGACTGAGCATAGATGATGTAGACGTTGGTGCCGTTGATCCCGCTGATCTGGTAGCCCCACTCGGGATCGGTGTCGCAGGGGATTTGCACGGGGTATGNCAGATCGGAGGTGGGAATATCAAGCGCCAAGGGGACATAGGAGGGCGGCCAGTAGACGAAATTCCAGAGATAGAGGCTGAAGGTGGTGGGATCGGTGTCCACGGTGGTCCAGTTGACGGTGATGGTGGAACCGGCGGCGTAGGTTGAATTGAGGGTCGGCTCGGTGATGCTGATGGCCGCAGCCAGGGAGCCGAGGCTGAGGATGAAAGGGATGGCTGAACGCATGACTAGGATTGATTGCCGAAATGAAGGAGAGACTGGGAATAAGAAACTGAGTATCAATGAATGAATGAATGACGGTATGAATGCTATAGACGCCCAAACGAGTGACTAAAGGGGTCAGAGAGGCGCGACGCAAGGGAGAAACCGTTAACCCCCATGGCAGGAATACTGGGCAGATGCAAAGATATAAGCAGCCCCCGCTTGTGCTTTTCTCCGGAAATTGGAGGCTGTACTCGTGTCACTTCCAAGATTATGCTAAATTTAAAATCAAGCCACGCGTTCCCAACTATTGAACCACTAAGTGACGAATACCATCTGCCATTGGCTCTGTTTAAGACACCCGAGTGGAGTGGAGTGCTCGGGCCCGCCGACTGGAAAATCAAACCGTTCCAAACAGGCATCCATCCATCTGTTTCTTGCTCGGCCTCCTTGGAAAACTCAGATGCAGCCCTATATGAAATTATTTACATGTGAAGTCAAGAATGTTGTATACTTCTCACCATCGACTTGGATTTAGTGGCGCTCTTCCCATAATCTCTCACTCTAGCCTCAAAGCAATTGGTATTATTATATTGTTACTACTGCAACTATATATACAGCCTGGTAAGAAATATATAGTTATATTGTACATTCTACAACGACTCTCTGCTGCCTCCCTGCCCGTTCTATTCGTTTTCGTAGTATGCGACAATCTCATCTAACATCCTCCAACGCACCTAGCCGAAAGCGGAACAGACTGTCTAATAACCGGCAATAGGCTGGCCCTCTTGTTCAGAAGACGGTCAGTCATTGTAATTCTCATTGGGATCCTGGAACGGCCCATAGTTCACCTTACCACCGCGAGTATTTGAGGCAAAAGGAATACCTTTCTTAATCCGCTTTATGAGGTCCTGGAAGGCTTCCTGTAAGCTAGTGCCTAAATGACTGCTGTGGTCAATTTACCGGATTGTAGATAAAAGGCCGTGGAAATGTCACGAGGTCGATCTTCTCCTGCTGGATCAAATTTCTTGCCTCCTCGACTGTGTACTCATGGTTTACCATGAGCATAGTGCGACTCCCAGGATATTTAATAAGAGGGCCGAAGTCAGTGAGAGGTTCATATCTTGGGGGCAATTCTTTCCCCTGAGGCCTGTCTTGCAATCTAAATTAGTCATCGGATTCCCGCCCAACATCACAGCCTCGACGGGATAGATCGATAAAAGCGAGATCGCGACGCATCAGCTCCTTGAGGAAGTATGTATATGTCTCCTTTATTTCGTCGTATGAGATCATGGTGTCATTATAATATCCGTAGGGCAGATCTTGATCCCGACTGCTCGAGGACCCCAGTCCTTAATGATGACATCGAGCACCTCGAGCGGGAAACGGCAGCGATTCTCAACAGAGCCACCGTATTTGTCACTGCGTGTATCCGAGTGCCTAGATAATCCATAAGCTCGTGAAATATGCATTATGTGGAGAGGTATTGCTCACGAGCACAGGAAGTTGTGGAGAAGATACCCGCTAGTTAGCCGCCGTGTCAGCTCCGATTGCCCTATCCACGATGCGTCCGTCTGCCCCTGCGTACTCACCCTTGTGCCAATAGCTCAATCCCATCAACCCCAGCCGTTTTTACTCACGTGACAGAATGCCGGTATTGCTCGATAATGGCTTCTGGGTCATCGATCTCGGTGATGTTGTGAGTGTGGCCTGGAAGTCCCTCCAATGTACGATACTTTCCGCCCTTGGCAGGTACTTTGGATGGGGCATAGATTGGATTTCCCGACTTTTTCAACATCGGCATATTTTCATTCTGAATGCGTCCTATATTTAGGATTTAGTCTACAGTCCTTGACTTTACACTCTCTTATCAGAGTACCGAAAACATGAACGGGCAATGCTCACCTGGGTGCCATGGCTGGAAGAGGATCTTTCCCCCGACCTTGTGCACCTCGCTTGTTACCTTGGTCCAAGCTTCTGCGTGGCTATCATTGTACATCACAGGCGCATTGGGCCATTCGACACCACTCGGGTAGATAAAGGTTCCCTCTGCGACGATAAGTCCGGTGCCGTCCCGCGCTCGGTCGGCGTAATGCTTGACGTTTACTTGGGTGGGTTTATTCCCATTGGTGCATCGATTGCGCGTCATGGTGCCCATGCAAATGCGATTGCGCAATTGGATTCCATCCCCGAGGACAACCGGTTCAAGAAGCTCTGCCATTGTATTGCTTTCAACAATTCGCAAATATGTGCAGGACAGGGTAACTTGGGTAATCTGAATGATAACCAGAGATAGAAGCCAGACACACAGGTGCATTTATATTCGCATTTGATCTAGGATGAGGTCATGCCACTCCGTGTTTGCTTTGTAATGGCTCCTGGTTTGGAACGGCGATGATCGCGGAAAATGAATTCAGTCCGCAGCTCGCAGGTTCACATTTCATGGTTATTTGGCAAAAGGATATAGTTATGAGACATGCAGTTTGGTTATTCTCCTGCACCAACTCACCGCCACTCTTCGTATATTGCACTCGGATGTCATCATGATGGACGCTGCACTTTGGATCGTAAGTATCGACTATGAAGACAATGGAGATTGTTGGGTACTTGAACTAGTCCTCGGATGACTTTCCCGAGGCCGGCGACTGATGATGGGCCTGAGGCTGCTATCACGGCCTTCTTTGCCGAATCACCGAACCAAAGATTATCCCCCCTCCGCCTCAAAGCTTGGCCATTCTCGTTATTGGCAACGTCCCTTTTGTTACTCAAAGCACCTTGTCCTACGATATGCACGGCATCATTGGTGCGAGAATAAAATGACACATCCGCTTACAAGCATGTCCCCTCCCCCCCTCTGCCACGGAGATCCCCACGTGCAAGGAACGGCTTCTGGAAGGCTGATTGCCAGCCACGTGGAGTTGAGTTTCTGGGGTGGCGTTGACCCCCAAACAGGCCAGGTTATTGACCAACACCACCCCTTGAGTGGCCATTCTCTGGAAGGTTGCATCCTCGCCATTCCAGGTGGCCGCGGCTCCTGTTCGGGCAGCGGGGTGATGCTCGAACTCCTGCTCAACAACCGCGGGCCCAAGGCGATACTGTTCGAGCGCCGGGAGGAAATCCTCACCCTGGGGGTAATGGTCGCGGAGGAGATGTTCGACAGGGCAATTCCAGTGATAACATTGAGCTCAGACGACTTTCGGAGGGTGCTGAAACTTCATGACACTTACATCACGGTCAGTGATGGTTATATCTTCGACCAGGAGTTACCCGGGACATTGCATGAACTGCCTGGCTGCCACTACTAAAGGACCGTCGGTGCTGACCACAAAGATACAACTGTCCGATGTGGATAGAGCACTGATTCAGGGCGAGTACGGAGAAGCCGCTCGCGTGGCCATGCAGATTGTCCTGCGAATGTCCGAGTTATTAGAGGTTCGCGAACTGATCCCGGTCACCCAGGTTCATGTCGATGGCTGTATCTATACCGGGCCAGGATCTCTCCTGTTTGCAGAGAAATTGCGCGACTTGGGCGGCCATGTTCTTGTTCCGACTACCTTAAATTCTATCTCGGTCGACCAGAAGCGATGGCGCGCCCAAGGCGTAGATGTGGCTTTTGGGGAAGCGGCCGACCGGCTGGCGAAAGCATATATGGACATGGGTGCGCGGCCAACTTTCACATGTAGCCCCTACCAGCTGGATAGCGCCCCTAAACTCGGAGATCAAGTCGCTTGGGCGGAATCTAATGCTGTGGTGTATGCCAACAGTGTACTTGGGGCGCGTACCATGAAGTATCCGGATTTTCTCGACATCGCCATTGCTCTCACGGGCCGCGCCCCGAAAGGAGGACCGCATGTTGATACCAATCGCCGAGCATCACTAATTATTCGGTTGCACGATGTTGAACGCTTGCATGACCTCGATGACTCCTTTTACCCCGTTCTTGGCTATCATGTAGGGACGCTGGCAACCACTCAGATCCCGGTGATCGTGGGCCTCGAATCGCTCGCCCCAAACCGGGATGACCTCAAGGCTTTTGGGGCAGCATTTGCAACCGTCTCAAGTGCTCCGATGTTTCACATGGTGGGCATCACACCGGAAGCAGAGACCATAGAAGCCGCCATCCGCCCCGGAACCTACCCAGCTTGTGTGGATGTGCAGATTGAGGACCTCATTCCCTGTTGGGACACACTGAACACTGCATCAGAGTGCCAAACCGTGGATCTCATTTCCCTTGGGAACCCGCACTTTTCACTGAGGGAAATTCGACGACTGGCTACTCTATGTCAAGGGCATACAAAATGCGAGGGGGTGGCGGTGATGGTAACCTGTAGTCGTGCGACATACAGCTTGGCTGGTCAAGCCGGGCTTATTCAGGAACTGGAGAGGTTTGGTGTCCGATTCATCACTGACACCTGCTGGTGCATGATTACAGAACCCATCATCCCACGTTCTCCGAATGCCATCATGACGAACTCTGGGAAATATGCCCATTATGGCCCTGGACTGACGGGGCGGAAATTTTACCTGGGCAGCCTGGCCCGGTGCGTTGACACGGCCTGCCAAGGGCGGCCAGTTGACCATCACCCATCTTGGATGGTGGAGAAGATGTGATTTACCAGTATTCCTGGGGTACTGCCCGTACTCAAAAGGCATCTCTCGAACCAAACACCGTCTTATCCCCGGCTTCGCACATCCCCTTTATGCCTGAGGCATCAATCCCTCGGTCGGCGACGCCACCTGACCCACTCGGGTGACGGTACCCGGTGGATGGAAAGGAATCCATCTCTCCAGTTTCTGTTGGTGCAGTGAATAAGTTTTTCTCGAGCAAGAAGAGGTTCTGTCAGACAATGCAATGGCTCCGACCGGACCGGATCCTGTTGCCGGAAGGGGTCCCCGACATTTGGGGGTGATAAGGAAGGCGCCCGGCAGGAGGGGATTTCTCACCCGTTCCAGCCCCGCCTGGTTATTTCTTCTTCAGTATAAATAGTTCCACCCACACTCTGTCGAATGTCACAGCTCTTGACAATCATCCACAATTGTATTCAACATGTCGCAACTACTCAAACTATCGTCTCCTCAGCTTCGACGTCTACGGCACTCTGGTCGACTGGGAAGGTGGCATCCTGGCCGCCTTCCAGCCCAGTCTCGACAAAGCCAACGCCCATTTCACCCGCGAACACCTTCTCACCGTGTACCACCAATTAGAGCACGCGCAACAAGCACAGACGCCCGACATGCCGTACTCACAACTCCTCACCACTATTCATCCTCAGTGGACAGAGCGTCTCGGTCTGCCTCGGCCGTCAGAAGAGGAAAGCCGCCAGTTCGGAGAATCCATCGGCAACTGGCCCGCTTTCCCGGATACCGTCGACGCATTAAAGCGACTGGCCCAGAAGTACAAGCTGGTGGTGCTGTCCAATGTCGATCGCGCTTCTTTTGCCAAGACCAATGCTGGTAGCTTGCAAGGCTTCCCCTTTGATCTCATCATCACCGCACAAGATGTGGGCTCCTACAAGCCCGATCTCCGGAACTTTGAATACCTGCTCAAGGCAGTCAAGGAGAAATTCGACGTCGAACCGGCGCAGGTGCTGCAGACCGCGCAGAGCCAGTTTCATGACCACCACCCGGCGCGCAAGATGGGGTTGAAGTCCGTGTGGATTGAGCGGCCGGGGGCAACAATGGGGAATCTGTCGGAGACGATCTATGACTGGCGGTTTGATACCTTGGGGGAGATGGCTGATGCGGTTGATAAGGGACTGTAGAGTAGTGAATGAGTTGATTCCTGTCTCTCAGTTTTGAACGATCCCAGAGGAACTTTATAATAGAGGAAGAGAACAAAGCAGGACTTATCAACCAATATCTCGACCTCAGATCTAATTCTAAAGTATGCACGTTAAGGTGTATACTATCCTAGTAAAGGTCCAATAAACGGCAAAGTAGCGCCTGTGAACCGGGCCGCATCCCCACCCCGCGCCAGTCTCGGGGTGCCAGCCGAAGGTCGCTCACTACTTATTGCGTGTCAACTCCCCGAAGGGGCAGTCGTCCTGCTCCCCACATAAGGTCATATTCTAATACACCCTCCTCCTTTCACTATGGATCTAGCCCGCGCTCTTGAGACCGCCTCCAGCGGCGAAGTCATCAAATGCGTCGACATGCACACCACCGGAGAGCCCACCCGCATCGTCTACGCGGGGTTTCCTCCCCTCCGCGGGTCACTGCTCTCCCAGCGCGATCAGGCTCGGGATCAATACGACCACCTCCGCAAGCGAATCATGCTAGAGCCTCGTGGGCACTACGACATGTACGGTGCCATTCTCCGACCATCCACTGAACTGGTCGAATCCGGTGAAGCTCATATCGGTGTTCTCTTCACCCACAACGGCGGCTTTTCCACCATGTGCGGCCACGCAACCATCGCGCTAGGCCGATTCCTGGTTGATACTCATGATGTGGCTGTTTTCCCGAAGCAAAATGAACTGGTCGTGGAAGACACATCAGTGGTTGTCAACTTGCATGCGCCGTGCGGATTGGTTCGCATCACCGTCCCTGTTCAAGAGACAGCCGATGGATTCAAGTCCGATCCCTCACGGGCAGTATCATTCCTGTCAACACCAGGTTATGCTGCTGCGACCAATCTTACTATTCTTATTCCACCTGAGATACGATGGAGCGAGCTTGAAGGGCGTGAGAGCATCACCCTTGATGTCAGCTATGGAGGGGCATTCTACGCGTTGATCAATATGCACGAGCTGGGATTCGCATCCACGGGGCTGAAAAAGGTCGATCTTGACTCACTATCGCAAGTGATGAGAAGACTAAAGACATATCTTGAAAGTCATCCCGATATTCTGTCTGCCTGTCAGCACCCGGAGGACAAGAGACTATCATACCTGTACTCCATTATGCTGGTGGACACGAATGTCGGGTTCAAGCCAGACGGCGTAGCTGGTGCCGAGACCGGACTGTGCTTCTTCGCCGACAATCAGATTGATCGGTCGCCCACAGGTTCGTGTGTCACAGCTCGAATGGCCCTGGCACATGCAAAGGGGGAGAGATCGGTGGGTCAGCGGTGGGCTTACAACTCGGTTGTCTCCAATCACTTTCAAACCGGTGCATTTGAGGCTGAGATCGTGGAAACAGGCCTGCGGGTGGAGGGCGGAAATGCTCCGGCCAAGGATGCGGTGGTGGTGCGTGTGGAGGGGAGGGCGTACTATACAGGCACATCGAGTTTTATGGTTGAAGAGGGAGATGTTACGAGTCATGGTGGATTTGTAATGAGTGATATAACACAATAAAGTATGAACTAAGTATGAGTTGAATGTGAGCTAAATATAACCCGCTTTTAACTAGACTGGTCTCGAATGGCAGCGAGAAAGTGGTGTAAACATTGATTGATCCTCCAGGACAATCACCCAGTCATGCAAAGCTCAGAGTAAGCTTAAATTCAAAACACTACCTATAGGATGCAATAACTCAACATCTAACTCGGCTGATGCCAGTCATTACCTGCTGACAGATATGTGTACTTGATTTGCTGTAATTGCTTTACATGCTGCTATAAGAATCTTTCTCTTTTGCTTTCCTTTGGAGGAAAGGGGCTAACTACATTCCATCCAGTAACGTGGTAGGCCATCTGATTTCATCTTCGATACACCCCCATCGCTCAAGAGGGATCAATGTATTTTCCTCATAACCGTTAGTAGCCCTCGTCGGCATCGCGCGAGTCTTTCATTTTACGCTCACCGAGTCTGTTGTTCGGAGCACAGAGGACTGGTGTGTATGTGGATCCTGAGCCCTGACCCGCAACAAAAGAGCCAGTCAAAGGCTCGTATAGCCGGCTAGACTCCATTAAGACGGGCTTCATGGCACGTGCAAGCCAGGAGTAAGATTCAGGCTGGCCATAATACTGCCACACTGAAGTCAAGAAACAAGAGATACGAGAAATGCCCTCCATCAAAGTCTTCACTCGCTGGCGGCCTGCGTTGCCCTCGGAATCGGAGGCCCCTGAAATTTCCCGAACACAAGAATCCCATCCTGGAAAGAACACCACGATCGCATTAACACCACCGCCGTCCCAGAAACTCTCGCGCCCCTGGAAGAGCGACTCGGCTTTTACCAAGATATTCAACGCAGATGACTCTAACCGAACTGTCTTCGAGCATGTCGTTGCACCCACTCTCCCTCGGGTCTTCAGCGGGCAAAACTGCAACTTCTTCGCCTACGGACACTCGGGCAGTGGGAAGTCGCACACCATCATCGGGTATAACTTTGAGCGTCCGGAGGAGTTTGGACTCTGTTTGTCAGCTGCAAAGGCACTCTTCGAGCAGCTACACCAACTCAACGAGAAGTCCAAGGAGAATGAGAGGCTTCTCCTAGGTCTTCGCATGTACGAGCTGCGGAAGAACATCGCCTTTGACCTCCTCAACGACCGATGCAAGTGCCATATCCGCGAAGGCGCTGACGGGAAGACCCACGTCCGTGGGGAGACGGAAACCCTCGCCGACGGGAAAGTCCGCGTGCGGCCGATCGTCACCAAACCATGCTTTACCTTTGATGAGTTCCACGCTCAGTTGCGGGCGGGTATTCAAAGCAGGGCAACGGGCACATCTACGATCCATGATCAGAGTTCTCGGACGCATGCTGTGTTCGAGGTTGAAATCGTGACGAAAGAACTGCTGGATGCGAGGGATGCCGTCATTGAGCGACAATCCGAGCTGGTACCGGTCGGGAAACGCGCTACTGATATCTACATCGAGGAGAATACGAAGGCTATCATCCAGACACCGGATGGCAAGTATGTCCCGAATCCGGACTATCAACTCAATCAGACAGCGATAGATGAGGCCGAGGCAAAGAAAGCCGAATACGAGTCGCGCGTCCAGAAGGCGGAAGACTATGTGTCAGAAGTGAAAAAGTCATGCCCCCATGCCTGTCTGGGTGGAAAGATGGTGTTTGTGGATCTTGCTGGCTCAGAATACTGCCATGACAAGGGTTCTGTGTCTACAATGCGAACAAAACAGACCCCCCAGGAGCAGCAGGAGAGCCGACAGATCAATACCGATCTTCTTGCCTTGAAAGAAGTCATCCGGGCGATGGCTCGGAAGCAGAGTCGTATTCCCTTCCGCTCATCACCCCTGACGATGGTTTTGCGCGAACACTTCGTCACGGGCGGCGATGATGGGGTTTCGGCTATGATCCTTACGACGTCGCCTTCGTCGGAACAGTACAACGCTACCATTGATACGCTAAAGTATGGAAACCTGATTGGGATGGCGGGAGTTCGTTAAGGTTCTGGCGAACATTGGCGGTTGCACTCATCTATTCAATGGACTTACATGAGAGGAACATGTAGATCAGTATCGATCAGTTCGATCGCCTGCATGGCGCACTGTAATTGCATAGTTAGGAAACAAAGTTGGGCACTATAGACCAATGCTCGCTGGGTTTGTGTAGCAGCTACTGAAGGCTCAATTGCCTACTTTCACGCACGCCATATCTGTTTTGGCTAATATCTTTTAGTCCTGTATCGCTGGCACAGCACTTTGAGGACTTCAGCCAACCACTCAAAGTCCTTTCGCTCAAGGTAGACCTGGGCAGAAAGTCGCACCCAAAGCCAGCCCCCATGCTCAACAAAAGGAACAAATGTCCCATGCTCCTCCACCAAAGTAGTTTGGAACCACCTGACCACCGCGCCAGCCTCATCGGCTCTCAAAAGCGTAACAGTAGAATCAGAAGCTGCCAAATCCTCCCTGAACGTGAACGGTAACCGGACTGTGCTCATGGCACATCGTCTAAGATTGCTCTGCTTCCCCGGTTGTAGGTCCCTCTCCTCCATAACATCTGTCCCAAGTGCTGCGGCAACGATATCGGCAGCCTCATTTGCCAATCTCTCCAGGTACTCGTAAATACGCTTTTCGCCACCACATATCGTCTTGCGGAATTCCAACGCAGCAGGAACACAGAAGTAGGGCGTATCGTCATTGGTAGCGACGAATTCGAAGAGACTCTCAAATGCGCTTTTCGTCACATCGTCACTTTTCATGACAGAAGGGGCCGTCGCAGGAGAGTCTTCAGAGGGGATAAAGCCCCAGGAGGTGGGAATGGTGGTTCGAATGAGATGTTGGTTGCGTTTCGGGACATATAGCACACAGCAACTCCGGGGGACGAAAAGCCATCTATTGATCATTTCTATATGAGACTACTGAGGGAGAATCAGCGAGCATGGAACTGAGCAGGAACTTACTTATGGCAATTACTTGTAAAGAAGTCCGGCTGTAGCTTCCCGAGATCCAACGGCAGCTGCCCAATACCGTGCGCACCATCAATCAAGCTGAGGATTCCTTCTTCGCGACAAACTTCAGTGAGCCTTTCAAACGGAAACCGCACAGCTGGCAGGCTAGTCACCACATCAAAAAGGGCAAGCTTCACGTTCAATCCCTCGCTCCGTGCCTCCCGGACGACCTGGAGAAAGCGGTCCACGAGGTTCTCGTGACTAGTCGGCATTTCATATCGGACTTTACGAATCTGAGCGGCTCTAGATTCGATAAAGGATACAATGCCTTTTTCGAGAGCGCCGTAGACGGTTTCAAAATAGATGATGACATCATCTGACTTGAAAGACAAGTTATGCAGGACGGTGTTCACTCCCGTAGTGGCATTTTTGACAAAGACACATTCGCTCCGCGGGACATTCAGTAGCTTGGCGACAGCCTCGCGAGAGACATCTAGCTCTTTGGGAGTGGTGTAGCGGATGAATGGATCTGGACGCGCCTCAACTTGATCCTGGAAGTGGCGCAATGCGGTGCGAACCGCTGCAGGATAGGTTCCAAATGAGCCTGGAGTTGATCAGCGCCAGTGGATCAACCTTTGATGCTACAACGCTTGATAAGTTCTACAGCGCGTGTTCTTACCGTGATTCAGATTTAGGAAGTTGGGATCGAAAAGAAATTGCTCACGCATCGCCGCCCCAAAGGGAACGATAGATGCATCAATGGAAGCCATTTGCACGTTGTGTATATTAGTTGAGAGTTGACTAACTAGAATCTAAGTTGCTTTCTTGCAATGACTCAATCTGCGGAGATGCCGACCGGCCTCGGCAAAAAGAACTGCGGCGGTACTTTTACCGCACGCGGAACAGTAACCAGATAATCGCCTCACTACGATTAGCTCAGTAGTCAATGGATGATATCAGGCATATTTCTCTAGCTTCTAGCGCCATGCCATAATGCAGTTTCCAGCAATTGCCTTAACTCAGTATCTCCATCTGGGCTTAGCATGTCTCCAGCGGTCTCCAAGTCCTCCCAGTGCTGGCAAGAATCATTGATTCTCTCACCCATCCCAGACGCGTTCAGAATTTCTGCGAGGCAATAGGGCCATTGCCTAGTTAGTAGGCTACGCTAGATACAATGTGTGTCTTAGCCCGTCCAGATATACATCACCTAATTGGCGAAAAGCCATTTTTAACCACGGTCAGACATTAATGGTTATTCAGCAGAACCTGCAATTTACCTTGGACATGATTAGCATCTCTCTCGATCTTATAAGATCCCCGTTCTTTATAATTCCTTCGTAAACGTGCCCCTGACATTATTCGTGATGCTATGAGGCTTCATTATGCTTGTATAAATGAGTATGACCAACTGCTAGCACGCTGTATAATGGGGTACTGGCATTGCTGGGCCAGTGGCATGTTGCATGATGAGGAGTCGATGTGCACAGCGTTCCTCCCTGAAACCATTGCTGCTTATTTATCTCTTATACTGCAAGATCAATGATGAGTGTCGACAACTGTCCAAACTATCGGAAGTGTGAAAATCCGAACCCCCTTCTTCCATCCCAGGTTTTATGTTTCGCCTTGATTCTTTTTTGGAATTCAGAAGCACGAGACTGCACAGTTCCAGATACTCTGCACCTGCTGCCTGCTTGAGTTTTATTATACCATTTTAAGGCAGAAAACTGTGGCTCCGGGTGGAGACTTTCTCACAAGTCATGTACTGGTACATGTTTGGAATGTCTTATACACTCCACCAGATGTCATTCAATCCTGTATATAATAACTGCAGTCTTCACGGCTGACAGCTATCTTCGCGATTACTTAATTCAATATGCACAGGGGCTTGCCTGCAATGTTGGTACCGCTCATGATAGTAAGTTGTACCGTCATATGTATGTGCCGGGCACCATGAAGTCCCAGTACGAAAGCATAACATATCTTACTCAGGCTGACTCTTTTGATATATATTGAGTGTTTTCCAAGCCAACAGTCCCATTGGGAATGTCTCGCTACTGACGAGTTTCACCTATCACATTGAGTGTAGCATGTCTAGAGCGCTAACAGCAATGCTATTATTGATCTTGAGAATGCTTCGCTTGCGGAGCTGCTAGTTTTGCCTCATGCATCTTTGTCTTCCACTTATTCATCCATTTCACGCCATGATCCATGTCAATTTCCTGGAAACCATCGAATGTTTTGTCAATGTACTCTGTCCAAATACTGGATATTTATTATAGATATATATTACTGACACACTTATACGATGTTTGATTATGAAGTGCGCAATCCGCATAATCTCCATCTTCATTACCGAATCACGGCATCAGCTGTGGGGATAAATATAGTATGATGAGGAACAAGTTTCTCGCGTGCTTATATGAGAAAGATATTATGCTGCCAATAAAAGGCCAATAAATATCAATTTGAATTATTTATTTTCTGTAGTCAGGATCCAGGGGGCAATACAAAGTTAAGTTGAGATAGAAAAATCAGTCCGTTATATGTAGTCATAGCCGTAGCTACGGTAAAAGGAGGCAGCATTAAAAACCAGGGAATGCCATAATAGAGTTGTTACTGGAAGTAACAAAATTCACTGAAACTATCAATAAATGAAGCTTTTTGGAGGGAACATTACAGTGTGATATCAATTATATCTAAGGCGGGAGACTAAAGAATCTCAACTTGCCCCAACAGCCACTGCAGATGGCGATACGAGACACGGCCCTGATCCTGAGCCTGCTTATGCCCCGACTGATATGTCTCCGCCCACATCAAACCGCGCTCATAATGTTGTACACCCATAACCCCCTGAGGGCCATCCAGCCCTCCATATCCCTCCTGGGCCTCAAAAATCTCAACCCACTGGAGATCGGGCATCTGAATATCGATCGGTGTGGCAGGTGCGGACTGGAAGCCCAGCTGGCCGTTCCAGGTCATATTCTGGATGGCGAGGAGGGTGCCGTTGGTGATAATCAGGTAGTCCCAGTCACCGTTGGCAATGAGCACGCGGTTGGTCGCCTCAATAACACGCGGGAGGACACCCTCGGTGGGGTTGGGTGAGTCATCCCCTTGCTGCTCCGGACCCGGGTCAGCGTCGCCTCCAGCGAAGACGAGGTCGTAGCTGCAGAGCTCCCATTCCACATCCATGGGGGCGTGCAGGGCCTTCTTGACATCGATACGGTTGAAGTATGTGGTGGGCGCAGGCTCGTATGCCAAGTCTGTCGGCCAGCCCAGGACGTCCCAGAGAAGTGGACACTCATCAATGACGCGGTAGGGATTGAAGCATGGGTTCGGGTTATAGGCTTCGTAGTAGATCATGTTATAGATGTCGCACTCGGAGTAGTTCATGTATTTTGGGGGTTGGATGCCGCTTGGTGGAAAGGCAAAGTACTCATCGAAGTAGGCCTTGTAGCCGCATTCTTCGTAGGTGGTTTCAAGCTCGTTCATGTAGGACTGATTGAAGTTGAATAGTGAAGCGTGCTGCTTGACGAAGGGGTAGGCAGGGAGTTCGGCCTGGATGTAGTCCCATTGGCCGATGCAGGCGTCATAAAGAAGGGCTCCTAGAGGGACGTTAAAAAGTCAGTTTCAGTCAACTAAGCTTATAGGGGTAGTAGTTATGAGTAGACAGGGCTCGTACCGCTCAGATTGAAACGCGTGGTGTCGTTCTTGTCTAGCATTGCCGACGAGATATAGGGAACATAGCGACCGGCGTAGCTCTCACCGGTCATGAAAATGCGAAAGTTCTTTATCCCGTATAGATCTTCAAACTTTTCAAAGAAGTCGAGAAAATCGGCGGCAATCTCTTCTTCGTTGGTGGCTGTAACATTTCCAACGGAAAATCCGGTTCCGACTGGTTGGTCAACCCTGAATTTATTCACATTAGTCTCATAAAATGTACAGAGTGCATACCTCCAATTTAATCCTCAGGAAGAAGCGTACCATAGCATGTTCGTCAAATTGACCCAAGAATATTCGTTGATGACGGGTGCATAGGTACCAGGCTGCCATGTGAACCTGCCATTTTCCTGAAAGAATCCCTGTTCGGAGGAACAGCCTGGCCCTCCATTGAGGTAAATGGTAAGGTCGTCTGAAGGTTCGCCTATCTTAGGTTGGAAGATATAAAACAGGGATCGAGATCCATTGTTGCTGTCATCGATAGGGATCGACCCCGAGTACATCTCCCCAACATCGAAGTGCACATCGGGTAAGCTTTCCACCAAGTGGGCTATCCAGGGATGACCACATGTCAGCGACGAATAGAGTTCATGGCCGGTGTAATACATACGCTTGGTCCTATTATTGAAGAATCGGTAGTCGGAAGTGTTGCTCGACTGGGCTCTGGTCGCAGCACGGTACGTCGGATGACGTTTGGAAAAATGAGCGGCAGCCCGACTTCGTTCAGATTGAGTTGCTCCTGCGCCGTTGATCAGCAGAAGTGCAGCCGCAACTGTCACTGCAGGTGAAATCAGAAACATCATCCGGGATCGAAGTCAGCCAACAAGCTTTGACAGCGGAAGAGTGACGTTCAGCGGCCAAGGGGATCGTGTCAATCTTGTACCCAACCAGAAGAATTCCTCCGTCGAACCTGATGGCCAGGGGTTGGGCTCATTTACTCCGATATTCTAGCGACGGACCAGATCCATTGAACTTAGATTATATTTTCCGATAGTTCCAATCGTCATGATTGGAGTTATTAAAGCTAAAGATGGGTCTGTTCTACTTTGGAGTTTGGAGAAGTCTTCTTTACAGATTGGGTGCAATAGCGTACTTTTCGGCTTGCCGATCCCTGGTAAGATGGCACCGAGCAATCAGTTGAGTCTAGCAAATTATTAACTGGCCAAACGCGTTGCAGAAATAAGAAAGTCGAAGTCATTCGCTTGGCAATAAAGTGGCTTAGACGGTTTCGCCAGTTCCCGCCAGATATCTATCTGGTCAAGGACCACGCCGATCCGAACCAAGTTTGGTCAATTGACGATGCAAATGGTTTTCTCTTTGCAGCGCCAAGACATGCAAGCCGGACAATAGCCGCGGATCATTGAGCCCAAGGGAGATTCCTCACTCCCTTGTTCTTGACTTCGTTTACCAAACCAGGATAAAGCATAGACAAGGGATTTCAGTTTACTTATTCATTTATTCCTTCTCCATTCCTCCTCTGCGTAGTCTGTTCGTCGTGTGTAATTCGAACATATGGATAGATGAACCTGTGTTTTATTGACTGACGAGGGTAAGGTTGCCTGACAGTTGAATATTTGGTGGAGCTTTTCAGGGTAATTTGTCTTGTGTTTGTAATCAGCACGCAGCGGATGGGGTCAAATTCGTCATTCCCATTCGAGAACCGAGTTGGGATCGTAACCCTAGCATCCCCACTGGACCCTGTGCAAGTGCGCCGTGAACTCGACGCACTTTCCCCAGAAAAGAAGCGGATATTTGGTAGTTCCGGTGCCTCGGGGTTTTTCTCGCCCGCTTAGATAATACAGGTCAAATGCTGCTCAACCTCGAGCCAATTATCAGGGCGACTGACTCGATCCATACTGGGCATACACAGTCCCTGGATTGGATCTGACGATCGGCAGCAGCGTAGCCTCCGCTACGGCAAACTCATCGGCAAACCCCAAGCCGATGGGTCAATGTTCGCAATCATATCAATCAAGAGTCATATCAATCATATCATCAGTCCGATCTCGGTTTCTCGGAGAGTTCTCGGTACCCAAAGACGGGTGAACGACGCTGACAGGTATGGAGACGGACAGCGGGTTTTGGCTCAACTGGCCTGAAAGGGAAACTCGACCCCTTATCACGAGCATCACGGTTTCATGTTCAGGAGAATTGTCTTTTGATCCTCTTAATGCCAAGGGTCGCCCTCTGAATACCTACTTACTCCTGATCAAATCTGCTGTCAGTAATAGTGCCCCTTTTTCCCTTTCTTATTCTCTCTTTCCCCTATGTCGTTCTAGCCTTTATCAATATTATCAACGTCGGCTTATCATGTAGTTGAAAGGATCAATAATATTATAATAATCGAAGAGTGCTTCTGCTTCTATTGAAATGGCTTGTGAAATGTCCAAGATAGGCAACGATATGGGGAAGAATACTTCTGCCTGTCACTGATCTTCATCATGATCATGATCAGCATCCCCATCATAGCTCCGTAAACCTCCGGGACTTTACTCCACGCAGGCCACGCGTAATTTAGCCTCGACACGGGCGGCGCACTTGGCTGTGTCGCGGGTTCATCCTACCAATTTTCAATTTCCATCTCATTGCTTTGTTCTATACTAATGTATACTCAGATCATGGGTTTGTCGGTGGTGGAGTTCCGCTAGATCCGCCGTTACAATGTACAGTATTCAGACTCAAATAACGCCAAGCATCTGCTGAATGGACTTGGACCGGACGAAGATACATCTCAGATAGATAAGTATGCAGGCAAACAGGACGAAGTCATTTTGAAGAAGGTAGAACATTCTTTATTATAGCATGTAAGAATCAAAGTGTTCGAAGCAATGGTTTTACTTTTTCAGATCAATTCTTCGGCCCCTTCCAATTGGTCACAAATACGGAACGCCTCCCAAGGCACCCCAGAGCTTTCTTTAGGGATACAATCCACGGAGGCACTGCTAACCGAGGTTACAGCTCATATCCAACTCTACCAAAAACATTCCCGAGGCCACTAGAAATGAAAAGCACGACTTAGACGGAATCATAGGCAATACTATATATGCTTTTTGGGTAGGGGCTACAACTGCAATCAGCCGCCATTGACACCGGCTATGAACAGTATCCAACTACATATGCTACACGGTAACTAGCACGTAAGGCTATGACTATTTTTGTTTTTGAAGAATTCACGAGCTAAGTGAGATGAACCCTACATGGCTAGATCATAAATTCATCTTCTTATACTACAATAGTAGATCAATTCGAAACTACATATTTACCATTGGCATTCGGTGGCCCGCTGAATATATATTCAATAGTTACCTCACTGGTTATTGTGCAGCTAGATTTAAGCCCATTGTGCTGGCCTCAATCTTTGATACGGGGATAATTGTGCCAGTGAACAGGATAGCAGAGATATGAAAGACTTGTTTTTCAAGTATTAGTATATCTTGTCAAGATTCGCCGGCCTAGTCTAGTCTTTCCGGATGAGAAGTGTATATTAAATAATCAGCTACAGTCTGGATTTTCAGGAACGGATATTATCCAGATTGTGGTAGCATTATCACTGTCGCTACTAGCTGTATTGGCTGGTAGATATAAAGATAGGTCTTTGGGCATAGATTTGAGAAAGGCACGCTGTGGTTATACGGCTCCTGGAAGGTTTCCTCTGATACATACAGTAAGATGCAGGATTCAGCATCGAAAATATAATATTGGCTCCGAACAACAAATTACGTTCTTTATAGATCTCTCGTGTGGGAGCGACTAGCCGGTCAGATGGGACTGTTTGCACTCTCAAGCACGTCAGTCTCAGAAGGGACCGCACCGAAACCCGGATTGTACGCAGGCTAGGATAGACTGCTTCACTTGTGAAGTATGCGATTGCCTTGACGATGACAGTCATTGTGATGTAGGAGTTCTAGAACGGATATTACCGTGAGGCGTTGAGAAAGCATGCAGCATCTAGGTGAAGCGATATCTTGAGGAACTCAGTCACCAGCATCGCGGGACGACCCTCGGTGATGCCGACAATTACTGTTGCGACATGATGGCACGATACTGTATGTTGATCATTCGAAAGACTCGGCCTCAGACCCATGGAAATGTACAGATGGTGTCATCACGATAGGCATCGGAGTTCGCCGGTCAGTGGGTTACAAAGTGGAGAAGTCGGGCGGGAGAGACCCAAAGGCAGCTGGATTATATACGAAGTAACACCAACGTGAAAGGCAACATAATCAGAACATGCTTGATTGGATATATCATCGCCCGGACGTGCCAGCAGGAAGTAGGCAAATTGTTGACGTTCCTCCAGTCAGGGAGGCAAGAATGTTGGGTCATCAGGAAAAAGAAGTATTTCATAATTTTGACCTGTGGAATTTTTGGGCAAAAGGCAAAACATGGGAACGAAGTAGTTCGATTAGAAGAGCTATCAAAAATGATATGAGAGTAAAAACATACAACAGAAGGTGTATGTCGGTGGTCACCGAGCGCCCCAGGTTGGCCCGTCGCTGCTTTATTCAGTCCATTCAGTCATGTTCAGGTCGCTTCGGGGGCGCTGTCAGCGTCCTGAGCCGACCCCTCTAAAACGTGCTGCGCTACCGGGATGTGCTGACCGGGGCAGCCAGGCTGACCGGATATAAGACCTGTTCTTCTCTTTCACCAGTCGGAATCTGTATCTTCTATCCTCCACATGTTCGCTCTTCTCTCTGTGCGCTGATGTATACTACTAAGTATGGTGGTGAAAGGAGTACGCTCAAAAGTCTATCAGCAAGTCAACCTCGACGACCATGACAACTCAGAACGCAAATCCAGAGTACTGGGTCGGACCGAGAACCAGTATGATAGGACTTTAAGTCTTTTTGATGAGTTAGAAAACCTCCTCTTTCTAGGCATGTCTCCCACTTACGGAATCCAGCTTTCTTGAGCTACATCCCAAAGCCTCAGATCCGCCCGATATACGAACTTACAAAGGATTTATGGAATTTGTGAGCAAAAATACACGAGGTCGGCTGGGAGAATATCCTACACCTGAAACAATGGAGGGATTTCGCCGGCGGTTCGAGTCTGCACTCCGTCTACGTCGCGACTATGATATGCCGAATCATATATCCACAACGATTCGAGATTATATCGCGAATGATCTTAAAGAAACTGTCCCACTTTGCGAGGATGAAATGCCCAAAGACTCTGTATCGCCTAATGATCTCATGATTATTCTAACACACCTCTGGTGCCGTGATTTCAAAGAGTACCGCGGGAAATACCCTGACAGGTCGCGAGTCCAGCTTAGCGCCTCTTTGCTGTTATACTGTTTTACGTCAGCGAGGACTGGGGAGGTGCATGAATCTACAGCTCGTCGAGAACTGTCACGGAAGAAGACGAGCTTGAGTACCAGTCATGGCGGTGATGATGGTGATCTTGAAGCTCGTGTTCTAGCAGCATGTTATAAGGTATCTCTTCCTCAGCAGAACTTTGTCTAATAGGCTGACTCCCGAATAGCACTTTATACTTACTATTGAGTGGGTGGACGGTATCAAGATGCTCGTCCTCACATATTCCCGTGTCTATGTAAAAGGCTACTGGAAGAAAAAGAGATGGCAGCTCCCAATTCATGGGTTCTATGAAATATATAAAACGGAGGCTCCTCTTTTTTTCAATCTCTTGACGTTCTTTCTCCCCATGGCATGCGCAGATCGCGTCTTCATGGACTATACGTCTGTTGGTGAGATCATGGATGCAGCTGAAAACATGCAGGGTGACAATGATGAGAAAATAATTGCTAAACTCGAACTCAGACCAGAGATGGAAAACATTCCCATCTTTCGGCCATACGATGAGCAGGCAGTTGAGGATTCTACTGGTCGGTCTCGCGGAGCGGATTCTTTTGGTAAAGAACTTGCAGAACTTGGACATCGTGCAGGCTATACAGAAAATATTACAGGGCGTGCCTGCCGCCGATGGGCACTGATGGAAGCTGGTAAGTAATCTATATGTATTCTCCATCCCTCACTAATGTTGAGCTTACACAGATAAAAGCCACTCTGAAACTGCAAGAATGAAGTTTGCAGGGCATGTCAATAAGGGTACTTTCGGCAGATCATATGCACACCCACTCTCTGAAGTAGATGGACCGGCCACCTACCTTGGCATTCCCGGCCGTCATGAGCATATACAAAACCGGCGCAGCATGGGAATTCACAGGCACCCACAACTTTGGCAGTCGCTCCCCGCCAAGGCAGAGTTCGAGTTTCAGGAGCGACCGGATATCACCCACAAGTGTCGGGCACGACTATTATGAAATTCTCGGAATATCCCACGACGCACAGCCGGCTACTGTCAAGTTAGCATACAAACGTCTGGCTTTAGCCAGACACCCAGATAGACGGAAGAACGAACCTAATGCAACAGCTGATTTTCAACTAGTAAGATTTATCGCTATCTACTACCTACCCTTCTGGCCTCTTAGGGCTCGCGCGCCTTGTTATTGATACAGCTAGAAACAGCTTAGCGAAGCTTACGGGGAGCTGTCTGATATTCATAAACGCCAAGAATACGACAAGCTATATCGCTCAGCGATACTTCCCGGGAAAATCAAGAGTCAAAAGATAGCAGAGCTTGAAGAACGACTTCGGCAGTTTGCTCTTAAACGCGAGGGATCGAAAACATTACTGTACAACACAAAGAAAGACCTTATTAGACTCCGCGCTGAGAAAGACAGTGTCAAAGGAGAAAAAGAACGCCTCCTGAAGGAAAGAGCTACAGAGGAGACATGGTGGTCTTACATCTCGTCCTTAATGATAGGAAACACGGTGGAATTCAACCAGCGGAGACAACGACGAGAGCGTGAGATAACTGACTCGATTGGGAAACAACGGACGAAGGAATGGAATATTGATCTTAAACTGGCGGAGGTTCAATATCTTGAAAGAATGCTCGATTCTATCTCTTCTGCTGAGATTGAAATCAAAGTTGAGATAACGAAAATAGAAGAGCGCTGGCGCGAAAGGCTATCATTGCAGGAAATGGAAAGGGTATTGGCGAAATGGAAAAATCAAAGATAATTAGCGAAGGGAACTCGAGTAGCAACACGGCATAGATCTACGAAGGCAGAAACTATAGCCATCAGTCATATATTCAAAAAATTGTGGTAGAGTATAGCGAAGTGTGCTAAGTGGTGCCAACTGAAGAATAATCAGTGGCAGGAGGAACTTTGGTGGATTTGGGACGAAATACACACGTGGTAAGAAATGTCCTTGTATGAGAGGATACAAGCGACGGAAGCCGCGCTGAGTCACCCCAGTGCATAGTTACGTTTTAATACAGAAGCTGGTAACAGATGTCCGGAGGAATAGTCGTAAAAAAGCTTAGCCTAATCCCGATTAGGGCTTCTCAAACATAGGAAGAGTATAAACATTTGCGCCATTTTTGCAACCTAGTGTAAACGAATGGAATCAAAAAACACATAATGTGTTAAGCCATCCACCAAGTCGTAAACTCATTATATGGCCCAAGTTCGTTGAACCGTCTGCTTTCACATCAACCTCCTCTATGTCTCGAAGAATATTCTCTATGTATTCACCTGCACCGCTAAGTTTCATTATAAGTGCGATAGCACGATGAACATCAAGGAGCCGCCGTGAGGGCGTATCAATTACACGAGTGGGACTAAGGGTTAAAGTCCGCGTGACTGGGAAGAGTGGATCACGTAAAAATGGACTTCGCTCTGTTGAATCAATTTTGTACTGATATGGCACGCCTGTGGGTTCGAAATAAATCTGAAATTCACCGAACATACGATGATAGTCGAGCGTTAAAGTAAGGGCGTTAATGGGGCTGTCAATCTTCGGACCATCAATTAGATGGATGACACCAGGGTCAAACATATCTAAAATCCGAAGCACATTCTTTTTCGAGTCGCTCTATGGAACTATGTTAGCGGAGCGATGAAGCATGTTTTAGATCAGACATACTAGGTCTGCATCTCCAGAGGAAACTGTTGTAAGACAATGTGGTAGAATATGGGCCACTTCCAGGAACTGAAAGCGGTCACTTGATTCGTTTTTCAATTCTATTCCTTCATCGTCCTTGCAATCTTCCCCATACTGCTCGAAACGTTTTCTAGCCTCGCTCTTATCAAATTTTCGAGAAATTACGCAACGATAGCGATCACGCACAAGGCAACTTTTTCGCAAGATAGATACACGGTATGGTGTGCCGGAGGGCGTAGATGTTTGTATTGCGGATAATGATGCAGGCGTCGGTTGCGGAGTCTTGACAGATGAAGCTCGGACTGTGATCATCCAAGTTAAATAGTGCTTCTCACAGTAGAATGGTCAATAGCCAACATACGCGGAAGGAGGAAATTCTCAATGATGTAATCAGCGAATTCTTCGATCGCGCTCTTTGCTTTGTTCTTCTCGTCTGGACTCCAAGACGTAAAGTTATCGAAGAACGTCAAGACAATCGTAATATCAGAATCAATCAAATCAGCAGGCTGTGAACATAGATTTTCGTATATCGACGAGAAAAAGAACGTTAAAAATGTATCCTTAGCTACCACATGCTCATATGTGGCCTTAATAAGTGCCGCTGGCTTGTAACCTTTTCGTGCACTCCTTTCGGGGCCATAACACTGAATTAAGACCTGAAGAAGGTTGGCTGCCGATTGACTTTGGTGGGGTGGTAATGAGAAAGGTTTTGAGAAGTTCAGGACTTTTTCTAAAGATGACTGGTGTCGATGCAAAGGATGTGAAGGCATCATCGATAAGCCCAATCCATTGTGTGAGGTGTGCAGAGGAAGCCAACCAAGGATGTTTCTACAACGCGCCTCAGGTCACGTGGTTGGGAGATCGTCGGGTTCTTGTCAAGTCGAGAACTGTTAAAAAGTTAGTTGCTCATGTACCCGCTAGTCCCACTTAAGACTGTATCGTTATCGGTTTATATAATAAATCTTGGATGACTGTAACAATATATATATATATTCCAGTAGTTAATTGGGCTAGTGACGGGTTAAGCTATGGAACAATACGATCGATTCAACGCGCTTTGGTCTCAGTCATGTCTGTATTGGTTGGCCCAATCTCTAATGTCGCTAACGAACCGGCGTGCGACACCAATTATCACCCCTTGCTTGACGAAGAAGTCTGGGTCTTCCTTCGAAACCTGTTGAAGGTCTAATCCATTTTCCAACGCCACATCACGTGCTTTTTTAATATGGTCTCTATAAATCTCACGGCCAACACGCGACAAGTGCCAATTGGCATATTCCTCCACTGCATCATCTAAGAACCCAGGAATATCAACAGAGTCAATACAGTTGGGACTTGAGCTTGACTGCTCAGCCGTAACAGATCTGTCTGTTAGGCTTTGCGATGACTGCGCGGGGAGGACATTGATATTGATTGGTGGACAAATTGATCCACTTGCGGAATGCTTCGGGTTCTTTTGTTTTTCAAGCCGCAGTGCCTCCTCTGCATAGAGTTGTTCACGGACATCGTCAGGAATATCATCATGCGTATCCAAGATGCCTCCACCCTCAACGTATTTGACAAGTCTCCTCAGATGGTGCGTTCTAAGTTTGTAATGCTTCTTTCCAACAGGGTCCAGCCAGCAATACTGCCCTTCATGGCGGCAGGGTGGCCCAGGACAACGCATCGTTTGATACACTTCCCGCCAATATGGACGTTGTCCAGAAGCCTGTTCAGCATCGATCTGGGCGTCTCGTTCTGTAAGCATTCTCCTAGTTACTGATGACTTTCCTCTCTTATCTGTATTCCGTGAAAGAGGAGGGCCACTGTCCTCTATATAGTTTATGGATATAAAAAGTTTGAGCTTCTTGCCAATATGAAACAGATTTCCCCACATTAAGAGCTGTTTCTCTATAGGTTTCCAATCAATATTAGTGCCGTCAAAACGTTTGTTCAGATCAGATTGTCCACGTTCGTTTACAGATACTCTGACTGTAGTATCATCTGATCTCACACGTTGGTTGTGACGTATTTTTCGACGCATAACATTTTCAGCATCCTGTGTTATCTTCGCCCAGTGTGAACTGGGTGCTACAGCCAAGTCCTGTTCAGTGTCCTTTGACACAGTTCGGTTGTTCAGAGTTACCTTCCACTCAATAGTATAATGAATACAAGGCTTTCCTCTATGTTGCCTCGTAGTCCTTTCTTCGGGCTCCTGGAAGAAACCCAGATGATTGGGCTGGGATTGATGCAAGGGAGTATAAGGTTCATCAAGTACATGTTCAGGTGATGGGCAAAATACGGATGGCGTACGATCTCTACCGAAGTCACCAGGGGTGGGGGCATACGATGGAGTTTGTATCCACGGATCAGGTGGCTGAAGCTGAGAGGCATCGTCATCGTAGTAAGGACTAAACGTCATCCCCTCAAGGCAGTAGATGCCACTGAGAAGCCTAGTGTTGGGATCATCATATGTTAGCCTACACCATATGGGTGTCCCAGCAAGAGTGTCCGTGAGGGAAGAGGTGCAGCTAACAAAACCAGTAAAATGATCAGGTTCATGGACAATGAACTAAGACAGGTACAGTATTGTAGCCCTACCCGTCTTGGTTAACCTGGTAAGGTCAAAAAGGATCGAACCGTGGCTCAGTACAAACAAAAGGAATGTTAACAGTTTGCGGGAGATGCAAGGCACATGCTTTGTCATGTTTGACGCGTTTGCAGTGTAGAAGCTTCCAGCTACCGTAGATTACTGATACAAACTCAATACACTATTTCTATAACCTTACTGTTCAATACAGTACGATCAAAATTTCCGGAATATTAATGTTACGGTTACCTTCCATATGTAGACTAGCGCACTTGGCATTAGGGTTCGAAATACGATCAAAGAGTATTGGGGGGGGTGACAGCAGTAATGACTCCAACTGTAACCAAGGTTGTGTCTGTATAATATATACATGTAAGATACATGAGCTTCGGTGATATAATACAGAAGTACCATACAGTACCGCGTTATGAAAACACATTAATCCGGATCCTTTCCTATAATAGACTAGCGTGCTTGGCATTAGGGTTCGAAAAACAATCGAAGAGTATAAGGGGATGACAGCAGTAACGACTCCAACTGTACATCAAACTCAAACTCACTGTCCAATGCCAGATTGAATAGCAGTACCATCATATACTCTCCACCCTTCACGAGCTACTACAGATCTTGCTACCTGCCAACTTCTCAGTCGGATACAATACCCTAGGTAGCCCACCTGCCATAGGAACAGGCACATTTCCATCCGAACCAACCGTCACGGTCGTGCAGCCAATGACCTCCGTCAATTGCTGGCCGGCTGTGTAACCCGCACCACTCAAGGAGAGGGTATACGAATCACCCGAAGCACCCTTGTTGGACAAGATAGTCACGATCTGCGACCCATCTGTGCCCTTGCGCATGGCGATCGTTGTGTCGTCTTTGTAGATGGGCCAGTTCTGTATTGCCAGTGATTAGTCTCTTGTGTCAGATACTCTGAAGATAGGCCATTAGGGTATGCTTAGAGGTTGTGCTTACCTTGTAGGTCACGAATCCTGTATCTTTGCTAATGGCATAGTTCCGGATTGCGTTCGCGGAGGCAATTAACTTGTACAGCTCGCTGTCGGTCGGGTAGCCCGAGAGCCAGGTTGCTTCGCGGTTCGCGGGGTCGTTTCCGCCGGCGTAGTGCTGTTCTTGGCCGGCGTAGATGATGGGGATTCCGTCGTTGAGGATGATGAATGCTGCGACGTTCTTGGCGAGGGCTATGTCGTTGGTGTAACTTTGCTCTTGTTAGGTGGGGTTCTGTGTGGAAATTGGGAACGGAAAATAAAAGGGAAGACTTACGAAGCGAACCGTGGGTTGTCGTGGTTCTCGACGAATGTGCCCAGGAGTGTTGAGTCTGGACAGTCGGATTTGACGGTGTTGATCATGTTGTAGAGGTCGTCCATGCTGCCGGAGGTTGACTTGAAGGCGTTGAGGAGTGGATAGTAACTGGTTTTAGCCGTTTCGTTAGGAGATGAGACTTGCAAGAAGGCTCATGGTTGGAGGAACCATACATGGGATAGTTCAGTACGCCGTCCATGACGTTCTGGTAGGGACAAGTGTAGGCCGGATCACCGTCGAGCACCTCGCCGATACAGTACACGCCTGCGGCTTTGTTGTACCCGGGCCAGAAGTCCTTCTGGACGTGTTTTACTGTGTCGATACGGAGGCCGTCAACTGATTTCGTAAGTATCATCGATCAGCCAAGTTGTAGAATGAGGGAGAAATATCTTACTGGAGTAGTTCGATACCAATGATCCCACCCAGTCGTACCATTCATTCTTGACCACATCCTTGGTGGTATCGAGATCAGGCAAGGAGACAGTGTTATCTCCTAGCCAGCAATCCTCAACCTGAGTCTGATCTTCATAGTTTTGAATGAAACAGAACGGGTGGAAGTAGTCTTGGGAACTGAACGGTTTAAACACACTGTAATCGACTGAGCTACCCGCTCCATCATAGCCCTGATATTACTCATTGTCAGTACTGAAATGAACCATATCCGCGAAGTCAGTTGCAAAGGACCACGAACCATATGGTTAGCAACCACATCGACCATAAGATACATCCCCCTCTCATGAAGGGCCGAAGAGAGCGCCTTCAAGTCATCTGCAGTGCCGTAGTTTTCGTTCAGAGAGTATCTAAAACCATCAAGTTAGTTCATATTGATGTAAAAGATGACAGGTAGATATTTAAAGAAATCGACTTACATATCCTGCTGCCAGTAGCCATGGTAGGCATCTCCATATGCGGTGGTCTGGGGCAGCTGGGCTGTAACGGGGGTGATCCAGATGGCTGTGAAGCCCATTCCCTGGATATAGTCCAACTATGTGATGGTTAGGACTAGAGTTCTTTTTATTTTATTTTTCTTCTGCTTTTCCTTCTTTTTTTTTGATAAAGGGGCAATTTACCTTGTCGATGATGCCCTGCCATGTTCCACCACAGTATTTCTATATCAAGTCAGTTTACATTCCTCTTTCTGAAAGCTAGTAGGTAACAACACACCTGATCCGCAGTATTACAAGTCGCAGTCGTCGACCCATCCGTCCTTGCAAATCGATCCGTGAGAAGGAAATAAATGGATTGCGATCGCCAGTCCGCAGGCGTTGCAGCCAAAGCAGGTGCCGCGACCTGAAGGCCGTACAGAAATAGAGACCACCACGCGACCATCATAAATGCCTTCTGTGGGGTTTATTGTTCAGAGAAGGGAGAGCTTGATGTGATGTTGTCGGTTGCTATCCTCCAAGCATGGCATCCCTTGCTAGTATTTATATGTTGTGATACATCGCATCGACAAGGGACATACTTTAAGCTCTACGGCCAGGGGCGGGGAATCCAAGCGATTCGCAGAAGAGTTTAAATTGCATTCTGCAGGACAATACCGGGGACGACTGTGATTTGTGGTTGAGTGGAAATTAATCCCTTTAAATTTCCGCCCCTAGTCACTCTGGAGGGTGTTGGTTGGATCGCTGCCCGTGATCAGCGTTGCAGAAAAGGCCGACGGGCCGACCTTTTTCTTGGGCTGTTTCGCTTTGCTGCTTCTAATTGGATGGTGCGTCCGATGCCTAGAGGTGGTCCTTCGCTCGTGATGTGGACGCTGGGGTTTCTCCGTGAAGGACTTGGGCTTGGATGCTGTTGACTCCGGGGTTTTACTACTTTGGTCTTGCATCCCTTGACGATTTTTACGTAAATATCAGCCCTAACGTAATCGGTAAGCGAGTTGCCCGCGCAAGCGAGTTGCCCACCACCCGCCATATAAAAATTTAAAATGATCAAAACACCATGAATTCTGACTTCTATATAAAAATGAGTAGTTCTATCGATTCGGGTAGTGCGTAATTTTATGCCCCTGTACACCACAGCCAGAACATTTAGATGGAGCGCGCCTAGAAGCCGATTTAATAGGTAGAGGTCTATCTGCCTGTATGGCTTTATCTGCCTGATTTCGGCGCTTAATAAGGATTCGGGCTTTAAATACTGATGTGCCTTTTTCAAAAGTAATCTGTTTAGTAGAGCGCTTTCGCTTTTTAAGTTGCCTTTCGTGCGCGGCCTGATATTGCTCTAATTAATGCTTTAATATTGTTATATCATTTATAGCTCGTTCGGCACCTTTAATCAGTTGATTTAAACTGGTTTTGATAGGCGAATCGGGACTGCGAGATCGATTTTTAAGTAGCTTTTTAAGCGTAGATTCTAACTTCTTTAACTGCTTAATTGTATAAGGCGTTTTAGGCGCTGAGCTGGCTCGGCTGCTCGGTCTACTACCCGGAGGCGTACAGTTGGAGTCGTTACTGCTGTCATCCCCTTATACTCTTCGATTGTTTTTCGAACCCTAATGCCAAGCACGCTAGTCTATTATAGGAAAGGATCCGGATTAATGTGTTTTCATAACGCGGTACTGTATGGTACTTCTGTATTATATCACCGAAGCTCATGTATCTTACATGTATATATTATACAGACACAACCTTGGTTACCCCACCATGATGTTTCCTGCAGATAATCTCCTGACGATCAATCTTACCACAGGGATTGGATAAAGAAAGCCCGTTTCTTTTCGAAATACGACATTGAGGAAGCGTATTACAAGATGACAATACGGAAAGAAGACAGACCTTTGACGACGTTTAGATGTCACATGGGAACATACCAGTACACGGTATTACCATTCGGAATCGGCACGGCCCCAGCAGAGTGGCAGATTTACATCGAAAATGTACTGTGGGAATTTCTTGGTAACAATGTTACGATACACTTGGACGATATTTTGGTTTTCTCCGACAACGAACAGGAACATGACAGGATTTGTCAAGGCATTGAGACACGCCTGAGGCAGAACGGCTTGGCTTTGAAAGAAAGGAAATGCCAGCGAAAAGTACGAGAAGTTGTTTATTGCGGCCATCGATACAGTTACAACAGATGCAGCCCGGTTATCTCCGATGGAACGATACGCAACTGGCCGAAACCGAGGAATAAGACAGAACTTCGGAAGTTTTTGGGCGTGGTTAACTTTTTCCGTGATTACATACCGATGTTGGCCCACCACGCGACCCCGCTTTACGACGCCACAAAGCAAGACGGAAAATGGACTTGGCGCCAAGACTTGGCATTTGAGAATGTGAAACGATTGGAGCAACGGATGCTCGACACAGCCTACTTCGACCCCACCAGAAAGTGCACTTTGAGAACGGACGCGTCATCATTTGCAATCGGTGCCCAACTTATGCAAGGCGGCCTAACTTGCGCGATTATTTCCCGGCGCCTGACCCCACCTGAACGCAACTACACCGTCACCGAACGAGAACTTTTGGCAGTGATCTACGCACTAGAGAAATGGTTTCCCCTTTTGGAAGGATCTCCGGGCATACGTGTACAGACTGATCACAAGAACCTTGCTTACGAACTAAAGGAAAGCATGACGAATCGAAGGATGAACAGATGGATTTTATTCGCTGGACGCTTTAGGCTGACGTGGTCATACCTCCCTGGCGAGCAGAACAGCGCAGATGGTTTCTCTAGAAGGCCGGACTACAAGAAGATAAAAGGGGGGGGAGGGAACAGATAGTTTAGGACCTCGTGGTCAACTCATAGAACGAATACAACGGGTTCTTTTGACCACCAAGTGCCCGGGTAACACCATTCATTGAGTTGACTACAGAGAACTATCTAACCATGGTTCCTCCCCCCCCTCTTTATACCTTTCAGTTCTGACTATCTAAGGCTGTGCAAACGTCACAGGGGGTGGTGCAATTGCCTTCGTAATGTCTTGCCACGTCATCACTGCTGATCCAAGGGGCCGTGCGTTCAAAGTATCCATAGTCCATGTCTGCTGACGCGTCGTCTATGCGCGTCCATTTGCTGTAAATGTCGTTTCACTTAGAGTGGATTCCGACGATCGTCCGGCCGTTGAGCAACTTTGAGTAATCCAGTGGGCCCGATCAACCAGCACACAATAGCCAGCTGAGCGTGTTCGTTGTACCGGCCAGTACCAAGCAGTGCACCTTAATCGCACATCCCGAACGACGCGTGGTTTTTTGCTGAATTTGGCCCTATCACAACTGCACAATGCGATCCCACCCCAACTTTGTTTCCGCCCCGGGGCTTATCTGGCACCAAATATATCGCTCGCCGGCTTGGCTATCATTCCAGGTCTGTGCGATGATCGTGGCCTTTGGAACCCAATAATCCTTTTTATCGTCTGTCGCCCTTGCGTAGATATTCCCTTGTTTCCCCTCTATTTTTCCTCTTTGCTATGACTCCCTGCGGAGATGAGTGCCGGATTGTCCCCGCCCAATAGAACTGGTGGGAATAGTACCACCGGCAGTCCGCGGCCGAGGCCAACCTCTGCGGTCAACTTTGGCCCAGAGCTGCTGATTGCCGTTTGGACAATGAGTGCCTTGTCCATTATAGTTGTGGCGATGCGCTCAGTGAGCAATGCCAAGTTTGGCAATTATCAGATCAGTGATATAGTCACTTTATTGGCACTGGTCAGTGCATGAACTTGCCTTCCTCCGACGTCACTAACATTCGGTTAAATGCATAGACGCTGCTTGTGATTGCCGCAGTGCTGTCAAGTGTCGCAGTGGACTATGGGTACGGGAAGACCGCCAGCTCGTTGGAGCTGCATCACGCAATGAGCTCCCTCAAGTACTCCACTATCAGTCAGGCCGTGGTAACGCTTGCTGCAACTGCCGGTCGTCTGGCGTTTATCATTTATCTATCGAGCTGCTGGCAGCCCGAAAGTTACACCGGATCATCCTATGGACTCTCGTGCCCTTACAGGTGATTGTCAATATCATCAGTGTGTTTTTGCTGTTCTTTCAGTGTTCGACACATGTGGAGGAATTATTCAACCCAAGCCAAAGCACCCATTGCATGTCGCTGAAGATTCAGATTGACTATGCTTATTTTCAGGGTGGTATGCTTTCTCTATCACGACTCTTTGGAAATGCGCCTTCTGATAATCTCCAATAGCATTCAATTCCGCCTGTGATCTCCTTCTCGCCTCTTTTCCAATATACATCTTCTGGCGATTTAATTGGAACGTCAGAGTCAAGCTGGTTCTAATCTCTCTCCTGAGTTTGGGAGTATTGTAAGTAGCTCATCAACTATCTATGATCTCATGCAGAACTAACCATTAAACCAATTACTACAGAGCCATGGCTGCTTCACTAGTCAAAACTATCGAATATCCAACCATCATGACCTCTACCAACCCTCGCACCAACCACGTCACCCTTCTACGGTGGATGTTCGTCGAAGCAGGCGTGGTGCTCATCACCGCGTCTATACCCTGTCTCCGACCGCTTGTTATCCACTGGATCAAAAAATTCATCAAACGAGCACCCACTTTACACACGAGAATGGACAACCCCGAAGCTACGCAGAGCACGACGCTTAATGTCAGTCAAATGACGCAGGACTGGAAAAAACGATGGATCATGCCGTACATGCAGCAAACTCAGTCCGGGGAGAACTTGGAGCAACATATCCTGGCTAATATCTCCACGCATATCTTTGCCGGGGACCGGGAGTTTCTTGATCGACATGTTCCGGGTATTGTCAAGAAGGTGGAGGTTACTGTGGTGGCGGATGAGATTCCGTTGACGGAGGTTGAGCATACGTGACTTCTTCACGATTGATTTTTCATGTTTGAATTATATTATGTATATTTATGTTTACTTTGCTGGTCATGGTAACTATGTAGATCTATATGCCATCAATAGTCTTTGAGCTCTTCTAAGTGTAACTAGGGTGATGAACCTCTTGGCATTGGCTCCGTCTCGCGGTCACTGCAGCGGCTAATAGCGGCACCGGGTAATTGACTTTCAGTACGTCCACTGATTTGCCAGTTGGGGTTTGGATGGGATTACAGATTGAATGAGCAGTATTGCTTTTAATTCTACAGGGGAATGCTGTGTTATTCACACATTCCCCCCGCGCTTTTTGGTAACTCTGGTCTATTTGTATTGTGTTCTGGCAGGTATAATCGAGTGAATTTTCCAATCTTCCATATCGACGACCATTCAATGAATCGTTGAGAATCAGAGTAGGGGGGCTACTAGAGATATCCCTAGTGGCCTTATTTAAACAATGCAGCAATATACATTTAAGCTTATGTGGATATTGATGTCCATCCGTTATGCTTATCCCGTTAGATCAGTGATTACAGTAGCCGACGACCGCTATTACCCGCCACAAAATCTTACTGCGGAGTAGTACCGACACGGCGTCATGCAGGCTTACAGATTCCTGCTTACGTTGGAGCAACCAACCGTCGCAGTGGCTTATAGCCTTACGACCAGTGCAGATATATTCCCCTTCTAGCCGTAGACCACATACCAATGAACAATATATTTACTTCGTTACTTCTCCTCAATTCGGCCGTCACAGGGTTGAGGTAATCACAACCTCTTGGCAGCAACATCACCCAGAATACTAGTACCTTCCTACTACACCCTCAACATGGCTACAGCAACCGCAGCAGTCAACTCCACCGGGCCCCAAGTCCCCAGAGATCCAATCGTCTCCATCAAATCAACAAGCGGCACTCACCCTCCCACCACCCGCACAACATATACCCTCAACACGGGCGCCAAAATCCCCGCCCTCGGGGTCGGCACCTTCCAAGACCCCGACTCCCAAGAAGAAACCGTCTGCCAAGTCTTACAGCGTGGTATGCGGCTAATCGACACAGCACGGGTCTACGGCGTGGAACAGCAAGTCGGCAGGGGAATCAAGAAGAGCGGCGTCCCCCGCGAAGAGATCTTCCTTGGCACGAAGCTCTGGTGTAACGATTTCCACCCCGACGATGTGGAGCGCGCGGTGGATGATTCTTTGCGGGACTTGGTATACGCCCTACGTTGATTTGTTGTTGATGCATTATCCGTGCACATTTAAGCGGGGCGAAGATCGGTTTCCCCGCGATGCGGAGGGGAGGATGATACATGGGGAGACTACGTTTGTGGATACGTGGAGGGCGTTGGAGAAGGTGGTTAAGACGGGTAAGGTGAGGGCCATTGGGGTGTCGAATTTCAGCAAGGGTGAGATTGAGACGTTGCTTAGGGAGACTTCTACTGTAGGTCCCTTTTCTTTTACTTTCATCTGATTACTTGACTGAAAGTGATACATGCAGGTCCCCGCCGTGCACCAAATGGAAGTCCACCCCTACCTCCAGCAGAAGGGCTTCAACGAGTGGCTTCGCGAAAAGGGTATTCACGTCGTCCAGTTCAGTCCCCTCGGGAACATGAACGACTTCTACCGTCAGGCAGGATGGTCGAAGGAAATCGCGCACATGATGCGGGTGATTGATCAGCCCATCCTCAAAGAGATCGGACAGAAATACGGCAAGAGTCCAGTGCAGGTTGTGCTTGCGTGGGGGATTAATAGCGGCCGCTCGGTTATTCCGAAGACTGTGATCGATTGGCAGATTGAGGAGAATTTGGCTGCTGATTTTGAGCTGGATGCAGAGGATATGGCTCGAATTGCTACATTGGATGCAAAGGCGCGGTTCAATGACCCTAGTTTTGATTATGAGTGGCGGTTGTATAGTGATTTGGAGGGGATTGATGGCACCATGAAGGGGAGAACACACTAGGATTTGATGGTACGGAGCCATTGCGTTTATGCTCAACTTGGAATGATGGATTTGAAGGTTACTGCGTAGTCTGAGATTGTGGAAGTCATGTCTAATGATTCTATTCATTTCATTAACGCCGTTTAATTGCCACGCTATAGTTATGCGTCACAAAACGGGAAGCATTCTACCTAAGCCGCAAGATCATTTCTCTTCGTATACAAGAAACTAAGGCTATTCACTTGTTTATTAAAAGGACTGTGCTACGCACGCAACACAACATTTAACGACCCATTTCGCGCGCCCAGTAAAGCGTTTCATAGTTTCGTNCTATTTGGTAGTCTAGAGAAAATACGAGATATGTGAAGAAACTCAGCCTGTATTGAAGTGCTCCATGAATGCTCTTCGAGGTAAACCAACTCATTAACACGACATCCACAAAACGAGACCTCGCCATGGAAGATACATTTCAACAAACTGTTCGTGTCAGTATCATCTAAAGACTTAGAAAGGATCATCAGACACTCACTTCCAATCACCCCATTCACCGGGATATCAATAGATGTCGTATAGCTAGCAGCATCACTCAGCAGATATACATAAGCACCTCCAAGCTCTTGCACCTCCGCCAATCGCGGAAACCCTCCGTAATACTTAAGTTGCTGCTCCCAGTCGGGCTGCTGTGGTACCCAGTATGTCATGGCAGTTTTGACCAAACCTGGCGAGACACTGTTCACACGAATGCCATACTGAGCCCATTCCATGGCCAATGTGTGAGTCATGTTTCGGACACCGGCCTTGGAAGCTCCATAAGGTGTGGATGGGACGCGCTAACATATCGTAAGCTACCATTCCATCGAAACAAATGAACGACAACAGACCTTATTCGGTCGGTACGAGGCCATTGACGCAGTAAAAACAATTGACCCCTTGATTCCGAGCTTGATAAAGGCACGCGCCGCAGCACGAGCGCTATAGAACGCTCCGAAGAGGTTGACATTAAAGAGGGTCTCGATCTCTTCTTTGGTGAAATCCAGGGCAGCCTTATGGTGAGTGCGACCGGCGTTGACTACCATGCCATGCAGCGCACCCGCCTCTTCAATGATCTTATCAATTGCTGCGGTGATGGTGGCTTCCTCTGTCACGTTTGCGTTAATGGCGCTGAGTTGCCCGGGGTAGCGCTTTTCCAGGGCGGCGAAGTCCTCTCCCGTCTCGCCGATGTCGATCGAGTAGACTTTGGCGGCACCGTTGGTGAGACAACATTCTGCGATACCGAGGCCAATTCCACGATTGGCGCCGGTTACTGGATCGAGATTAGAGATGTATCACTGACGTGTCCCATGGGTTACGTACTTGCGATGATCTTGCCTCCGAGGCTGACCTTGGTCTGAGGAGCGCTGGCCTGGGGTATTTCTTGAGGGTCAGCAGAAGTCATTGTGATAATATCAATATGCTTGATACGATATAGGTAATGCTTTTCCAGAATATTGACATTGTAGAAGACATTTAAGGGTCATTTTATAACATGTTTTGGCCATCTGCTCATACTTGATCACTCGAGTCGGGGATCCCCCGAGACGCGGAGGCGGGGAAGCGCGGGGATGCAATGCCTCGAGACGGGAACATTGATTGCATTCCATAACTTGAAAAGCTGCTACAGACACTACATTGTACGGAGATTAGTGTTTTCTTCTTGACAGTTCCTTTGTGTACAGGTTTCTGCAATGGCTCTACCAGCTTGCAATCTGCTCAAGGGCAAAACAGCTGCCATCACCGGCGGCACGACAGGAATCGGGCGTGCGATCGCATTGGCCTTCATCACCCAAGGCTGCAATGTTGCAGTCAACCATCTGGGTCTCCCCCAAGACGAGGTGCATCGGCACAGTCTGCTTGACGAAGTCAAGTCCATCCAACAAGGCGGCATTGCGGCTGGCAAGATTCTCGAGATTCCGGGCGATGTGACTGCCCCGGAGACCAGCATAAACCTCGTCAAAGAAGCCGTTTCTCAATGGGGGAAGCTAGATATTTTTGTCGCCAACGCAGGCGTGTTCAAACAAGCTGAATTTCTCCAGTGAGTCTATTATCCTATAGTGAACGACAGAGAAGTGGTCACTAACATACCCAGGATCGAGTCGTCTCTTCTCGACCACAGCATCGACGTCAACATCAAAGGCTGCTTCTACTCCTGCCAAGCAGCTGCCCGGCAGATGGTCAAGCAGGGCCATGGCGGCTCCATCATCGGTATCTCCTCCGTCAGCGCGCTGGTCGGTGGAGGCCTCCAGACCCACTACACGCCCACTAAGGCCGCTGTGCTTTCCATGATGCAGTCCATGGCCATTTCTCTGGGCAAGGATCGGATCAGATGCAATGCTCTGATGCCTGGGACCATCGCTACTCAGTTGGCTGATCATGATATGAAGAACCCTACCAAGAAGGCTGCGCTCGAGGCGCGCATTCCGTTGGGGCGGATCGGAAACCCGGACGATATGGCTGGCCCAGCGGTATTTCTGGCTTGTGAGGAGATGAGTCGATATGTAAATGCCACAGGGCTGTTGGCAGACGGTGGGATGTTTAGTAACTTGCAATAGATTGGTCTGAAAATAGTTTTTATGATGATTTGTAGTTATTGGGTCTAATCTACTTGTTCCCACAGGTTTATTACGGTAGTGATTAAGTTGCAAATGCAGACAGCTCTGAAAGTAGTATCCTAGGCTACTAAACGTCGCCACTACTACGTGCTTGTCCTCTCTGTCATCATGGGAGATAGTGAAAAGTTGCTGGACTCAATGGATTCGACTAAGAACCTCTCTATATTATCTCCATCACGCTCCCTCACGCCTTTCCCGCAGACCCACAGATTTCCATCCACTTCGCTGTCAAATCCGCCACTTTCTGGATTCCCTCCTCAATAAGCTGGGTGTGTGGTATCTTCCCCACGTTATCCCGAAGATGATCATAGTAGTCATCCAGCACAAGTCGGTTTACATTTATCTTGGCCACTCCAGCCGCCACACAGCGCTGTATCAGTTCTGGCGGAAACCCATTCGTACCATGAATTGCCAAGCAAACTCTTCCATTGACTTGACTCCGAATCTTCTCAAACCTGCCACATCAACGTCAGCAAATTGGTTGTTTTGGGCATCACAAGATACTCAACCCAACTCACCGCTCAAAATCCAATTGCGGGCCACGGGGGCCATATTCCCCATGAACATTTCCTATAGCCGGAGCAAGCACATCCACACCTGTGTCTATAAACTCATCCACCTCTTCCGCAGTGGTCATGCAAGCCTCCAATCCTGCCGTATCCATGACTCCGTCCTCTCCTCCCTCAATACGGCCCGGTTCAGCTTCGGTGACCTTCTGGCGCTCATTGCAGTATCGCACCAACTCGCGAGTCTTGCGCAGATTGACCTCCTTCTCATGGTGTGACATGTCCACCATGATACTGTCGAAGGGCATATCCGCCGCCTGCTTGATGATGTCTTCCGACTGTGCATGGTCGAGGTGGATGCTGATGGGCACGGTCGCGCGACTGACTGCGTCCGCAGCAGTCCGCACAATCTAGCCATCCGTTGCTTTGACTGCCCAAGGGAAGAATTGTATTATAAGTGGCGAGCGCGCTGTTTCGGCTGCTCGGATATATCCGAGAATTTGTTCGAGGTTGTATGCGATGACTGCGATGACGCCGTATCCGCCGGCGTGAGCATTGCGCAGAATGCGCCTGTGGCGGTTTTCTTCTTTCCAGGACATCAATGCGAGGAGCAGTAAGTGAATTAGACGGGTGCAGCTGTGATCCCATGGATGCTTGTGTTGATCGACGTTCTTATACTCTGCGGAGATGGGCTCGCGGTGGGGCGGAGATGGCCTCGAGACGAGGACCGGAGTTACCCCGATTCCCCAGTTCTTCTCCCCATGTTTCCCCTCCACTGTTGTGTTTGCCACTTTTTGTAGACTGAGCATTGACTATATCGCTTGCTCTGGTCAACCTACACAATAGAATACTGTCCTGACAATCTATTCGGCTTAGCAAAATACCTCACCATGACCGACAGCGAAATAACGGGATTTCAATCCCACCACAAAGACTTCACAACAATCACCGGTCAAACCCCCTCCCTCGAACTACTCGCAGAACACCGCGACTACCCCTTTGCACACGAAGCCGGAATCTACATCCCGGAGACAAACAACCTCTGGATCACCAGCAACCGATGCGTCGACCCAAATGGCAGCAAAACCCAGCAAAGAGTCTACATCACCCGCGTTGACCTGAATACCAGCCCCATCACCTACGAGGAGATCCCCACCGACATCCCCATGGGCAATGGCGGCATCAACTACGACAAAGATAGCATCCTCATCTGCGGGCAGGGGTCCATGACCCAGCCTAGTGGGCTGTATCGCATGTCCATCACTGCCCCGTACACAACGGAACTGCTCAAGGGCGACTTCTACGGCCGGCCCTTCAACTCGGTCAATGACGTGGTCGTGCATACTGATGGCTCCATCTGGTTCACCGATCCCATTTACGGCTACAGGCATGAGTATCGTCCGGAACCGTGTCTACCGTGTCAGGTGTACCAGTGGTGTCCGCGCGAAGGGACTATTCGCGCTATGGCTGATGGCTTTGGAATGCCGAATGGGATCTGTTTCTCCCCGAATGAGAAGACGGTTTATATCACGGATACGGACCGGTTGCATGGGGATGGTACGGTGTTTGATCATCGGGCATCTTCTATGTATGTCTTGTTTCATCCTATAGTGTTGTCGGGGTGTCTGCTAATTAGGGTGTAGCTATGCCTTCGACGTGTCCACGATACATGGACAGCCATTCCTCACCAACCGTCGGCTCTTCGCCATGGCCGATCACGGTATCCCCGACGGTATTAAGTGCGACCTCAATGGAAACGTATACAGTGGTTGCGGGGATGGAATCCATGTGTGGTCCCCCGGGGGTGTTCTCCTCGGTCGCATCCTCATCGATGGCGGGGTGGCCAACTTCTGTTTTGGCAGAAACGGGGAGATCTTTGCGCTCAATGAGCACCGCCTATGGAGGGTCCAGCTCGGGGCTGGTGTCAAGGGGGCATTACTTGGTCTGTAGACTACGGAGCAGGACACCGGATAGTAATCAACCATCAACCATGTTATGAGGCAGCGCCAGCCCGGGTAATAATTTTTCCGCCAGTAGCGGCTTTGGCATCCTGGCTTTCCCAAAGCTCCTGTAACTCCACTCCCAATGATCTAACCGGCCACCCAGTTCTTGCTCGACAAGATTCAAGCAGCTCCAGGATGTCTTCCCGAGCACGCTTCTCTTGAGTAAAGATTCCTGCTGCGTTCTGTAAGCCACTTGAAAGACACTCAGCGATGTTATGTGGGACGCTTTTTGCTCGTGCCATGATCTCCGCCTGCTTTAACAGGTAAGGCTCGGTTCTTAAAGCAGCAGAATCCCTACCGCCTGCTTATTTGTCTTTCTTGTACTCTGAGGCGACAATGCTAGCCTGAGGCAGTAGCATCATACCTCAGGCCGTAACTGTCGCCTCAGGCATGACACAAGATTATTGGCAAGGCGATAGGGTTTCTGCATGTGCTAAGAGCAGGTAGGCGGAGGGCGTGGCATGAGCGAAGGCCGGTGTGGCAGTAGCGTCTCCCTATCACATACCTATGAATACAGCCTGAGAGGACATCAAGCTAGATGCATTATCCCTCAAAGTCATCGCAATCCCACAGATATCTTCCACGTAATGCTTGATGGCACTTTGGCGTTCGAGGTACTGGTCCAGTCCTCCTATACTGGGCTCATGCACCAGTAAGAGAATACACGACGCGCTGAAGAATTGAACTGCCAGTCCTAGTAAAGCAATGTCGTCAATTCACGTTGTTTAATCACGGGAGATGCTACCATCACACCGGTCAGGCTAAAGCCCGTCATTCAACATACCAAACGCTGCAGGACGTATCCAAATCGGTCGAAAGTATGATGAATGCTCACGCCTACCGAGCGGCAAGGGCGAGAACTCCACGGTCCGGTGCTGTCGCCAGTCCTCGAGCATAGCACGAAGGCGGTTCGCATCATCGATTCGACGCCGTCTATTCTCCTCAGTGGTACTCTCTGCGCAGTAACTAATCACCTTCGCTGTAATATAAATAGCTCGCATAGCGAGTTCGTGCGGCAAAAGCGCGGATAACGGCTTCTGTGGAATCCAAAACGTCAATGTTTTGCGTTTCTCGCGGAATGCCGCCCAGATATCCTGGCAGAGCCAGGCCCACCATACGGCGGAGTGTAGTCCACCAGACTCGCCGTGGATGGTCTGGGACCTTTGTATGAGGAAGACGCCTTCAAGGTGCCGTTCCCAGTCGTTGGTGGAGTTGTCGAGCATTTCATAAGCGGAGATAATTAGTGCGGTCGCGAGGAGTTCTAGGCTGGTCTTGTAGCTAGAAAACCGCATGGCTCGCTGGACGTAGTGTAGTGTTTGATAGTAGTATTGCAGAGCTGCGGCTTCTTTGTTCGGCATATTCTCTTGGTCCAGGCCGGGATTCAGTGCTAAGTGTCGGAATGCGAGGGCGAGTATGGCATTCATGAGTCCCGCATTATATATCTTTATCCCTCGTCAGCTTAGGAGCATGTTCATCTTCGGAGAGCAGGAAGGGGAAGGGGAAACCCACTGCAAGATGCGCAACAAATGTGGAAAATTGGCTGGTTGGATCGAAAAGGTCCAGCTATTAGAGATAAATTAGACTGCGAATGCCGATCCCGTATGGTCCCATAGATGCATACCCATGTGCTTACTTGATTGATAAAGTGTCCGAACAGAGCATGTTCGGTAGGCAGAAGCTCTATTGCCTCCCGTGACTGCCAAATTAGTTCCTCTTCTACGGCACTACCTTCTTGATGACCTGTTGGACCATTGCTCGCGCCGGAATCAAGGGTACTATCAAGCACCTGTGTCGCGTATTGTAGCGAATAGGGCTGACTCAGACCATCAATTCTCAAGTGATCGACTGAATGGCTTTGAGTTCCATGGGAATTCTCTATAGAGGGCAGCTGTGGGCTGTCCCTTGCAGCATCACTCGCTAACAGCCCAAACCATCTTACTGCTGCAAAAGACGCATTTGAGGGAGACAGATAGTTATGCTGAAAGGCAATGGGGCTCTGGCCGGTAGACAATTGATCCAGGACCGTTGGCGGAGGGGGATTGGTGTCTGCATCTGAACAGCTCCAGCCCACACCTGGTGGCTCATGTCGTTCGTAAGATGCTATTTCCGGGGAGGGGTTATTCAGTACATGAGCGCTGGCTTGTCCCGGGGATGCTGTTGGCTCTTGGCCTGACACCGGAACAGCATCGGCAATGGCCCGCTCGAATGCTGGGCTGTCATTACTGCGACGGCCTGACGCCGGATATTCACAAGTCTTGTCTTTCTTGACGCATGGGCCGCAAATGGGCTTGATTTCATCACACTTCAGATGTCGCTTACGACAGGTAATGCTGCGTCCGTCCACTATATTAAGCCATGTACCGCTTGTTCGGCACGGGTCACTTACCATCCATTCTTGGTCCGCAACCCGCGGCCGCGAGACTTGCGCATCCGTGGCCGCCGATAGGGTAATTGAGAAGCCATGTTGGAAATTTCATAATTCCATGCATCACAAAGTCCATCTGGATCATAAGCTGGATTCATTCTGGCTCATGTCGAGATGCTTGTCCCCGTCTCGGGGACACATCCGGAATGTCGATCCATTCCATCCTCATTCCTTTGCCGATTTCACGTGATCCCCCGCATTACCCCGCGTCCTATGGGATCGACAAAACCTTCACTGTATACTCCTCAGTGTTACTATAGCAGTGATGACGCTAATTGATATGAGTGGTGTGATAGTAATAATGTTTTGTGCTATTGATATGATGGTTACCGCCGATTGCCGCATATCCGGGGTATGGAGATGATGTGAAAGAATACTATATTACGGCCGTGACCTTCAAGCCGACCAGTGTTTGACACAATGGATGACCTCAGACCATCTAAATTAAAAAAAATGCTCAAGTCCAAGACACCGTATTTTGGCCTTCGAGGGGGGTGGTTAACCTTTTGGATCACTCTAGCTTGTGGTGCTGACATGACTTTGTATGGATATGATCAGGTCAGTAACTGGTCCCGATTCCTGGAATGCATGACTGATCCCAATACAGGGAGTTTTCAGCGGAGTGGTGATATCCCAGGATTTTCTTCAATTACACAATCTTGAAGGTCCCTCTAAGACCAGTCTTCTTGGCACTGTCACCGCGATCTACGATGTTGGCTGCTTCCTCGGATCTATCTGTGCATACTGGCTTGGTGAGCGGTTGGGGCGTCGGAAGACGGTTCTCGTTGGAACGACTGTCATGGCAATCGGTGCCGTGTTGCAAGCATCCTCATACAGTGTGGGCCAAATGATGACAGGTCGAGTCATTGCAGGAATTGGCAACGGTATCTCCTCTTTCATAGGTAGAGGAGCATGAACGCTGACCATCTTTATCACCCAGGACTGAACACATCGACTGCGCCCATTTGGCAAGTTGAGACCTCAAATATGCATTGGCGAGGAAAGTTGGTTATCCTTGAGAATGTCCTTGTCCTTGTAGGGTTTTCACTTGCCAATTGGCTCAATTACGGACTGTCGTTCGCCAGTGGCCCTGTTTCCTGGCGCTTTCCCCTGTCGTTCCAATTCATCTTCATCATAGTACTCGCTCTTACAGTTCCATGGCTGCCTGAGTCCCCCAGGTATGTTAAATATGTTCTTTAGTGGTGCGTGCTTACATTCCCAGGTGGCTTATTGCCCACGGCCAAGAAGAAACGGCCGTCCAGATCATCGCAGACCTGGAGAACAAGGCCACAAACGACCCCTTCGTTCAATTCCAAACCAGCGAGATTCAATACAGTGTGAAATATGAACGAGAAAACAGTGTCAACTTCAGTGACATACTGCGGGGACGCGCCCATGAACGGTCAGGCACAAAAACCATCCGCAGGCTTATCCTTGGCATGGGAGCTCAAGCGATGCAACAGTTCTCAGGGATCAATGTCTCCTCCTACTATCTTCCTACAGTTTTGACCAAATCTGTCGGTATGAGCGAGTCGTTAGCGAGACTCTTAACAGCTTGTAATAGTGTTCAGTACTTATGTTTTTCGATGATCGGTATCCCGAATGTTGAGCGATGGGGCCGTCGAGCCCTTTTGATGTTTGGTGCCACGGGCCAATGTCTCTGCTATATCTTCATCACTGCTCTTATTCGGTATAATGAGATGCCCGGCTACTCACATCAACATGAAGTGGCGTCTGCATCTGTTGCTTTCTTCTTCTTGTACTATGTATTCTTTGGTATTGGCATGCAAGGAGTACCGTGGTGTATGTTTGAAACCTACTATATTCCGACTAAACTGCAGACTGTTCACTAATGATCAATAGTGTATCCTACAGAGATCAACTCCCTCACTATGCGGACCAAGGGCGCCGCACTCGGAGCAGCTACAAACTGGATTTTCAATTTCATGGTCGTCGAGATCACACCCATTGGAATACAGAACCTTGGCTGGCGGTTCTATGCGATTTGGATTGCATTGAATGCAGCAATGGTCCCTGTCATTTACGTCTTTTATCCTGAGACAGCAGGGCGCACCTTGGAGGACATGGATGAGTACTATCGTGGGAATCCCCCACTTTTTGTCTGCTTCGATAGGGAAGCAATTTCTCGCAAACGTCCTGAGAGATACCAGGTTCGAGATGAGCATGTTATTCGGGCTAAGGAAGGTGATGTGCTTGAATTGGCACAGCATGTGGAGAATGCGACCGCTGTGACAGCTTAATCACGACCTTCAAGTTCGAAATGATGAAGCGACTGTATATGAAGAGAGGGTGTACTTGTTAACTAACATCAAATGTTAACTTCACTCTTGTGGCTTGCTTAGTTTACCGCATGTAGTGCTACTTGTCATAATATTTTTTCATTTGTTTGCTAGGTTAGGATACTTAATTGAGTGCGGTTGGCTTCATACTCTTGTCTCAGCTAACCAGTAGACCAGTTATGACACATTATAGCTATTTGGACAACAGTTGGGGAGGATTGTCCTAAGAATACCGAATTCACGAAGAGCTTTCAATCGGTCGCTCGTGATACTATCCTGATGATCATCATTATCATTACGCTCCTTTTCCCAGTAGCTCTCTGCCAACTGGCGTGCTCTTTTTGTGTCTGGCGCAACTCCTTCTTAAGCATAGCAAGGGCTCGGCGGATATTATGTCGCCGGTACATAGTTCCAACCTTACACAGATACAATTTGGCTATTCATCGGGACATCGAAAGGCGTGTACAATTTGTGCTATGCTGGGGTGGGGTAAGGTTGATCGACGAGCCCCCGTCTCGGGGGCCACCCAAGTATAGAAGGCCCATGCCCATCCCACTTCTGCTGAAGACGACTAGATGATAATACCAATGATATATCGAGTACTCAGGGTCCCTCGGGTCTATCGTGAAGATGCCATCTCACTGTATCTTGCCTATGAGTGTCTGCGGTTCACTGCCCTCTCCTCCAAATGTTCACCTCCTCTGACTAGATACAACAGCCACCTGTGAATGCTAGCATACGGGCCCATAATTACCCCTCAGAATAGTTGTTTACCCAGTTTTCACATTATTTAAATCTAACATGAGTTCTTTGCACACCTTCGAGCTACCCCGCTCTATGAGGGCACTAGGTGCGTGTCGCATCTTTTCACTGGCCAACAAGCACGACATTTAACATGACTGTCGGAAACATAGAGTATAGCGAAGCACGGAAATTTAACATTGTTGATAAAAAGCTTCCTACCGTTCGAGCACACGATATTTTAGTAGGTCTTAAGTATTCCATAGATCACACCCAATGTCTGACAAGATTCCAGATCAAAGTCAAGGCCTGCGGTGTCTGTGGTACCGACCTACACATCCATGAGGGTGAATTTGGAGCCCAAGTAGGGACACACCTACCACTAAACAAGAGCTCGAACTGATCAGCCCAAGTTCCCACTAGTACCCGGCCATGAAACTGTCGGCATCGTCGCAGCATTCGGCACCGAAGTCAATGGCTTCACAGTAGGGGATCGCGTGGTGGCCGATAACTCGGAGCTATGCGGACATTGTCACTACTGCCGTCGAGGCAAGGAGCTCTTCTGCGAGAACTTTATAGCCCATGGTGTGATGGTCGATGGCGGATTCGCCGAATACGCTGCCTACCCGGCCTATCGCGTATTCAAAATCAAGAACCTGTCAGATGTCGATGCCACCTTGCTGGAGCCTGCAGCCTGTGCGGCACACGGGCTGGATAAAATCGCCCCGCAGATGGGATCCAGTGTTCTTCTGTTCGGCGCCGGTCCGACAGGACTAATGTTAGCTCAGCTTCTTCGCCAGAATGGTGGCTGTCGAACTGTTATTGCTGCACCGGGCGGGTTGAAGATGGAGCTGGCCAAATCGCTAGATGCTGCGGATGAGTTTGTTGAGCTCCCGCGGGAAGAAGATGCCGCGGCTGCTAGGCTGGAGGAACTGCGAGGGAGATATCCATACGGCTTTGATATTGTTGTGGAAGCCACAGGTAGTGAAAGGGTTCTGGAAAACGCCATACACTTTGTCACCAAAGGTGGAAAGCTGGTGGTATATGGGGTCTACAAGGATGAGAGCCGCATCTCGCTGTCACCGAACAAAATCTTCAAGGAGGAGATTCATGTTCTCGGCTCGTTCAGTCAGACATACAAATTTCCAGCTGCCATTGATTATCTTGGTAAGTCTTATAAAGTGGGGGTACGGAGGACCAGTGGCTAATGGATGTTTGCATACACAGATCGTAAGAGGATCAATGTATCTGGGATTGTTAACAAAACATTTAGATTGGGCGAGTGGGAGATGTGCCTTGATGCGATGAGGCGAAAGTCGGTTGTCAAGGCTGCCATAGTCTTTGACTAGTCTTCGGATTATGTTGGAACGTAATCTCAGTAGATTACTAGTAGTCGAGGTCACGTGATCTGTAAACTCCGTAATCTCAACCGCTCCTTCCGAGCGCGCCTAGATAGAAGAATTAAGCGTTTATTATAATTTTAATATTAATCTAAAATGTTGTTTTAATAGATTATAAGCCCGGCTTTTCGCTCGTAAGACTAACTAGCAGAGATCTAAGTTAAATTATATATAAAGTAAGCTATAATTATAATAGAACCGCGTATTATAATATCTTTATTCTAAAATACTAAAATAGTGTGAATATTAAAATACTCAAATACTAAAATATTATAATTAGATAGATATATATCTTTTAATTATATTTTGAATACTAAGGAAGTGACTACACAACTAATAATATAAATAAATAAAATACTAGAAAAGCTGCTAGGAGGCATTTAATCTATATTTAAAAAATTAAAAAATTAAAAAGACTTTTTAATATAATATTTTAAAATATATTAAATACTAAAAAATATTAGTTTATAAGATATAATTAATAAGAAAATATTTTATTTAAATATTAATTATCTAAAATACTAGCTATGATATTATTTATTAATTACTATCTAGTTCTAGTTTATTAGCCAGCTATCTGACTCTCTAAAAAGAGTATTAATAATAGTTTCTAATATTTATAACTACGCGGATAAAATTCATAAAATTATAAAATTACTTATTTTAGACTATGGTTATATACTTTTAAAATAATATATTTTAATCTTATTTATAAATATTAATCTGACTATTTTACTATTAAATAATACGTGGAGGTTTTCAAACAAGTATATAATCTTATTAAAAAATTAAAAGTTAGAATAATATCTTACTATAAATTATTATATTTATTTAAAGAATTAGAATCAGATTTTTTAATCTGGATATTAATAGTAGAATACAGTTTATCTGATAATACTGCAGATATTCTTATAAAGAAAGAATTTTTAGTTTACTATAAAATTATAATTAAATAAGATAATAAATAAATATAAAAATATTTTTTTATTATACTAGTAAAGAATACTAAACACACCACCAAGTTAGGAAATATTATAATAATTTTAGAATAAAAGAAATTAATATTTTTATTAATAGAAATAATCTCTGAAA